CTATAATACCCTACGTAGATCGCGTTAACGGTAGACTTTTAAACCGAATACCGGTACTAGCCCGAGCGTACGCTTATAATCGTCTACGACTAAGACACTATCGTATAGAAGCGTAAGACGAGTAGAGAGTAGAAGGATTATTATAATACGCTATATAGCTACTAGGGCGACGAAGGCTTAAATCTAAATAAGAAGGCTCTACGATATAAGTAGGGCGCCGAGCTAAGCGAGACTATAGCAAATAATAAGCAAAACGCGCTAGGTATAAATGCGGCGTAAGACAAGTAAGACGCTATCGAGCTATAGCCTATAACGTCTAGCGCGACGATCCTAATAAAAGACACTAAGAAGTAGGACGTTATAGCGAATACCGAAGCTAATCTACTACTACCTAAGGGCCGTTACCTTAAGGACTCCCTAAGGAAGTACTAGCTAACGCTAATCTAGGCGGTGCTCGCGAATGTTTTCCTACGAAAGATAACGCTTAACGCTATCTATAAGGACGTCTAGACCCTCCTTAGATATACGATAATAGCGCGTTCCGTCGATAAGGAGCTCGGTAGGTAGGTAGAAGACGAGAATAGCATAGTAATTATAGTAGACAGCGAATAGGTACTTACCTTATATAGCTAAGTAGTATATAAAAAGGCGGTAGGTAAGCTTCCCTAGGCGGATACTAAGCTATTACAAGATCGCGTATACTAGCTAAAGACTATTAATAAGCGATAACCGCAAAAGGCTACCGAGTAGCTACGACTACTAAAGGACGTCGGCAACGTAGAGAACGCCGCTACTAACAAGTCGCCGAAGGATATACCTAAGGACGCCGACTATAAGGAGGAGACAGGTCTAGTCGCTATATTATCGACCGTAGTAGGAAGCAAGGCTCTAGAATAGGATACCGAGATACAGGACCCTATAGAGGTATAAGAACGCAATAAAGAGCTCTAGGAGGTAGTAATAGAGGCAATTTTAGCCTACGTAATAGAGCCTATAATAGTAGTATAGCTAACCGAGGCCGTTTCTATCGCGTTCCTAAATATAAAGACTATACTAGACACTAAGTTCGCGTAGGAGTTACTAGAAGCTAACGTCGGTATAAGCCTTACCGAAGTAGGCGACGCGTTTATTCTAACCTCGAAAGATAGGTTAGAAGCGAGGATTCGCGTAATAGAAACTACCTACTTTAACGATAAATACAATCTAGGATAGTACGTCGTAGCGAACGACTCTAAGGCGGAAACGCTCGCGTAAACGTACGACGAGGAGACCGAGTATAACGATACCCTAGCCCCTATCGACTATAACTCCCTAGTATATAAGAACCCTAACGGCGGCGACGACTCTCTAGTACGTAATAACGCTTATAACGACGGCGACTCTCTAGCGCGCTAAAACGCTAACAATAGCGACGACTTATAGTATAGCGATTAGAACGACGGTAAGCGACCGTAATACCCGATCCTAGATAGCGTCGATATAAATAGAGATATTTAAGATACTATAAAGGCATTAGGCGCCCGCTAGCGTACTGCTGCCCTCTCCTATATAACGATAGTAAACGCCGTTAAGGTCGCTATAAAGGAGGATAACAATATTATCGAGCGTATTATAATAATAGACCAGTTAGCCTATATAGGACAAATTACGCTCTAACTAGCATACGAATACTAATTCCTTAGCTTAGTATATAAGACTACTTATATAAACGAGTACTTTAAAGAATTTATTAGCGACTTTTACCCTACTCTAGTACCTAGTACAAACCTACGTAGTAGGCTCTAAGCTATATTCGACCGCGTCTAGGGATACTATAGAGGCCCGCTAGTCTTAGGACCGACCCTATTACTCTATATACTACTATAGACGCGTATAGTAGTAGAGTACGACGCTAACCCCCTAGCTACTAACTATAAAAACGAGATATCGGACGAGCCTACCGATTACGCCGAGCCTACCGATAGCGCCGATTCTACTACCTATAATAAGCCTACTAACGATACTAAGGACAATTAGGACTTTATATAAGCCGATACTAAGGACGCTAACGTTTAGGACCTTATATAAGCCGAGGACTATACTAATAACGCTAGCGACGTATCTACTATCGACGACGCGATAGATACGCCTAAGGGATAAAAGGAGGACGACGATAAGGAGGACGCCCTAATAGACGTAAAGGAGGAGAAGTAGCGCCGTAAAGCGGCTAGAGTAGCTAAGATAAATAAGAGTAAGGCAGACAAGGACGACGATTAGGAAGACAGCCTAGCTATTATAGATAAGAAGAAGGTACGCTATAGAGCGGTTAATATAGATAAAGACAAGAACTTCTAGCGCTCTAGTATATAGTATACTAGTATAGAAGACTAGTTAGAGTCGCAGTATTAAGCTAATATAGCAGTACTAATATATAATACGCTAGGATTTAAGATAATAGATTGCATACTACCGATAGGTACCCGCTTATCTAACTTTAAATTAGGAATAATATACCGCAAGGTCGACGACACTACTATTAGCTTAAAGGATCTCGGAAAGTAGTATATATACTCTGTCGAGGCATAGGGATATCTACGCTCTAAGCGCAAGCTAATCGGCCTGCCGTACCTATACTATAAGTAGCATCCTAACAGAATATACAAGATTGCCGCTATTGCCTATCGTACTATACTTATAGGTAGCGGTATCTTCCGCTATAAGGCCCTAGATTAGGTTACCTAGACGCATATCGATAACGTAAGTAACTAGGCGATAATTACGACTATAATGCTACTAGATATCGAGGGCGAAACTAAGCTAGTTACCTCTTTACGCTAATAGTAGGCGCGCTAGCGGAAGTACTATAAGGACCTAAACTACGACCTATATAAGAAGTAGCTCTAAATTATTTCCCTGTCCTACCTTACCTTTAAGGCCGCTATAGTAGAGTAGCTAACGGAGATCGATATCGTAGCAATCCTAGACTATACCCTTACGAATATATAGGCCTATAATACGACTAACAAAGACGGTATACTAACGGATATCGCGCTCGACTATTTCCTACGTATAGTATATCTCTAGCTATAATTAGGCTATATACCGAGCGTAGACTACGATTAGGTTACTACCCGCAATAAGAAGGGCCTACTACTAAAAGACATTAAGTACGATTACGCTATAGAGGACGTAGATCCGGTAAAGTTATGCCGCGGACTAGGGTATATAGGTATTATAGAACGATACTAGTCGCTTACCGACGAGTAATACGCCGACCTATACCTCTGCCTACTAGACGAGCTCGCTATAGCTATTAAGTCTAAGACTCTCGTTAGCACCGTAGCTACTAACAAAGAAGCGCTAGCTACGCCGCAACTATCGAAGAAGCGTAAGACTAAGTCGCGGTATAGCGCCGCCGACGCCGGTACTCTCGCCCTAGTCTCTAAAAGTAAGGGCAAGACCTTCCCTCTACTAAAAGGCAAGAACAAGAACAAGCTACCGAAAATCTAAATAGGCTAACCCTTCGTATGCGCCTTATCCCTACTAGCCTCGGTACCCGCCTCGATACCTATACCCGAAACGCTAAAGCAAGTCTAGTATATTAGCGTACGTAAGATATAAGACAAGAGCGGCGGAATAAAGCGTAAGCGAGCTAGTACTAGTACCGGCGAGATATCTAACTAAAAGAGACGACGCTAATATACAAACTTTATAACTAGCTCCGATACTAAGGCTACGCTAAAGTTAGCTATTAAGAAGACGCGCGCTAAACTAGTAGACTTAGACTAAGGAGAGGAGGATATACTCGAGACGACGAGAACGTATAATACAAATACAAGCGGTAAGGAAAACGAGTAGAAGCGGAAGGAGTATATAAGAAGGGATTTAGCTAATATAGTACGCTAGCCTTCGTTCTATTAGACGGAGGTACTATTACGGTAGGGACGGTACGCTAGCTAAGCCTAGTATATACTTTCTATAGAACCGTAGATACTTACCCTAATACTATACTATTGCCTAACTACTAATCGTCCTACAAGTAACAAGCGGTTAAATAGCCTATTTACGTAAGAGCCTAATACTCGACTCGACTAGTTATAATAAGACGAGGCGCTACTTAACGAAGATACTATATATACTAATATTTAGCCTTACTTAGTATATCCTCGCTACTACTACGAGTTAGTATAGCGAAAGCGCTATTTCTACGAGCCTCCGAAGAAAACTAGCCGCTATCGAGGCGAGGTCGCTAGTAGTAATAAGGATAACCCTATTAAGCTAGAAGAGTCTTAGGATAGTAGAGTAAGCATTTAACTATAGCGACAAGAGGTAGAGATAATATAATAGATATATAGACCGACTTCTAAAGTAATTGATTATATAGTTAACGCGAGATATATGCGGAGGCCGACTATATATCTATTTTAACTATCTATAGTCGCAATTTAGTCGCTATTAAAACGGAAATCTACTGCTTCTTAACCCTAATCGTACCCCTATTTAATTTCCCGGTCTATATACTCTATAATATACTATAGTATCGAGTTTTACGTATAGCCTACTAAGAAAAAGCGATTTTACGTATAGCTTAAATCCCTAAGCCCGAGGCAAGGGGTAGAGTAGCTAACGCAACCTCGGATAAGTATAGGTAGATTTTCGTAGAGAGAGGGGGAGATGCCTACTATTTTTAACGCTAATATAAGGTCGTTATACATCTATAGCGGGTAAATATATCGGAGGGCTATCGCCTTTACGCTAAACGCTTAAGCTAAGACTATAATTAGTTTAGACCCTTAGTAGTCGAAAATAGGGAGAAATTAATAGCCTTCCGATACGTTTAGACGCTATACTAGTCTTTTATCCTAATAATAAAGCTATAAAGGTACTCTTCTTATATAAACATTAACCTTTACTATAGGGCTCGTTTTAATGTCTAATTAGCTATTGCCGTCGTAGGCGGTCTAATTGCTACTAGAAGTGTTCTCGGAACGAAAATCACTCTAACAATCGTCTCTGGAAATTCAACTCAATGCTATTACGGTAGCTGTATTTACAGAGTTTGATTATTGCTTACCATTAGCTTCACCCTCAGCCTCTTGGTGTTTGAGCGCTCCGGGGACGCAGTTCTGCGGATGGGCAGCATTCCAGTTTCTTGGAATGACCTCGTTGAGCTCGCTGACAAATGCTGCAACCTGATCGGTCTCTGCAGGCGAGACATCAATGCCTCTTTGAAAGCGAAGGGAAACAGTTTCAAGCTGATCCATTCTGGCGAGCGCGCGGAGAAGACCAATCCTGTTCCCCATCATCTTCCTGTAAAGGTCGAACCAAGTGTCGTTCTCATGTTCCGTGATAGTGAAGGTCAAATTCTTCAGGCCAGAAAGTTGCTTGAGCTGCTTACAAAGCCAGGCAATATTGTTGACCCGACGCTTCGTGATGGACAGCATAGCAATGCCATCAAGACGTGGCTGGCCGAGAGTGTTGAAGATTTCCCGGTCCCGCTCGATAGATGCTTTAGTGGAGCAGGTGAATTCTAGGTGAATCTTCTCGTAGAAAATACCAGCAGCCTCGTATTGGATGATGCGGCACGTGGCCAGTAACGACAGGACGCTTGGCGGTTGTATGAGCATCCCAATCCGTGTACGCTTCTCAAGCTTTATGAGACCATTCTCATCGCCAGGGACTCCCGCGAGCAATACGAGTTCGTAGATGTACGTACGGATCTCGCCTGGTAGGGAGAAGAGAGGACAGGCCTCTTGGTTATGAGCTCGCGGGCCTACCATGACTTCTGCACAGGGCATCGCTGGCACTGCTTCAATTGCAGCGTATCCCATGGTGACTTTCGAGAGTGATGGCAATAAATGACCGGGTAGTTTCAAGAAGTGAAAGCGTAGCTGATGTTCAAGAGGAGAGTGGGGTCTCGGGGTCTCTGTTTCTCCGTTCTTCCGAGCCTGAAGTCGCCTCGTCGAAAATCTGAAAGCCGAGCGAACCCTTCTCCAGCACAACAACTTCAGAAGAATGTTATCCCACTTTCTGGGCTAGCAGATCTCCGAAATTCCGCGAACGCCTTCTCAATGCCTTGAGTAATCTCCAATGAGAATATCGAACTCTTTCTCCAGAAGATGGTATTGTTGTAGCCAGAACAATAGGGAGGGATTTGTCAAGCGATCGGCTTTCAGTGTCACCAAGGCTGGGCTTCACCATCACGACAGCGCCTGTATGCGCAATGGCAGTGGGCAAAGGTATGGACGCCGCTTCATATCTTAGGAAACATGGTTGGAAAGGCGACGGTCACTCGCTGGATCCGTCCTCCCGTGGAATCAAAAAGCCTCTCTTGGTCTCGAAAAAGGTCGATGTCCTTGGTGTCGGATTGAACAAGCATGCGGCTGTCAGCGACCAGTGGTGGATGAGGGCATTTGACCAAGGACTAAAGGACCTGGGTACCGGAAAGACCAATGCCTTGACAAACATTCGAGAGCATGGGATGTTCGCCGGAGGGCTGTATGGGAGATTCGTGAAAGGCGAAGGAGTCGCAGGCACATTCGCGGAGGGGAATTTATCGAAGAGAAAGCGAGAAGATGGTGAAGATGATAGAGTCGAGGCGGTTAAGAAGCAAGAGATGGACTCGGAATATGAAGAGGCGCAGCGATTGAAAAATGGTGTCGACATGCAAGTGGAGGCATTTGTCGCAGAGGCACTACACCGAGGAGTACTTGAAGTCGGCGACAAGAAGCCAACGCGAAGCGATGTTTCTCCCGTGACGACGTATGGCGAAGCAGCGGTCCAACAGGTCTTTAAGCAGGCAGGACTAAGCATCGAGGCAAACATCGCGCAAAGTTCGACAAAAGCACAAAAGTATAAGCGCGAAAAACAGCTCCGTGGGCTCAAGCGAGCTGCAAAGTCATTTATAATATTCCAGCTATCGAACGTCGAACGCAAGCAGATTCAGGCATACGAGACTTCAATCAAGAAGGTACAGAAATCGGAACGTAAATCGAGAGAAGCAGGCAAAGCAGCTGCTGAGGCAGAAAAGGCTGCTGCCAAATTTGCGAAAGCGCTCCGCAAGAAGGAGAAACGCGACCGCAAGCTCGCTGCTCGGGAGCAAGGCAATGAAGATTCCACCTATGTTACAGATGACGCGAAAGAGGATCTCTCTACTTTGGGACTAGCGAAATGCGAAGCAAAAGGAGCGGCAAAGGGCATGGAAGTGCAGCAGTACATTCAAGACCGGGAAAGCAAGAAAGACGCCAAAGCATTGCAGAACGACACTGCTTCGTCGACACCCAGGCCAGCATTTGTCATTGACTTGGATGGCGATGCGGCTTTGAATCGACTGCCACCTGGTGAGCATGTCGTAGACTCAGAAGGCAGCATACGCTTTACCATCGAACCCGGTATGCCTGTGCCTCTTGATCCAGCCATCTGGGACGGCATCAAAGTGAAGACATTGCCTAGACCTGTCCGAGAAGCCCGTCGAGAATGGATGGAAAACAAGCGAGAAGCACGGAAAGCCGAGAAGACCAAAAAGTCCACGGATAAGTCGAAAAACGAAAGGAAACTTGAAAAGATTGAAAGGCTCTGCATCAGAATCCTCATCGAGAGTCGCAAGGCCAAAGGATCCGGTACTGTCACGATTGGTGGCCTTGAAGACGTGCCGTTGGTCAAAGTTAAGACTCAAGCCAAAGAACCATTCTCAAAAGAAGAAATGGGTCTTGCGAGGACGGTGGCGAGACGCGTGCTCAAAGAGCAGAAGCGGCAAGCTGAAAGTGATGGAAAGAAAAAGGGCAAGAATCACAAGCTTTAGTGGGAGTTACTTGTATGGCGTTGCATGATACCCATGGCATACAATTAGACACAGACCGAAAGCTGCAATGGAAGCAGTGACAATGATTTGCTGACGGCCATTTAATCACTTCTTTCGACCACTTGCGCGGCTTGGAATTTGTCATGGCGATGATGCTTCATTGCTATACTTGAATGGTCAAAGGACCTCTGCTAACATTGAACCGGTAAAAGGAAGCAGTTGACGAGCATGTCAGAAGCTGGGCTAAGGCTCATCGGCTTTTGCAGGATAATAGGAATACCGCCAGCTCACCGATTTACTGCAGGACCAGGGAGAGTAGTACTACTATCAAGGCCTTTCATATGGCGTACCGACGAGCCGACATGTAAGTACTGTGCTTACGGCAGCTGCACGACCGGAGAATTCCTCAGCAGTGCAGTTGAACTTGCATCACCCATCACCAAACGCCGACTGCAGACATTCCTCGAATATGCACCAGCCGAAGTCTCCCAGGCCAACGTGCTGGACCGCTACCCAGAGCCTCTTGAAAAGCGCTTTTTCTGTTCTGGGCATTTTGGAAGAATACATGTACAATATCCTCTCATACCGATGACGTTACGCCAGATTTCAGAATGACTTCAAGCTGCCCCACTCCATCAACATTGCCATCGGACCTCACACATACTGATTATAGACCTATCCAGACAAGAGCCTCAAGGACAGCAGTGTTCAACCAACTAGACAAACCAACTCTAGCATAACTCGACGACAAAGAATGGCTCGTAAGACGTGACGGTCACATCTAAACCCACGCCTCCACCATCTAACTAACACCTTCCCCTCCCAGACACAACATTCCCCTCCAACATCCCGAAACCAGTCGACGACGGAGCCTGCAATCATCTCCCCAACACCAACTTTCCCTCCATCTCCTTACCCTCAACCTCCGGCTCAAGCGTGGACATCTCAACCCTACCCGGTCTAAAAATTCTCTTCTGCTACCCACGAACCGCATCCCCCAACGAAGAGGTTCCAGAATCCTGGAACCAAATCCCAGGAGCCAGAGGCTGTACACCGCAAGCTTGCTCCTTTCGAGATTTATCCAAGGAGTTATTGGAAGCGGGAGTGAGTCATGTTTTCGGGTGTTCGACGCAAGATACAGAGTATCAGAGGGAGTTGAAGGAGAGGACGAGGTTGCCTTATCAGTTACTTTCTGATGAACAGGGAGGGCTGAGAAAGGGGTTGGAATTGCCGACGATGGAGTGGGAAGGAAAGACGCTGATTAAGAGGTTGAGTATGGTTGTGGAGGATGGGCTTATCTTGAAGGTGTTTTATCCTGTCTTTCCGCCGGATAGGAGTGCGGGTGAGGTGAGTGAGATCACTTGGAGAAAAGTGTTGGGGAGTTCTGCTGATGATCATCATCATAGGTTTTGGAATGGTTGCAGACTTCATATCGAGGGAGGAAGACTTTGAGTACGGAGGCGGAGAATGAGACGATGAGGAATTTGCAGATGTGAATTGTACATGGCCATGACGGTCATGAGTGGGCCTCGAAGCAGTTCTCCAGCGGAGCTGTCGCGTTTCGGTTATGGCTAAGGAAAGAAGATTTTTAGTTGCGGATGAAAGTGGTCTATTTATTCTCAGGTGTACGACAAACAGCATGACCTATGTTGATGGATAGGCACAAGCGAGGCCCGCAGTGATCACTAACAAAATAAGCCGAGAGACATGTTCGCGTTTCGTCACCTAGCTGGTGGTCAGAGGGTATAAAACAATCCTCGAAGATGGAGAACAGCCTCCAACAACGGCCGTCTAATCCTCTTTCTGTATGCCATTTCCTTTCCATGATGCAATTCTCGCTCAATCGCTTCTGACGCCTTGCCCTGAAACATGAATTACAAATCTTCCAATCGAAATAATCAAGCATTTGCCAGGATGCCGTTCTCCGCGAATGACTTCACCCGGGTCCGCATCTGCTCGAAATCGTTGACATTCTGCAGGTGCTTGTCGCAGCCTACCTGCCACGCCGTTCGCCACTTCTGATCCTGCTTTACTGCCTTGCAGTATTCTCCGAATCCAGGTGCACCATTGATGGTATCGCCGCTAGCGCTCAACCAATCCGTGCCTCGGGACATGCAAGCCTCTGCTTGTGGCTCACGCCTATTGAAGTGCTCCAACATAGATCTATTCCACATGTGATGTCCAAGCAAATAGTTCGCAAATTTTTGTGCGTACTCAGCCCAGCTGGCTTTGGTGAGCTTGGTAGGCCCTGATGGTGCTTTAGGGTACTGCGGTAGCTTCACCTCAGGCGGATCCTCAACCTCAGTGGGCAATGTCGAGGAAGCCTTAGAAGCGTAAGGTAACGATGAGCTCAGATCAGCAAACTCGTTGAGGCCATCCTTGCCTCCCTCTAGTGGTATAGTATGTCTCAACGAATCGAAGTTGGTCTTGAGATCGGTCTCGCCAGACTTACGCTGCGCTCGTCGCGAAGAGCTCGATGTCTGCCGATTGTGACTGTAAGACTGAGCCTGTTCTTGGCGCCACTGTGACGGCGGGACCGAATACAGACGTGGCTCCTTGGCTGAAGACGACAGCGGCGTGGCCTGTTCAGCAGTATCTGTCGGTCTAGGTGGTGTATCGATGTCCATAGCATCACCATCATCGGCCGCCCCACCGACTCCAACAGGATGACCATTCCTGTCGACTTCGACAACATCATCGTTATCGTCGACAACATGTGGCGACTTATCGGTGCCTAAAGTCGGCCCAGGTTGTGAGGCTTTGGAAGAGGGCCGACTGCCTTTCCTGCTCGGAGTTTTCGAAAGAGGAGGATTTGGCGGTGGGCCAGGGACAGCCCAGGCATGTGCATCCTTGAGAGCCTCTGACCAATGGTCCGAATTGAATTTGCCATCAACCGGCGTACCATACACGGACGTTGGTCGCGAGCCTCGGTCATCGGGTTCTTGCACGAATGTCCGCGGTGGAGGAGGCATTGGTGATGAAGGCTTGCTCGCAGGAGTCGAATCTGTGGTATTAGCGCGCTGAGCACGACTAGAGCCACTTCGCAGGCTCGGTGAATGTCGACGACCATTCGGACTGGGAGCGAAGTAATCCCCGGAGCCCTGAAATTTGCCTGCGAAAGGTTCAGGAGAGAAGTTGGTATTGATCTCTTCAACACTTCGACTCTTGCCACGTGTGGGCTGAAAAGTCTCGTGATCGACAGGAATCGTGAAACTGTTTGTCGCGCATGCACTGTCAGCAGGCTTCTTTGATGAGCTTTGATGTGCAATTGACGGGTGTTGTGAGATGATGTTAGCGAAAATGCTATCAACTGTGCGTGTGCCGGTCGAACCAGCTTGCAGCACAACTCTGACTGCTTTGCGGAAAGTGTCGAGGTCAAACTGGTGGAGCTGCTTGACATCACCACAAATCTTGAGAAGCTCGAGCCGACACGCGTGAAAGGCGTCCTGTTCATCTTGAGATGCATGCTGCCAGGTGGTACTTTGATTGCCAGAGTCATCACTCTGCTCGGCCAATGCCGATTTGCTGCTGGTTGAGGAAGCAGACTGACGACGCTTTTTCTGCAGTGAAGGGGAGATGGAACTCGGAACCGCCCAAGGTGCGATAATACTTGGCTTTCTTACTTTGCCCTCTGTTGTTGAACGAGAGGCGAAAGCAGTTCTGAACTCTGGACGGTTGAACAAAGAAGGGGGAGTGTAGTGAGGAGAAGTAGAAGGGGTGTCGTACATGTTTGGTGCAGCTTTCTGCTGCATGCTTGGTTTCTCTGGGTCAGTGTAATTTCCATCTCCTGGGAATGGCGATCGAGTGCCGTTGGGAAACCTCGCACTAGGAGGTGTTGGTTTCTTCTTTGGCCGACCCTTAGGGTTTTGAGATTTAGCAGGTGGCTCGTCACTGAGCTCCTCCGGCGACTCGGTGGGATCTGGACCGGGACTATCCTCTGACGATGCTGAGCCCGAGCCTGAGCCTGAGCCTGAGCTGGAGCTGGCGCCTGCCATGAATTTAGGTCGGCCTTTGTTGCCGTTCTCGCCGGCAGCCTCTGCTTGTCTCTGCCTAGCAGCCGGATCCACGCTCCTAGCGCGAGAGTGGCCACTGGTGGCAGGTTCTGGTGATAGCTTCGTATTGTCTCGTACGCTGGCAGATCGCCGCAAGCCATCGCTGCTGAATGCAGTCTTTTCACCACTGAATGAGGAGTACGGTGTGCTAATCCGGTTCGCTTCTGAGTATGGAGCATCATCATTAGGTTTCCTGCCCCTGAATGGTCGGAGAGGATCTGCGAATGGCCGCTGTGCGTTTGGTGATAGTGGGGATGATGGAGCACTAGGCGGCGGCCCTGGAGGCGGCGGTGGGAATCCGTCCTCGGTCAAATCTGCTGACTTGTGCCGATGCACATAATGACCTGTCGCAGGACGTTCATCTGAACCAGGAGCATTGGGGTCGAAACCAGTAGGTCTCTTGGGCGTGGTTGGCGCCCTCCCTTTCCTGGCCATACCCGGCTGAGCAGTATTTGACTTTTGAAAGGCTGCCCAAGCCGACTGTCGATTTGCTGCCTCTGCATCATCTCCAGCTGGAGTCGACGCCTTGCCATATCTCATACCAGCACGTATTTGCTCTTCCGTAGGCATCTTAGTGTCCTGCCTATTCATGCGTGGGCGATTGGGCACATTCGGCGGCGGCGGCGGCGGGCGTGGCTGTGGTTGCGGTTCGCGAGGCGGCGGCTGTGGAGCATATCGGGGACGCTCTGGTTGCGGGTTGTTCATATTCTGCCAAGCACGGAATTGTTGAGTTCTGTCTGCAGCAGGATCCTTCCTCGGCGCGGCGCCTTGAGGTCGAGGAAAGTTGGTGAAACGATCAGCACCAGAGGGCGTTGGGCCTGCACCTGTTGAGGCCGTCGGGCGATGTCCAGCCCATGTGCCCGGCTGGGTGCGTCGTGGCGGAGGTGGAAAGTCGGATCGAGCTGAGTAGGGATTTCCAGGACTCGGCACATTGGGCTTGAATGTCGTCGGCGCAGGATACAGGCCTGCCCTGCGCCGATCCGCATCATACTTCGCTTTCGTTGTCGGATCGCTCAGCACTTCGTTGGCAGCCTGGATGGCCTGAAAGCGCGGCACGCACTCGTCTTCCTTCCCAGCATTGCGGTCGGGGTGATATTGGAGGGCGAGCTTGCGGTAGGCTTTGCGCACATCGTCGACAGTCGCCGTCGTGGGCAGATCGAGGTCGGCATAGTAATTGTGCTTGACGTCTGGCTTGACCATGTTGCCGTTGCTGCTGCCGGTGCCGGTGGCGTAGCTGGCGGCGGCGACAAATCAAGTCGACTCAACTGCTGCGCGGTGGTGGAGTTCGCATGAGTGTTGAGGATGAGGCGCGAGTGTCACGACAGGTAGAAGTAGAACTAGGCATGTGAACGTGGTCGGCGCAGATGCCTGACTAGATCGACGCTCGCCAATCTGATGTGATGCTGTCTCGAACTCGAGGGAGACTGTTTCTAGGGAGATCCAAGAGGATCCACGTTATCGCGGGTGGGTGGTGCGCAAGAGGCGTCGTCGGCGTTGGTTGTCGGCGGTGGACCGCCTGTATTTCCACTCTCTTCGTGTTTGTCCGCCTGCATTCGCCGCGCGCAGTATCGATCAGGTATTCTCGATGCGTTGAGTGGACACGGCGTGTGGCAGTCGTACACAGCGAAGGGTTCGCACTGTTCGGAGGATAGATGTCGCACAGCTGAACGAACTTGTCTGCATGCAAACACAGCTGATCTTCGTGAAGCGAAGCGTGACGGCAGTGCCAGCAGCAGTGGTGGGCAGCTGCCACGCAGGAGGGCAGGGTTCTAGCGGGACGGGAGGGAGCGGCAGCGGGAGCGGGAGCGGGAGCAGGAGCGGGAGCGGGATGCCGGCTTCAAGCGAGGTCAGAGCGAGATCTTCGAGGCGCTCATTCGACATTCCACCTTCTCTTCGTCAACATCGACCTGTATCAACTCTCAAACGACCATCTTTTGCTATGCAGGAGCTCTTTGCATCCACATTACAGCACTCGCAGCCCGACCTCGCCGCAGAGTCGGGCTGCGTAGCACAGTTGTAGCGAATGGCTTTGGACCCTGGGAGAGACAGAGTTGCACATCTTGCTGCGCATGCCGTGGATAGCCTGGATGCGAATCATCTCAGCCTGGATGCCATGTCAACGTCCGACATCGAGGAAGTTTGCGCATGCAATTGGGCTCGTGCGGCATTGGCATGACGTTTCATCCGCCTCCACTAGACGCCTTCTCGATCGCGTCTTTCGCCTCAACGGGCATTCCACGCTGTCGTACCGCTCTTTGAGCAAATATCGTGCCTGGCCCATACACCAAGTTGAGAGTAGCTACGGCATCCAAATGACAACGCATCTGACCATCATCCTCCGGTATTGCTTCCCCGACCTGTCGTTCAGCGGCCTGACGGTCCGTCACGATTACTGCATACCAGCTGAGACACCACGCCACTGTTTCCCGGTTCTCGTCTTCCTGATAGGCCTCAAAGACCACATGCGGAATTGTGACAAGGGTATCTGGTTTAATTCCACAGCACACCCCACACGAAGTTTTCCCCATCTTGGCGTGCTGATGTCTACCCAGAGTCTGCATTGATGACGATCACGCGGTACGCGAGGAGGCCATGAGGCGAGAAGCAGTGCGCAATGGCAATCCCTCTTGCCTCTTTTCCCTTTTCGCGGCTGTCGAGGGGTACACTCGAATGTGAACACAGTGGTGCCGCGTTTGCACACAGCTTGGGCCTGCTTGGTTGACTGTCCAAAAGACCTTTGTAGAAACATGAGATGGTTTGGGTCTGAATGTCTTGCTGTATTGTGTGCTGACACAGATCGCATGTCTTCAAGTTCATCCTGATGTGAGACATCTCACTCAGATGTGGAAGATCTCCAAGCGATGATCTCAGCTGTGGGCATAAGTACAATGCCATTCGCAGTGGGGCGGCGCAGACCAAACCAGATTGCGAGCGATGGCAGGCCATCGAACAACAATCACGAGTCTGCCAGCCGAGCTCATCGCCGCTATTATCCGCAACATTCTTCCACGACAAGGAAATCTATACGATTATGATATCAACGACCTCAGCAGCCTCGCCTCATTCCGTGCAGCCTACCCGCAATTTTCTGGAGCCGTCGATTGCGAATGGAGATTATTCCACGGCAGTGGCCAGAATCGTGTTCGGCTTTGCGCTACCATCATCAACATGAATTTCCAACCTTTGGTCAGATTTCTAGATCAAATAGGCCCAGTGAATACGGCCTCTGTTTATCGCCTTCTGCTGGCATTTGAAAACTTTCCGCCGCTTGGCGAGGCTAGTTTGCCCGAGAGCTTCTGGTTACTGATACGACACAAGTTCTACTATCCCATATCGGAACCTCGGGATCATTTTCGAGGAGACTGGGACAGCCGGTGGCGCGTTGGCTATTGGGCGGAGAAGTTCCAGGAAGCAGTTCAGTTAGCGCAGAGAGCTTCACAAGCAGGCATAAGCGAAGCCGAGTTCAGAGGCAGATACCGTAAGTGGAGGGCCCGCGCAGTCTTAGAGCTTCAGCGGACTGAGCAAAACCTGTGAGGGAGAGCGAGGCAGTCGTTGCAGTGTGCGACGCAGACCAGGCAGGTACATCTCTATTCTATTACATCTAACGTGCTCTTTGACTTTCTGCTTCAACAAAGCTATGCTATGCGATACTCTCCTTCAGCCCTAACGAACACAAAAGATCAACATATCCGGTCTTTGCGGAGATGGCGTCTTGGCACATTACGAAAGCAAGGAAACAAATATCAGTTGTACTTTCTCTCTACTTTTGCATATTCTACCACATCACAGAGGGACTCATTATGACTACGTCTATCCTCGTCCTCGGTCTCGGCGAGCTCGGCGAGGAAGTCGTGAAGGCGATTGCGCTCCATCGCAGACGCGACAGCACCCAAGTCTCGGTCCTCCTTCGATCAAGAAAGCCGGATCAAATCAGCAGACTAGAGCAGTGGAATGTATCGCTCGTTAAGGGAGATGTCGACCAATCCTCACAGGACGAATTGGCCGCTATTTTCAAAGACTTTGGTACCGTGATCTGCTGCATCGGAATGTATTCGCCTCCATCGATGCAGATCAAGATAGCAAAGGCAGTGCTTGATGCAGAGGTGAAGAGATACTTCCCGTGGTAATGATTATTCAGCTCTCTGCATGTGATTCACATTTACTCATTACTGGCCAGGCAATTCGGCATTGACTACGACATCATCGGTCGCGGCAAAGCACAAGATCTCTTCGACAGCCAAGTTGACGTTCGCGACATCCTTCGCAGCCAATATTCGACAAAGTGGGTCATCGTGAGCACTGGACTCTTCATCCCATTCTTCTTCGAGCCTGCCTTTGGAATTGTCAATGCTGAGAGGACGGTCGTAACTGCGATTGGAGGTTGGGAGAATAAATTAACCGCCACCAATCCTGAAGACATCGGCAAATGCGTTGCTGAGCTGGCACTCGTCGATACAGATGCTCAAGGTGTGGTTTACGTTTCCGGGGACACAATTTCAATCGCGAAGTTAGCGGATGTGGTTGAGGATGTTATGGGAAAGAAGGTTGAGAGGGTCTTGAAAACTGTACCTGACTTGAAGAAGGAGCTTTCTGATAGTCCTGATGATGCTATGACCAAATATCGGGTTGTGTTCGGCGAAGGCACTGGAACATCTTGGTCGAGGGAGGACTCGTATAACGCGAAGAAAGGTATGGAGACGCAGTCAGTCGCAGACTGGGCGAAGAAGAACCTCCAGCTCGTGCAATAACTGCATTAGTTAAACGACAAGTACGTTACCACAGCATGAGATAGCATCACAACAGAGTAGGACAGGCAAGAGATCAATGCTTGACCTCATCGCCGGCCAATGCTATTCTCAAATAGGAAGGTGTAAACCTAGGATTCTCTTCGGCCAACATCGGCCAAAAGATGGACCGAGCAGAGAGCTTCAATGACATCTGAAGGGCGTGTTCTTGTATATCAGAGTCCACACACCAACAAATCTCAACACTTCGCAGATCTTAGGAGCCATGTCAAACTTCGATGTCGACAAAGTCCGCTCCCACTTTCCAGCCCTGGGTGGTAAACAAGTCTACTTCGACAATGCAGGAGGAAGTCAAGTCCCGAAGGAAGTCATAGATTCGTGAGCCTACCACTTATCCATAGACTTTTCTCAGAAGAGGTATCGTACTGATCCATCTCTCACAGAATCGTCTCATATCTCTCCTCCACCAATGTCCAACTCGGAGCCAGCTACCCAATCTCTCAAACATCTACCAATCTGTTCTACGAAGGATCCGCAGCCGCAGCAAAATACATCAACACTGCCCCAGAGAACGTCGTCCTCGGTCCATCAACAACCCAACACTTCCGAAACCTCTCAATCTCCTTATACGACTACATTGACTCGGACTCAGAAATCATCGTCTCTCTCCTCGACCACGAAGCCAACATCGCCTCCTGGGTCCAGCTCGCTAAAGACAAAAACTGCAAACTAATCTGGTGGGGCTCCGATTCGAAAACAAACCCTCAACTTGACCCTACCGTCCTCAAAGGCCTTCTCACCCCAAAAACAAAACTCGTAACCTGCACCCACACCTCCAACATCCTCGGCACCATCTCTCCCATAAAAGAAATCGCCGAAACCGTCCACACCATCCCGGGAGCATTACTCTGCGTCGACGCCGTAGCCTACGCCCCACACCGCGCCATCGACGTGCAAGACTTGGGTATAGATTTCTATTCCTTCTCCTGGTACAAACTCTACGGACCCCACATCGCATCACTATACGCCTCACCATCCGCACAGAAACACCTCCGAACTCTAGGCCACTTCTTCAAAGACACAACCTCTCTCGAAAACTTGCTAGGCCTCGCAGCAGCAAATTACGAACTCACAGCCTCAATCCCTTCCGTCTGCGCCTACCTATCTTCCGTCCCGTGGTCTCAAACTTCGGAATACGAAGAAGAACTCCAATCGATTCTGATAAGCCATTTGCTCAAGTATCCAGATACATATCAGATTTACGGCGAACCGACAGCTGATCGGAAGAAGCGTGTTCCGGTGATTTCTTTTACAGTGAAGGGCCACAAGAGTCAGGATGTTGTGGAGAAAATCGAGGCGAAGAGTGATTATGGTTGTAGGTGGGGAAGTTTCTACAGTAATCGTTTAGCGGAGAATGTTTGTGGGTTGGACCCGGTTGATGGGGTTGTGAGGGTTAGTCTTTTGCATTATAATACACGAGAGGAGGTTGAGGGGTTTGTGAAGGTGCTGGACGGGGTTGTCAGAGGGTGATGACGAGGCTGGAAATTGAGGAGAAGAAGAACGTGGACCGTAATAAGTGATGCAAATGTAGATGCGTATATGGACAGGATTTGAATGAAGCAGTGCGAGTGGTAAGGTGTAAATGTAAGCTCAGACTCTGCGATACCGCTGACAATGTGAGTCCACAGTGAAGACGAAGTGATACTGTAGCAATGGAGGTGTAGCACAGGAATTTGAAAGCCGAAGCTTACACTCAATGCTTTCTCATTACTCACCGTGTTTGTGAAGTGAAGGCTACGTGCTGCTGGTGGCTTAGCAGAATGCGTGACTCGGAAGCTGTATACGTGAGATGCTGGATAATCCCTCCACGTCACTCTGTAACAGAACTTATCATATAGTGAAGGCTACGTGCTGCTGGTGCCTCAGCAGAAGGCGAGACTCAGAAGCTCTGTAAGTGAGATGCTAGCCTCTCACCTCACGGCCCTCTGTGACAGAAGTTATTATATAGTGTAGACTTTGTGATCCTAAAGACTCGGTTAGCTATTCGATCTCGAAGCGCACTTTTCAACACGTGAAGTTTGCACGCCCTCTCTTCTATCAACCCTTTACGATACTCTGAGACGGAACTTATCATATAGTGTAGACTTTGTGATCCTAAAGACTCGGCTAGCTCTTCGATCTCGAAGCGCACTTTTCAGCACGTAAAGTCTGTGCGTGAGATGCTGGCCATTCCCTTGATGACACTCTGTTACAGAACTTATCATATAGTGTAGACTATGTGATACTAAAGACTTGGCTAGCTACTCGATCTCGAAGCGCATTTTTCAGCACGTAAAGTCTGTACGCCCTCACTTTCATCAACCCTTTGCACCATACCCCCGTAATGTCTTGTCTTTCTTGTAGGCATCCAGCTCCTGCTGCGTCGGTCTCTTCGCCGGCCCAGAGCTACGTATGGGATCTTGTCCTGGCTTCCTCTGCAGCGTGAACCTATGACGCTGTCGCTTTGAATCTGCAGCGTCGATATGCTCTACCCCAGTAATCTCATATAGGCCATCATAGCGGAAGCCTTCTTCTGGTGCATACACCGGGTCCGCATTCGAGCTACGAATGAGGCGGATGGGAGTCTTCAAGCGATAGCTTTCAATCAATCGTTGTGTGCCGTCTGATGGCTTCTTTTCAGGCCCATCGTTGTCGGTGCCGCAGTACTGGACATGATCGCCCTCATCCACGTCTGGGTATTTGTTGCCAGCTTTGTCGACTCCACCAGACATGATGACTGAGTATGCGCCTTGGCCCGTTTCACCATAGATACCACCTTGAGATGAGCCGTGGGCACCGTCACGCAGCGCAGTAAGCTGCGTGGGCCACCATTGGCCATTCAGAAGACGTCCATTGCCATAGTAATTCGACGGCACCTTTGGAAATTTTGGATCCAAGCGATCGGAACTGCCTTTATCCTTGGCGGTCTTTGGTTTCCCAACTTTGATGCCTCGCAGCAGATCGATCTCGAATGTTCGAGCGCACCACTTGTTGTATAGCTCTTCTGCATCGGCTTTCACGTCGTAGGGCCACGGGACTTTATCATCATATCGATGATCGAAGATTTGGGGAAGACCGTCGTTGTTGTGCAGCATACGCAGATTGCGAAGCAACTGGGGTGTAACTTCGATAAAGAAGACCTTGTGGATCATCTCCCTTAGCTCGTTCAACTCTCGTTCAGTCCCTGCGTCTCGCGATAGCTTCTTGATCTTTCCAATCTTCTCTTTCAGTCTCTCAAGTAAAACCTGAACATTGCCATGGCCCGCATCACGTTTCGTGATCGCTTTGAGCCTGCCGTACCATTTTGGAGGCTGCCTGTCGCCGCCCCAACTTGGTTCGCCAACGTCGAGAAGGTGTCCGCTTTCCTCTTCATCATCCTGAACTGGAGATTGTGGGGAAGCGCTGCTTGATACTGCTTGATGATTCTTTTTGGGTATCTTCGCCATTTTTGATATGTCGAATCCACCAGATGGTATAGATCTCTTGTGACTAGCAGCGGGCTTGGGAGGTAGAGTTGATACATCGAGCGCAGTAGATGTGCTAGATCTCCTATGCGGATCCAGAGGCTTGGGTGGCAGATTGGGCGAATCTTGGACTTCGCATATGCTAGATCTCTTCTGTGCGACCGGAGGTCTCGTTGGCCAGATAGCTAAATCTTGACCAGTAGATGCTTTTGCAGAAGCATTCGTGTTGTCGATGGACATCGATGTCGATGATTGAGTTGCGGATGGTGGCACTTTGCGGGCGACCTGGGTTTCTGGCTCGCTGACAAGCTCCTTTGAATCCCGCCGACGAACAGTATCATTGCTTGACGAAGAAGGCGGTCCTCCCTGCTTCGAGCTGCTCTTCGCCTCAGGCTGTTTCCGGGCATTCCATCCATGCAACGCAGAAGAGGGCGATGATGGCCTTGACCTATCTGAAACATCGCGTGAATACTGTGTGCTTGCGCTGCTAGCTGCACCTCGGAAAGCAAGCGGCGTGCCACTCCTTGGTATGATCTCTCGTATCTCGCCTTCTTCGCTACCTTGGCTTCCCAAAGGCTGTTCTACCGCATTCTGCAAGCTCTTTTGCTTCTGCATAGAGTTGAATCTTTGCTTCAACTTTGCTTGCTCTTCGGTCCTCTTCTTTACTGCCGCCGCTTTCTCCGCAGCGAGTCTCTCCTTCTCAACTACTTCCAGATTTTGGGCAGCATCCTTGCCCGTACTGACTGCGTCTTTTTGCAAGACCGTATTAGCTAGTGTTGCAGCTTCGGCTGCTTCTTCTACGAGGCGATCTGCATCAAATTTCTGCTTGACTGTTGTTCCCGTTGGCGTCTTCTTCGCCCTGCCCCTCGTCTTTTGTTGAGAATTAGCTTTTGATGCCTTGTCGATTGCCTCTAGACGCGCCTTCTCTGCTAGTTGTATAGCAAAATAGGCTTCTTCTCTTTGATTTCTCTCGGTTTCAACCTGAGCTCGCTGTCGCTCCTCGGCCTGAGCTATCTCTGGTTGCTGATTTTCTTCGGATTGCTTCAACTGCTCCGTGTCTCTCTTGAGCTCTGCCTTGGTCTCTTCGGAGAGCCCGAGAGTTGAGTTCTCGTTGCCCATGGCTGGTGTCTTTTGGAGGTGTCGCTAGTGATTCGGCGCTGACCCTCAATCGCTGGGTCTCTCTGTTGACTGGGGTTGAGGACTTCCAGATCCCAGTCGATGAGAGCAGCAGACGGTCATGAAGACGTTCCAAGCAGCGCAGCAGACGTACGCAGCTCGGAAGGCGCTTGCAATTGACTGTCGCCAAATTCAGATCGAGAATGGGCAGGAGTATCTCAGTACTTTCCAAGGATTCTAGGCAGTAAGTCAGTATTCTTAGCAGAATGTATAGTGAGAGCTCTGTCTACACGTCCAGGGTACAGTCCAATCTGACTGTCTAGGATCATCCATCTGCCTCACAACAGGTGAATTTCCCAAGCAGGATAGACGCAAAATACTGCAGACGTGTAGCAAGAGCTTGCTCCATACCTTGTGCCTGCGTACAAATGACTTATAGTCGTTGTTGAGTCGATGTGGCTGGTGTTGGAAAGGAGATGGTAAGCTGCCCGGGGAACACCGATGGCTGATTTCGATAATGCTGAACGACGGTAGATGGTAGCAGTGTCGAACAATGCTGGTCGTTCCTAGAAGTATGCCATGCTACCTCGCTGCCAGTGCATTTGATGTCGTGTGTAGCGATGAGTGCATGCTCCTGCGTCGACGCGTTGAGGTGCAGGTGCAGAGTCAACGCGTCGCAGGCGGCACCTTCCTCCTATCTATATCTTTATATCTATAAGGCAAGAACTGCAGGATGTCACCTGCATTTCTTGAACACTTCACTTCGCCGTCAAATTGCTTCAACGAAGTGAGGCGGGAAAACGAATGAGGAAGTCACATCGCCAAGAACAGCATTTAAATACTACCGCCAAGAGTCTAGCTTCGAGACGCCCCTCATCTAGTCCTTTTCCGGTCGTCATTGACTCGTCAATTTGGCGGCGAGATTACGCCTTGCTTTCTCAAGTTTCTCACCCGTGGCTCTGAGTAACTGAGGAAGGTATTGCTGAGATGGCTTATCAGCGATAGCGACTTCGATTGTGTGAGTCTGGACTGTGTTACGCAGCAGCACTGCCATCATCACCGCACGCGAGAAGTGCCAGCTCGAGATTCCCGAGATCTGATCGTGTCTGCGACGAATCGTGCCACGGCTTCTTGACCGTCTGTGCGGACAGTCGCCTCGAAGTGCAACGCGCCGATGATATCTTTCCTCTTCATCGGCAGGCCCAGCTCTTTGCAGATCGACTCAAGCTTGTCGACTTCATCTCGGGGCACGACTTCATCGCGCGTTGCAGGTAAGAGCAAGATCTCGGGTCGAAGGTCAGCTTCTGCAATGCGCTGCAAAGCCACCTCACTGTCCCAGTGATTCCAGAGAAATGGCCAGAGGTACTTATACGGTAGCCACTTTTGCGGGTACAAAGCCAGCAGCATGCTCTTGATGCTTGTGAAGGGTGTCTCCAGAAGCAGAGCAGTGAGAGGAGGCTTGTCCCTTGCTCGGTCAGTGACATATGTCGCAGCTGCCGTTGACGCCACACCAGAGCCAATGCTCTGTCCCCAAAGCATTATCTGCAGGTCAACGCCAGCACCTTCATATGTCTTCTGAATCCACTGCAACATAGCTTGGGCATCTTTCTCAATTCCTGCCTGCGAGGCTCGTCCAGAAGACGTCCAGTATCCACGATACGAAAGTGCTACGATCACAAATTCAACGTCTGAGTCTGGTGATGCGCGTTCGATGGCTTTGAGTGTTCCAGACATCAGAGGCAGTCGAGGAGGTATTGAAGAACCATTGCCGTGAAAGTATGCAATGGCAATTCTACGTTTTTTGCCTTGAACTGCGCTGTCTGTGCAAGTGCGCTCTGGCAGTCGACCAACAGCCAGTGCGATCTTGGTTCCGTCTAAGGACTTGACGTGTAGACTTTCCCATTCCACAGGCTTGCAGATGGCAGTATAGTCTTCCATCTTCTCGGATCGCGCAAATGGTGGCATGTAAGGCATATAGATGATCTTGTCCTGGAAAAGGACAGTCATGATACATTTGTACGTCCAAAGGCCAACAAGCAAGCTTAAGAACACTGCAGGAGGAACCAGAACCGCCGGAAGGCTTTCGCTGAAGAACGACCTCCGAGAGATAGGGGCATATCGTTGACATCGTGGCCTAGCATCTTGGGTACGCTTTCTGCCCACGCCCAGACAGCTCGTAATGGTGGCAGGTTGCGTAGCGTGAATGCGGCATGATGAGATGGTCCTGGCTGGCCTCAGGTAAGCATTCGTGATGCTGCCTCGACTGCGAGTCAAAGCATGATAAAGTCGCATACCACTTTCACTTTCATCTCGTCGTGACAAAGTTGATCACAGGCCAGGCCGATTGAGAAGAGAGAGTGGGGTCTAAAGTTTCACAGAGCGCTGAAGCATTGACTCAAGGCTCGATTTTTTATTCTCTTCCTTCCCGCAACATATTCACGCAGCATGGCAGCTTTGGAGAGATCGCCGCCTTATTTGGCTGCCATCGACCTGTCCGGATACCAGGGACTTGCACAGATCCAACAAGCCAAAGAGCTCGCATACGCCGGCGGAATCGCATCGACCGTGACCCCAGCCAATATCGATATCGCATTGGCACTGCTGAAAGATACCGTGTCCCGATTCCCCGTCTACCTCGAAGTCTCTGCCCTCGAATCGCAACAAGATCTGATCGACTTGCTTGACGCCGGCGCCGCCAAGCTCTTCGTATCAAGCCCCCAAGCCGCAGTCCTCTCAGAAGTCAAAGGTCTCGACCTGAGTCGCATAGTGTACACACCTACAGCCTCCGTTGGCGATAGTGAACGTGCTGTACAGGGCAAGCCTTTTGGCCTCTTCATACAGAATGTGAGCAGCGTCAGCACTGTTGGCGCATTGCTGCAAGAGCTTGGCAAGAATCATCCGCCGGTCTATGTCTCGAAGGCACACATCACAGAGGAGGAAGCTGTTGGGCTCTGCACGCAAAACGCGGTTCCAATTATACCAGCTCAGCAGCTGACTGTAGCTACTGAGCCTTCACCAGACCATATCAGAATCGCAACTCTGATCTTGGCTCTCACCAAAAGCGACCGACCAGATGGACTCTTCACCACATTGGTTACTGATGAGCGCGGAATTGCTCTTGGCTTGGTGTACAGCAGTGCCGAAAGTGTTGCGGAGAGTTTGAAGTGCGGACGTGGCGTGTACCACAGCAGAAAGAGAGGGTTATGGCGGAAGGGTGACACCAGCGGTGACTGGCAAGAATTGGTGCGCATTGAGGCCGACTGTGACCAGGACTGTCTATCTTTTGTGGTCAGGCAGCAGGGTCACGGCTTCTGTCACTTACAAACAGCGACCTGCTTTGGACAGTATAGAGGACTCTCCAAGCTGCAGAAAACGCTTCAGAGCCGGAAACGCTCTGCACCAGAAGGGTCATACACTGCTCGCTTATTCACCGACTCTAAATTGCTCAACGCCAAGATCATGGAAGAGGCTGCTGAGCTTACAGAAGCGCAATCGAAAGAGGAAATTGCTTTCGAAGCAGCTGATGTGCTCTACTTCACGCTGACCAAGGCCATTGCTGCCGGTGTTTCTCTGGAAGACATCGAGCGGAATCTGGACGCCAAGAGCGTGAAGGTGAAGAGACGGAAAGGTGACGCGAAGGGACCATATGCAGAGAAGTTCGGCGTCGATGGATCGGCACCCTCGAATGGCGCTCCGAGCAAAAAGGAGATCAGGGAGGCCGAGTCGAAGCCGAAGAGCGAAGACGATCCTGCAGGTGTAGATAAGGACGGGAGAATACGCATGAATCGCCTTGTCACGGCCAACGAGACGCCAGAAACGATTCGCTACGCCTTGCAGCGACCTTCTCAGCGATCGACCGAGAAGATCATGGGCATTGTCAACCCGATCATCAAGGACATTCGGGAGCGCGGCGATACAGCTTTGCTTGAATACACCCATAACTTCGAGAAAGCGACATCATTGACATCAGCCGTGCTTAAAGCGCCTTTTCCGCCAAGCTTAATGCAACTGTCTCCCGAGACGATCGAAGCCATCGACATCTCATACGAAAATATCCGCAAGTTCCACGCAGCACAGGCCACAGAGACTTTGGAAGTCGAGACGATGCCTGGTGTAGTGTGTTCACGCTTCGCACGACCTATCGAATCTGTTGGGCTTTATGTACCTGGCGGCACTGCAGTACTTCCATCAACCGCACTCATGCTTGGCGTTCCGGCAATGGTAGCTGGCTGCAAGCGCATCGTCCTCGCCTCACCTCCGCGTGCAGATGGTTCTTTGACACCCGAAATTGTGTATGTTGCTCACAAGGTCGGTGCCGAGAGCATCGTACTCGCTGGTGGTGCTCAAGCTGTAGCTGCGATGGCTTACGGCACCGAGAATGTCAGTAAGGTTGATAAGATTCTCGGTCCCGGCAATCAATTCGTCACAGCAGCCAAGATGATCGTGTCGAATGATACGAGCGCCAATGTGAGCATCGATATGCCTGCCGGGCCATCGGAAGTGTTGGTCATAGCAGACAAGACTGCTAACCCGGCTTTCGTGGCTTCCGACCTGCTCTCTCAAGCCGAACATGGTGTAGATTCACAAGTAGTCTGCATCGCGGTTGGCCTGAATGACGCGGAAGTGCAAGCTATCGAGGATGAATTGCATAAGCAGGCTATGGCATTACCTCGTGTGGACATGGTCAGAGGCGCGATCTCTCACTCGACTACCCTCATCGTCAAGGACATCGAGGAGGCCATGGAATTGAGCAATCTTTACGCACCCGAGCACTTGATCCTGCAGGTTCAAGATCCAATCGCTGTTCGCGAGATGGTGCAAAACGCTGGCTCTGTCTTCTGCGGTCAGTGGACACCTGAAAGTGTTGGCGACTACTCGGCTGGTGTCAACCACAGTCTACCGACTTATGGCTATGCCAAGCAATATTCTGGAGTCAACCTTGGCAGCTATGTGAAGCACATCACAAGCTCGAATCTCACAGCAGAAGGTTTGAAGAACGTTGGTCAAGCAGTGATGAGACTGGCGGCTGTGGAAGAGCTACATGCCCACGAGAGAGCGGTCAAGATCAGACTTGATTATATGGCAAAAGCCCAAATATGATTGCTATGCAGTGTTATGTCGCTGACGAAAGTGTATAGATGAGCCAGATAGAATCTCAAGGATCGCATGATACCAGGCCCACCTGCTTCGCCCTCTCAGATCGCGTCGGCCTTCCCGAAAATCCCAAAATCATGAACCAAATCATTCGCAGCAAGTTCGCATCGGGAGGACCTTCGTAAAGTCGAGCGCTGTCTTGCTCCACGGCATTTCCCAAATTCTAGCGATGGCATCGTTTGCAAACCCGTCCATAATTTGAAGCACCCTCGACCTGCTGCCAGCCAGCATCCATCTCGCGTTCAACCTGTCCGCCGCTCCCAACGACGACCTTCGAAGCACATCCACCCGCTTCCACTCAAACCTGCCCTCCTCCCTCACCCTCACCCTCCCCATCATCCACCAACCACCTCTCATCCACGATCCCAGCAACATGTCTCCACCCCTCCAAATCCTCCCTCACCCTCTCCCACCCCTTCCGTCCCGGTGTGCCCGCCATCCTCGTCGCAGCAGTAACAACCACAGACAAACCCTTGGCATTCTCCTTACACTGAAACCAAGTCGTCTCACCCATATACACAGCCTCACACCAATGCATCAAATTCCCCCAATTGGGAGAACCTTTCATGCGAAAAGACATTTTCGGTCCCTCTTTCAGACCGGAGGTGGACATGAAGGTGTTTTGAAAGCGCTTCGCGAGCTCGACCTCGCAGTTCAGGATCGTGATCGAAAAGGTGTTGGATGAGAGCCAAAGTTTGAGGGACTCGGTGCGGATTTGGTGGCAGACGGAGATGAGGGCTGGAGGGAGGTAGGTTGGGGTGATGGTTGGTTTGGACTCTGGTGGGGAGATCAGGATGAGTTCGTAGATTTGGTTGCGGAGTTCGGGTGGGAGGGAAAGGAGTGGGGACTATCAGAATTATGGGTTAGTTGACTGAGAGAGGGTTGAGCACTTGGTGGACTTACGTCTTGTGCGATGCGACATGGCTGGGTGGTGCTGCTCATCGTGATGGCGTGGGTTTCTGGAGCAGTGCGCGCTGGCTCATCGATCTTGCTCATCGTGATGGCTGTGGCTGCTGAAGCGATTTTCTGGTCGGCGGAAGGCGAATGAACGGAGGTTTCATCGTCGAGGTTCATGATAGATGGTTTGCGGTGTCTACGCTTGTTGAGATAGAGCGATGAGTGGATGAGTTAGTTTCGAAGAAAGTCGGACATGTTACCGATGAAGATGACAATAGGTTGAGTTTTCTATTGTTGGAATAGGCACCAATGGCTAATTTGCATGTGATAGTAGACTTGCAGTCGCCATCACTTCGGCTCATGCGTGTGCTCACTCTGGAGGCTTTTGAGCTCACTTCGAGTGAGCGATGGTTCCCTCATTCGGCGTTCGCGAAAGCACAGTGCACGGTATAATGGCATATATTAGGATATGGCTATCCTGCTAAGTGTGGTGGGTCTGATGATAGTCCAGGCATCTTGACAATGGAGGTTTGCACTGCGCTAAGCAATAGCATAAACTGAAGTGAGCATCTGACTTCTCAGTATCACACTTTCTACGCAACTGAAGTTTGGGCAAGGCTCACACCATGGCACACATGCGAGCTGCAAAGACGATGCCAAGAAAACAGAGCCTTGTTCCCACTGATGCATGTGAAAGCTTGGGCCCCCTTGAGGAGCCTCGCCAAGTGGCAGGACTTGCATGATCACGAAGCAAAGTCTTGTGCTGAGATTGAAGGGTGCAGAAAGCCATGGAGGGATCAACTACGGGGTGTAGCTGGATATCTGGATTCCGCGTGGTTTCGGGATCGCGCATGTGAAAGAGAGAGAGAGAGAGGCTGTCGTGATTCCGGGCGTGGTTGGAGCTGTGGTTTTCTGGCGTCAGTAAAGTGGGCAGCGGCTCGATAGGCCTCTCTCCAGCAGCAATTCCATCCTCATCGTCATTCCACCTCGAACGAAATCTGCACGTTCGTCGCCGTAATTTTAAGATTCGTCAAAGTGGCTTTGTTTTGCCTTCACTCCAGATCCAAGCGTCTGAAGGCTTTCCATTAATGACTATCTAAGCTTCCCTTTCCTACTCCCCCTCCCTCCTCACGCGTCCCAAATCTCATAAAATGCGTATCCTACACTCCATTCCAATCTACAACCGAAAAGCACTAATCTACCGTAACGATGATGGATCCGGTCCAAAACAAGCAGTACGCCGAAACTAATGCAAACATTTTTCCAGAATTCCCTCTTCTCCCTCGCGGGCTTTTCTAATTTCGCTCGTAAATGGTCGTAACCTTGACTAGGTTCCTCCTCTTATGCCGGTAAGAAGTACTGTGATTGGTATCGCTGAGTAAACAGAACGCCGAAAGATGATGTGGTTGAATTGGTCGCTGAATCGCTAAGTTGCTGAAAGACGGAACGCTGGACGATATTGAAGCAGTACGCCGAAGATTCCGGAGATTCGGTCTAGCTGAAGAATCGAAGATGTGGCTATTCGCGGAGGTGCTTCGTTTGGCTCAGTAATGAGCGTTGAGATTTGAGACTGACATGCGGTGAGCAGTAGCTGCGCGGTGAGCCTGCTGGTGATCGTAGGAAGAGCGTCGGCGGAGCTCATCGAGACTGGCGGCATGCTGAGGCTGTGGCTGCCGCAAAGGCGTCCGGCTGTAATGATGATTCGGTGTCGCAGCGTCATCTGTGGAACCTGACGTGAGGTGGCGCGCAGGCGTCGCTCGATCTGAGACATCGACGCCAGAGCTGAAAGTATACAAAGTGGCCGCTGTTTCGTGCGACGTAGATGGTCGGCGCTGCTGTTCGTCATTGCCGCTGAGCGCTGGTAGATTCGGCAGAGAGCCACTGGCCGAGTATCGCAAAGTCGCTGGAGGCAGCATCGTGGATCCAGCTGTAGAAGAACTAGAAGTGCTAGAGTAGCTTTCAGAAAGCGCGGGTCCCGTTGTGGGTGAGATTTCTGGACTGCCGGAAGAAGCACTGAACTGGTAGCCAAGAACAGGCTCGGTCATCAAAGATGAGGATGCTCCAGGCGCTGAGGATGACAGAGGCATACTCTGCTGGGCGGCAGCTAAATTGGTGATGGAGCCACTTCTTGAGACGACCGGACTGCCCGAAGACCAGGACATGCCGTGACGACTGTAGATGCCTCCGATGTGTGCGCGAGGGTGTGGCTCGGTGAACGAAGTCAATGGCCGGATTTGTGGCACTTCTGTTGTAGTGTAGGCAGGTTGTTGCTGTGGGTAAGGGATGGGCAATCGCCTCTCTTGGACCGTGTGCGGCGGCACGGACTGGGTAGGTAAAGTTGAATGCAATGAACTCATATTCAGCGGCGAGAACACCTCCCCGGAGACACTGGAAAGGCGAGTCATGGGTGTGACCGGGTAGCCCGGTGCGGCCTGTAGACTGCCGAAGCTGAATGCAGCTCCAGGTTCGTAGTACATGCTAGTTGAGGTGGCCGGAGTTGAGACCGATGCACTTGTGTAGGGACGAAAGCTCTCAGTGCTGAAGTTGCTGGAGAAAGACTCGTGTCTCGGCACTGCTGCTGCTGCATATGCGTACTCATCGACTGGAGAGGCATTGTATGAATCGTACTCTGGATAAGCTGTGCGTGTTTGCAGCATCGGAAGAGAAGGTCGCTGGTGGGTTTGATACAGTCCAGAGCTGTAAGAACTTGCTGAAGAATCGCTGCTGTATGATACTGATGCCGACGCCGACGCTGGAGTTGCAGATGCCATACTGCTGGTGGTGGGAAGCATGTCGACACCTGCGATAGCAACATCACGGCTGCCAACCTACCATGCCATCAGTAGGCTTCATGAAGGCATTGAAAGACAAAACTGACCCTGTTGAATGTACATGAAGACTTGTCCGCATTGGCGGATTTGCAGGCTGAACAGCCACTGCCATCTCCTGGGTCACCACTGCATTTGATCTTCCGCCTGCGACATCGAGAGCACTGCCTTTGAATTAACTTTCGTCCAGTATGCCCGAGATGGATGACTTACAGCGACTTGTATCCGTCGTCTAGTATGCCCTGCGGGACCACTTTCTGGACCTGGTTCCTGTATCAGAGTCCGCGTGCCAGGCCGGCCAGGGAAGTCCGAGCGAAGTTCTGGATGGGTTGGCTCATAATAGGCATGCGTGTATGGTACTGGGCGCTCATAGTGTGCCGAGTTGGCATACACTCGATGGCTTGGGCGGTTGAACGAGTCGAAATCACTGCCGTAGTAGGACTGCGTCATCATCATCTTGCGATAGACCAGGGCTCCATTGCCTGACTGAAGCAGAAAGAGCCGTCCCGCTGCACGAAGTCACAGAAACAGTCAGTCGGCCGGCCACGAGCAGGAGCTCGTTAGGAAAATTTCGGTAGGAGGAGGATAGCTCGCAGGAGCAGCGCTCCAAGGCTCGTTTTGTCAGATCGCCGCTGGGATTTGAAAGAGGCGAGGCGAGGCGAGAAGAGTGCAGGGCGGGAGGATGAACCAGTGATGAGCAAACACTGTAATGGATTTCAGGAGGTCCGACGAGAAAAAGTTGTTTGCGTGGGACAAAGAGAAACGTGAGCAGAGCCCAACCAAGTTTTGTGAAGGCAGCCCGTGAGCCGTGGCAAGTTTTGAAATAGGCGTGATTGGGTCAAGTCGTGGCCGTCCAAGATAGCATGGCCAGTGCACTTGTATCAAAGCACAGCGCAGCCTTGAAAACGTTGTACGCTCAGGTTTTGCAACTGCGACGGATGGTTGCGGCTGGCGCGCGGGACGCTGCAGCAGAGGCACGATCAGCGTCCAGAATGTCTCCAGTTCAGGCTGGGTCCAGCGCAGCTCGCTCTACCGGGTAATGGTATTCGAAGAGCATCCCTGTCCGTCTGAGTGGACATGGCCGCTCCACGCTCGTCTGCTGCTGCACGCCGAGCTCACAGAAGCGGGATAGCAAGTCTCGAATAGTCAGTGGCAACAATCGTGGCTTCCACTCCAGTGTTTGCCAACTGCGTGGGCCAGATTGGATGAAGCGCTGAAACGAGGCGAGGCAAGCAAGAATCATGCGTGGCTGATTGATTCAGGGCTTGATGCACTGCGCAGCTCGTGCTGGGGCAGTTGTGTGAGCTGTCTGTCAAAGCTGAGCGCAATGGTCGCCACCAGTGGGCCACAGTACTTCGCTACAGCCGGCTTACAAAGCCACGTGTTCAGGTGCCAGGCACATTCAGCATTCAGCATTCAGCAGCAGCGTGTCGTACCGTCGGAACCATGTCGAATGTGAAATGGTCCACACACGGTCATAGAAATCCAATGACCGCTTGCTTCTTGCCTCCATGAAGGCTGTAGTGAGGAAGTTTTGTGGGTGTTCGATGCCGTGTATCGTCCATGGGTTGACCAGGGTGCATGTTGCGACAGGAGCTTAGCGGGCAGTCCCCACCAAAGCTTCGGTTTGCGCGGTAGAGAAAATTCATCAATTGGCCTGTTTGTCAGAGGATGAGCCTCAGCATGATGAGCCCGCCAATTCGTGCCAGTGTCTGGAGCAACACCAATTTCTGTAATGCACGGCGGTCGCCGCGCACAGGCATTCCTGGCCTGGTGGAACGTGTCGGGATGGCATGGCGCAAACATGCACGTAGCCGTGCCGCTGGCGTCTCTGGAAGGCCGGACTCAGCATATCAGCATTCGCAGCCAGCAGCAGGAAGATGCGGTGCACGAGCGAAGCAATTCCCCGGCTGACGCCCGTCGCCGGCATGCTGCAATGGACCTTCTCTGGAGTCACAAGGAGCTGGTCCAGAAGTCACTTGGAGCAGATGCTGCGGGCTACGTTAGAGCCAACGCCGCCGATGGTATGCGTGTTCTCAGAGGTCTGCTCTTGTTGTGCGATGACCGGCCGTGCAGGGACTCACTCACTCTTTCACTCTCACCGTCTGCCGGCTGCTTGCGGACGAGCTGTCACACGCCCGATCAGCATGTCCATCCTGTCACCACTGTTGTCCAGACTCAAGAGGCAGTCGGGTACCTGCAGACCGCCAGTCGCAACCAGAATTGAATGCTGATAAGGAGGCTGTCATGGCTGGCCTTCAGCATGTGCTACCGGGCTGCGCATGCTGCGCTTGCTGCGCAATTCTCGCGTGCAGATTATTATTGCTGAAATGCAGAATGGGTGCTGAGCGAGCAAGGATCGATGCCGCGGCGTTCCCAAGTTGATGGTCTGCAGGTGCTCTGCTCCTCTTTCGCCTGCACATCGGACAGCTTAGGTTCGCCGAGCGGAGGTGCGCGTCGAAAGCGTGATACGATAGCAGTCGATTGAGATACCGCAGGTGCAGTGCAGTGCGATTCCTCGTACCTGCCGTCTCCATGTGACGTCCAGAAAGACCACCAGCCCGAGATTCGGTCAACTCCACGCTCCCTTGCATGAACTGCCAGCAAAACCTTGACGGCCCGAACCTTGGCTCGATTTTCCGTCGATGAAACCACGACAGGTACAGCAGTTACACAGCACTCGCATTTCTGAAGCCGACGAGCGACACAAGCACTTCACCTGCTGCACAGTGCATCGTCACGGCATCTGCTAACGTCGCAAAGCCCACGCATCGACTGTGCTGAACTCTGACACAGCCAGCGCAACAACGCGCGCACCATGTCGGTGCTGCTGGAGACATCCGCCGGCGACATCACATGCGACCTGTTCCTGGAAGATGCCCCGAAATGCTGTGAAAAGTGAGTGCGCACCTGTCTCTGGCTGACATTGTGAAGGCTGATCAGTTTGCTAAGTCTCGCGCGCGCGCCCACAGCTTCCTGAAGCTCTGCAAGATTAAGTACTACAATTACGCGCCAATCTACAACGTGCAACCCAATTTCTCCTTCCAGACCGGCGATCCCATCGGACCCGAGTCAAAAGATAGTGATGGCGGAGCGTCGATATGGGCTTTGCCAGATGGCGCCACGAAGCGCGCATCGAAGCCAGAGCGTGCCGTCTTCGCGCCAGAGTTCTCTAGCAAGAGGAAGCATACAGAGCGCGGCAGACTGAGCATGGCTACCACCGTGTCCAAGACGAATCCTGATGAACGACTCGCCACTAGTCAATTCATCGTCACGTTGGGAGAGAATTTGGAGCAATTGGATGGCAAGGCAGCGATATTTGGCGAGGTCGTTGAAGGATTTGACGCGCTGGAGAAGATTAATTCGGCTTTCGTTGATTCGACCGGACGACCACTGCGGGACATTAGGATCTTGCACACGGTCGTGCTAGAAGACCCATACGATGATCCACCGGGTCTGGTCGAACCTCCAGCAAGTCCCGTGCCTTCGAAGGAGCAGCAAGCCACTGTTCGAATTGCGCATGATGAAGTCCTCGAGGAGAACGCAGATCCCGAGCAGCTGGAGAAACTGCGTCGCGAACGAGAAGCACGTGCTCAGGCGCTGACATTAGAACTCATTGGAGACCTTCCATTTGCGGATGTCACCCCACCTGAACAGATTCTGTTCGTGTGCAAGCTGAATCCAGTCACTCGGGACGACGACCTGGAGCTCATCTTCTCACGCTTCGGCAAGATCCTGTCATGTGAAGTCATTCGTGACAAAAAGACTGGTGACAGCCTGCAGTACGCTTTCATTGAATTCGCCAACAAGGAGGACTGCGAACGTGCATACTTTAAAATGCAAGGCGTGCTGATTGATGATCATCGCATTCACGTGGACTTCTCGCAGTCTGTGTCGAAGCTGTCTGCTGATTGGAGGAACACAACCAATTCAAAGACCGCCCGATCGCGAGGTGGCTTCGGTGGTATTGATAGCTTGGAAAAGAGAAAGCAGTATCGCTCACACGACGGCGGAAGAGATCGAGAACGGGGTAGTCACTACGACTACGTGTTCGACAAGAAAGATCGGTCCAAGGACAGCGACCGAGATGGCCGCAACCGAGACGATAGACGACATCGCTCTCGAAGTCGCAGTCGCAGCCCAAAGCGACGACACGGACACAAGGACGACCGCAGAGATGATCGTCGACGCGATGATCGGCCGAGGGCCCGAAGTCGTGATCGATATCGCGATGACCGCGACTCTTGTAGGCGCTGAATCGTGCTCCCGTCGCCTCACATGCGTGTAAACTGACTTCGACGCAAATCCGAGCACTTTGCGAGGGCATCAACACCTGGCCAACAGCCGCAAACAAGTCATTCCTCTAGGTTTATTCGTTGTACGGCTGTGCAGGAAGTCAATGGGATGCAATTCGCTCTCATTTCATCTCTCATCCATCTATTCGTTTTTCCTAGCTACCGAAATGCGGCATTATCTGCCATACTCCCTGAAGAGTCTACCTACTCTCTAAGCCCTCCAGCATCGCCAACAATGCATGACTGCGAGGACCCCAAAGGAATCAATGCAATCTGGCTTTCGGTGTTCCACATGAAAGTCCCGGTCCTTTTAGAGCTGACAATGACCTGATTCAAGCGCCCAATTCTGCTCAGCCGTCATCGTCGTCATCGCCGCTATGCTCACCATAACCATCGCCCTGGGTATCGCATGCCATGCAATGCAGATTTTTCCACGCATACAGAAACATTCAGCCTCGCCCTCGCACAGCTCAGAGCAATCCAGTCCCGTTCGGCCTGTCCAGTCTGCTGTCGATCGATCAATCAATCAATCGAGTCAAGAATCATCCTTGGCCGACACAGGATCATGATAGGTAAAGACCTCATCTCCAGCAACTCCGGGCGCCTTCCACGTACTCACTCCACTCTCCTCATCATACTTCTCAAAAGAATTCGCCAACCTCTTGCCCCCACCACCCGGCAAATCAACCACAAACTGCGGCATCATAAACCCAGCAATCGTGCCGCGAATCTTCCTCTCCAACTCCAAAATCTTGCTCAACGGCGTCCGCAAATCCTCAACCCCCCGAACCATGTCCGATTGATACACGTAATACGGCTGAACGTTCAAATCCGCGAGTTTTCGAATCAAAGTCGACATGGTGGCCACATCATCATTGACACCTTTCAACAAAACACTCTGATTCCTCACCATCACGCCTTTCTGAAACAGCGCCCGTGCAGCCTTCTCCGTCACCCACGTGATTTCCCTCGGATGATTGATATGCGTGTGCATGGCCACTTGCTTGCCCATCGCTCTCCCCTGATTCGATAATTCCACAAACGCATCCGACCATTCGTCCCCTCCGTCTAGAATTCGCATCGGACATACTCCTAGCCCCTTGGTCGCGAACCGGATCCTTTGCACGTGGGGGACGGAGAGGAGACGTTCGCCGACGAGACGGAGTTGGGCGGGTTGAAGGTAATATGAGTCGCCGCCGGAGACGACGACGTCTTGAACTGCGGGGTTCCTTTCTATGTATTCGAACATGGTCTCCCAGCGTTTTCTGCCCGGTTTTTGGGAGGCTTTGGTGACGGATTCGGTGTTGTTGCCGACGGCGTAGGAGCGGGTGCAGAAGCGGCAGTAGACGGGACAGACGGAGGTTGCTAATGAAGTGGTTGGTATTAGCTTTTCGTGATGATCATGGGTTGGTGGTGGTGTGGTGGTGGTGGTGGAGTGGAGCTTGGTTGTTTACCTAGAAATAGGACCTTATCGGGATACCGATGGACGAGGCCTGGCACCGGGGAATCATCCGTTTCGTGGAGCGAATCTAGGGTGAGTGCAGGATGGTCTGGAGTGATCGTGGATCCGAGAGGTATGAATTGTCGTCGGATTGGATCTGAGAGTGGATCGTTCCAGTTGGCTACGCTGAGCATGTGTGGCGTCAGGCGAACGGACATTGGCGCTGCTTTCATGCCTGCTTCGACATCCGTGAGGAAGTCATCTCGTGTCTTGATCTTCGCCCATGCCGATGTTCGCGGATGTGGGATATGTTCCGGCAGCACATGTTCGAGAAATCTGAGGAGCTTGTCTTTCCGATCGATGGTATTGCTTGTCTGGTTGACAACCAGCGTCAGTGATGGGTTGGAAGAGAGGTTTCATCACGGTCAGAACTACTTGCCTGCCACCGGTAGCTGAGGAACTGTTCTTCCGTGACATCCTTCCATACTCCTATTTGCCGCCAGTATGCCGGACCCTGGGCTCGGGTAGCCGTTGCAAGAGGGTTCGGCTTCGGGTTGTAGAGATCTGGCGTGATGAATGCCGAGCCACTGACTCGATTGACAATCCCTGCTTCGGTTGCAAAGTTTCTCGTTGGTCGCTGACAGCTTTGAACGTATGGGAGACTGGCAACGGTCGGCGTCCGGCTCCACGAGGCCAGGGCCCGTAGGCTGTTATTACATCCCATGGTTGATGGAACGCGGGAGGCTAAAGGGCAGGAGGTCATGGTGGTAGCTGGATCGAAATGGAAAATGCGATGGAGCTAAGGTGACGGTCTCATGAGCGGTCTTTTGAGGGTACAAGTACCCTCTCGCCTTTCTGTACCTCAACGCCAGCCAGCCTTTGAACATCGATGTTGTGTATACAATAGGCTCCACTTCATCTGATATTGTATATCAGTCACATCCCTCGTGCCGCTAGCCAAGCAAGCCAGTGGCTGGCTCCGTTTGTTTTATGTGTCGAAAATGATTTCGGTTTTACGTCCACACGTGCAACACGCGCGCTCGGCCGATGCTGTGCTTGGACTGCGCTGCGCATGACCGTCGAATAGCTTTGGCTATACAGTGAGATCCACTTTCGGAAGGCACTGAGGTGCAGATATTTCCTTCGGCCACTAGTGCTTGGTCCCAATCGGTCCCAATCGTAGATGACGGCAGGTTTTCGTGCGAAATGCCTCAGTGGGGTCGGTCATTCACAGAACCTTCTTGATTCAAAAGAGCAATATCAGTGGCTAAGGAGCGCGCCGTCCACTCTTGAGTTGCTGAGTGCAGCATTCCCGCAGCGGGAGCACCATGGACAATGCATGTGACGTACGCGCCGCACATGGGCGTACGGTGGACATGTCGGTTGGAGCCGATGCCAATGAAGTCCTCCACTGCTGTGCCTCAGCTGCTGCAGGGCTTGTCACGGGGAGAGATATGGCTGCGAGACGTTCGGGATCCGGGGATTCAGGTACCTGAATACAACCTTGGACAGAAGATACCGAGATAGGGCGGTACATCGCCCTACCAACCTACCAAGAAGCTAAGGCATCGCACGACCTACGCTGGGCTTGCCTGAGCATTGCGTCTGGTTGGATTGCCAGATGTGGTGCGCCATGACCAACCAGACCCATCGCTTTGAAGGCCACAGATGCTGGGCTACTGCGCGGCGTCCTCATGCGTCTACGTCGGCTATCAGAGAAACATCAGTGGTGCGTGGAAGACGCTGCAGTAGTCTATCCCAGCCAAAGTGGCGCAATCGAACCTTATCCAGCACACGGAGCTGTCAGCGAGACGTATGTGCAGCACTACGAGACGGTGTTGGTGAACGGACGATGGGCAATAATAAACAGTCAGCGCAGCACGTTCTTGAGCAAGTCCCCCGTAGGAAGGCAGGAGTATGGGCATGGACATGGCAGCAAGGCTGTTCCCGGCGAAGGAAGGTTGCAAATATGCCGCGCTGTGATTGTCGGCCGTGTTTGCATCAATAATGGCGCTGATCTCCCATTACAGGAGCATCTTGCGCGGAAGTGCAATCTCTCGATTTGGTCACTATGGTGTCACCGTCAGCTGCCTGCTTGCGTTGGGTTTGAAGTGCTTTCTCGCGGTGGTCACTCCATGCGTAGGGATACGCATGTCAGGTCGCCAGCTGCGCCCTTCTCCGGCGGCGCTGAAGTGTCCAAACTTCTCGATGCCAATGCCAATGCCAATGCCAATGCCAGGAGCCAGACCACCAACCAGCTTTGAGAAGGGCGAAGGGCAAGTTCGGAGCTGGATGGTGCAGGTTAGACAGCACAATCGCCCTCGCCGTTCTTCGTCGTCGGGGACCGCAAGCCGTCAGAACAAGCTGCAATCTTAGCTCTTTGGAAGGAACGCTAGCCTGCAGTCGAGCTCCAGATCACACCGACACAGTGCGGTGATGTGAATCAGTATTGGAGGAGGAGGCGATGTCGCGGACGACATACTTTCGGCCCACGCTTGTGGCGTTCCCCATGATCCTGGTCCTAGACTCCTAGGTCCAACTCCTCCCAATGGCATGGCCATGGTCTCATCCAGAGCCAAACAGACGTGGCCATGTCTGGAAGCAGCACTGACTGACTGAGATGCTGCCGTCGCACAAGAAGCAATACCACTGCCGCGAGGCCTCCTCCTTGTCCACGTCTTGGCTGGTCATGCTCTCGCCGCACACTGGGGAAAACCAACAGCAAGCCTTGTAAAATGGATCCCACGGAGTTGCCTGAGCATCACAGGTGGCGATCAATCCACTGGTACTGGTACATGCACCGCGGCTGCAGGCCTTTCGTGGCCCAAGACACAGCGACGTACAACTTTGCTACTTTGTGCTACACCTGATGGCTCTTCGGAGTTTATCCTGATGACTGGGTGCGAGTCGTCTGCCGGTAGAAGCGTCGTCCCGATGCCTCAGACGGACAACGGACCGTGTGGTGTGGACAACGCCCCGCTCGCCGTGATGCAGCAATGAGAGGAGGATTCCCTGCTTTCCTCTGGGGGTGGAATATGGCAATACTCGCCTGAGAAATGGCACTATGTCCTGTCGTGCATTATCTACATGGCTGGATATCTAATACTCTAGGTGACTGTTGTACAATCGACATTCATCATCCCTGGACGACCTAACAAAATCTCGTGAATGCGCCCAAATGCGAGGCCGGCGCTCCAATCAATAACAAGGTATCCCAATTTTCGTAAGTCATCTCTCATCCCAGAACGCCATGCTATCAATCGTGTCACTGACTAATCAAACCCGCCAGGCATCTTCTCCTTGTTCTCCGAGTCTTGTCGTTCCTGCTTTCGTGCATCGTCCACCTTATCAGATGCATTTGCACGGAGATCATCATCATTATCATCAAGTTTGACTTCCTGAAGCTGTTGTGCCGCCGCTGCAGTGCCGCTGTGCTTCTCAGCACCCATGCTGTCCATTACGGTCTCCTTTTCCGGCTGAGCGTTATCGATCGAGCCGCGCTCTACAGATGAGAAGTCGTCCTTAGTGGGAGAAGCAGAAGCATCGACCTGGACTTGTTCACTGTTTCGGCTTGGGTTTCTCGGTGGGAGTTTTGGAGGTAGTCTTTTCGGTACGTTGACCAGCCGAGCTCGAGACACTACCTGCGAAGTCACTGGTTGTACTGTATGGATGGACTGCACCACAGGCTGCTCGATGATCTGTACGTCATCGTCATGCTCGTTGTCGTGCTCGGGATTGTCCTTGTGCTTGTAGTCTCCTGACGAGGCGGGAGGTGTGCGTGGTGGTGTAGTGTAGCCATTCGAAGTGCTCACGCTGACAGGCTCTGCGCGAGCACGTGCTGTCTTGAGCTCTTCATCCTCTGGTACATCCTCCATCGTTGTTGCTGCGTGTCCATTGGAGAGGCTACCTTTGCTGCTATGCTGACTTCGCACACTCCTTCGACTTGGCGACTGTGGCGCATCAGTCGGCAAGTCTGTTTGTGTCGCGGAGTCCGTCATGACTGTCAGCGATCCTCTCCGCCGTTCCATGCTATTTCTTAGCGAGCTTGGCGTTTTGGGTTCTACAGCACTGAATGCGCTGGAGCGCCAGCTGTTACGTCTACTGATTGTCCTTGCGCTCATGTCCTGACTTCGCCGGGAATATATGTTGTAGATCGGGCTTGTAGGGCTTGGGTTGAAGGAGAACTGCTCCCAGCTAGCACGTTTCTGCGTTCCCGCCTCCTTGAGACTCATGCCTTCTTTCTCAAGGGCAAGAACACCATATGGATCGGGATCCTCCTTGTCCGGCACTCCAAACATCTGACCATCCTCAATCTCATAGTCGCCTGGAGGTGCTTCGGTTGGAATCATGCTCTCGTCGACATCCGAGTCGCCCTGCGCAGCCCTCAATGTTTCCAATAAGCGACCGACCTCATAAGGCGGATGCCGAACCTTTCCAGCCAATATATCTTGCACCGAAAGCTTTTGCCCATAGAATCGCTCGTTCTCGTCCATGCGCTCGATGACAATCGTCCCATCAATCTGCACTCCGGCATAAAAGCCGCGGCTCTTCATGTATGTATAAATTGGCGCCCGTCTTTTGTGGATCTCGGTGTCAAGGACTGCTCCAGCACCGACTGGCCCAGCAACAACACTCACTTCACCACCAAGAGTACACCTGACTTTAGTGAAAGCCTCCAAAGCTTTTTCTGTATTGATTACAACAACGCAATCGTAGATATCGACACCCACGAGAAAGCCAAGTCCTGCAGTGTGCAGCATGATGCCGCTCGGTGGACTCCATGTACCATCTGGCTTCTTCGCGATCAATACGCCAGATCCGCCAGCTCCAGAGATCCAAAGCCCAGTGCGCATAGTCGTGAAAATGGCAACACCCTTTGCATTACGAATTACTTTCTCCGGGATCTTCTGTAGGACCTTTTGCTTCTGCTTCGGCCCGTCCGCAGGTTGAACCTCTTCCTCTCTGTAGAAGCCATCCTCTGAATCTGGTCAGTCCTTTGCGATGCTCGCCGTGACACGCGACAACTTACTGCAGAAGCTCTTAAGGATGCGCGCCGCCTTGTCCGACTCCTTGTCCAAAGTTGTAGGCCAAAATGCTTCACTTCCCACTCTGTTGCTCAGCCTGTTGATGGGCGCCCCAAGCTTGTCGATTGCTTTGTATGCCTTGTCGAACCCACTCTTACTCCCCCCTTTCACTTTCTGCCAAATGGTCTGGTTTCCTTGAGACATGATGCATGCGGCAGCCTCCTGCGACTGAAAATGTCGAGCCCAGAGATCAAAGCCCTCACTTTCTTGCGTTGAGCCCGTGCGCAGATCAACCTTCAAAGAGTATCCCACGCAACACCAAATCGTCGCCGCATTATCTCGTGTATGGAGTCTTCGCAGCAAGCACACCGGTCATACTGCGTGCATCCAGCGGCTAGCAGCCTTTTTGTCGCCTTTGCTTGCTGGACTCGTCACCTCAACGGAACAACCGGAGTGGGACTGGCAAGTCAACAATCAGCTAAGCAGCGCCCGTACGTCACGAGCGGTCGGGTTGCTCGTCGAGAGGCGGAGGAGCTCGCACACGGTTCGCCAGCTGCCCCTACCCCTGTTGCGCGGGGCTGGTTCACGAGTCACGACTCACAACGGCGACGGCAACACGAAGATCAGCGGAAACAAATGGCCCACTTGCACCGAGCACGTGGAAGTGAAGTGAAGTGTATCAACTTCCACTCTCTACCACTAATAATATATCTCAATACTGTAATGCTTTGCGGCGCATCGCTCGCCATTCCTCCACAGCCTGAACCTTGCTATTCTGGTATTCGTCAGCGACCGACCGATGAAGGCTAGTCAAGTCGCGTATAACACGAAGATGCCGATGCGCCCGGGCGAAGTGGCGACTGTGGCGTGCTGACTCCTGCGTCTGCTTGCACGAAGTTTGCCGGGAGCGTCAGAACGCCGAAGGACATGAGGAAGAGGCGTCTCCTTCGCCAGGAGTCGACAGCGATGTTACTGACGAGTGAATTTGACACACTCCCGGTGTCCCTTCAATCTACGCCGAATGCCGTTCACCACCTGCAGCAACCAGCTTCTGTGACGGCATCGAGACGCAGGGCATCAGCAACGAGACAGAGCCCAACACCATCCGGATCATTGACGCGCAATGGCAGCGTCCCTGTACCAGCAACCGACTGTGGTCGTGGTAGCTGGATCTTCACTGCCCTCTCAGCCTTGGTGGAAAGCTCTCCATCTCACTATCAACACATCTTTTCAAAATAAAGACTTTGCCGCTTTTCCACCCACCTGGTCCCGTCTTCCCACCAACTCAAAACTGGCGGCAGAGAAACTAGCTGAAGAGCTTGGACCGCGTGGCCTGGTAGCAGTCGTGCTGCTCGTGGACCGACCCATTGCATGTGCTGGCGCGCTACCCTTTCGTGGCGACAACTGGATTGATGATGTTGAATCTGCAGACCAGGTTCCTGCCGAGATTCAGCACGGTGAAAATGGAACTACACAAGGCGAGACAGTGCTAGGAGCATTCGAAACTGTTCCGAATCAGAAAGCGCTGCCAAATCCAAGTCAGCACGATTGGGAATTATGTTGTGTCTGCGTGCATCCTTTGCATCGCAAAATTGGTCTCAGTGTCAAGATTCTGGACGCTATAAGCAATGCCATAAGGCCTCTTGGAGCCAGGCGATTGATGAGTAACTATGTCATCGAAGAGACTGGAATGTACTGGCCACATTTGGGATTCGAAACTATACCAGGCGCTGGTGGGGTTCTCAAGAAGGGCTTTACTCACACTAAAGGCATGCCTGGACTGAAAGCGGACATTCATTTCGCCATGGGTTGCAAGAATATCTGATCTTGTGTGACCGAACATGTGCTCTGGATCTTGTCACTTCGATGCTTGATTCAGTCACTGGGCATCTCTCATAGCTTATCGTGGCCACTCTCTGGCACGGGGGCCTTTCACCGGCGTCTAGTATTGAGGTGAGCAAATGACCGTAAGTAGATGCATTATTTCCCAAGACATCACTCTAGAATAGCATGATGACAGAAGCTGGGGCCATAAGAGTTCAGCCGCCTCATGAGTGCAGGTTGGAACTGCTTAAAAGCCAGCTAACGTAAATCTTCTCAATTTTACTGATGCATCGATCATGCCCACATATTTGCGAAGAGCTCTACAGAGAATATGTGCTGACCATTGCTAGAGATCATCATAAAAAGTCTTCGAGCAGTAACGTTCGCGTCCCTACACTGATGGTTTTGCGCTCATGGCAGAGCATCTCTGACTTGGATTCTTGGGCACCAACACAGATCTGGTTGTAAGCAAAGGTGCTGACGGGCTGCAGAACAGAATCTCGAGAATTACACCAATGGCTCCCTCCAAACGACAAGCAGTTCGTAGCGTTTCATCGGTATGCAGGTACCTGACTCAGCGAAGCTTTATCCCCCGATCGAGAGCAAAACGCTCAGTGACCTCAGGCTATTGAAATCCGCAGTCGGAATGAGACCATCATCCAGTCCAGCAATGCAGAAGGCTCGGGCGCCCTTTTGACTCCATTTCGAAATCAAGCGGGCGAAAGTGTACTTTTCCAGATGGAATGAGAAAGCATCGATCTTGGTGCGATTCATGCGTATCCCTAGTGGCGCAATACTCAACGCTTCCTCAGAACCCGGCACCTGGTAGTTCTAGGCCGGGAATTGATGCGACTGGACAGCTCTGGCTATCGCGAGTTCTTTGGCGAGGTCTAACGCCTAACAAAAAGCTCGCTCTGGTCTTTCCAAGCGCAATCATGCGAGAAGAGCCGTTCTCACGAGTCAAGCTGCAAAGCAACAGGTGTCCAAAGCGTAGATCTTCCCCGATTCCAGGTGGATACCCGCAAGCGAAGCAGTAACATGAATCTAAGGCCGGCTGGTAACTTCTGTTATGGATGCATGGAATCGAATATAGTAGGAAGCGATATGATGCAACGAGCTCACTATTGTCAGTCCTCTGTCAAGCATTTCTCCCATCAGAATGAGTATTTACAGTGGTAGTGACTCCTGGTTGCAAAGAAGGTGGGCATGCCATCGTACTCGTGGTAGTCGGTAATATTTCGCATGTTTGATGATGTGGTCGCTCCTATTCTTTCCAATTGCTCCATGTATAATCGGTACAAAAGCAGAACACACCAGCTTTGATTCGGAACTTGTCACTAGACAGAATATACAATGGCCAGCATGCGCAGTAAGTTCAAAAATATGACGTGCCAGATGCGCGCAAGGACAGTCGGCTGACGACCTGCAAGCAAACATGCATGGACCAGATCCTGCCTATGTACAGCTGTTCATCATCAGAAGATTGCTTGTGCTCGAATGAAGATATCACAGCAATAGTCGATGTGTGCGTGTCGCGCAACTGCACGTACGCGGATCAGCTAGGTATGGGGATGAGGACGCCCCAGTACTGCTGATTTTACTGCCGCTGACACCGAGCAAAATAGAGGCTCGAGGTCTACAGTCCCGAATATGCGATTCTCCAGTTCGCGACAGGTCACACGTGGTCAACCAGCTAGCATGGGCGATGTTCGGGATTGCGACCTTCTTCTTCCTCGGCCGCGTTGTTTCTCGGATCACGACCTTCGGCGGCGCGGGTTTCTACTGGGACGATTGTGCCTGCGTATCTTGCTATGTCCCGCTTGTCGGCATCGCAGTGCTGCTTCAACTCGCTGTCAACAATGGTTTGGGTCAAGATGATTATCGCATCGGCGTTGCGAATGTCAACGAATTCCTCAAGGTAGGTGGGCAGCCTTGACTTTTCTCTCAACAGTCGCTGCGCTAACAGCTTTGGATCAACTTTAGGAATTCTACGCTGCGGAACTACTCTACAACTATGTCATCATCTTCACGAAGATTTCAATCATCCTTCTATACATCAGAACTTGGTGGGATAGTAGCAGAGACAACCATCGCCCTTTCCGAGTCGTTTGCTGGTGTCTCGTCGCTGTACTCGTCGCAACAGTAACGGCAGTTGGCTTCGCCGAGATCTTCCAATGCACGCCCGTTTCATACACGTGGAATCAAGTCCTACCCGGGCAGGAAAGAGAGGGAACCTGCATTAGCCGGCGCTCAATCTTCTACGCATTCGGAGCCTTGAACATCTGCTACGATGTCATCGTCCTCTTTCTCCCAGTCCCGCTCCTTCTCACGCTCCAGATCCCGGTGATCAAGAGGATTGGAGTCAGTTCTGTCTTCCTGGTCGGGTTTGCAGTCACAGTCTGCTCAATCGGTCGACTGAACTACCTCGCCATGCTGCAAGACACGAACGTCACCTGGAACCATACTGATCTCGCGCTCTGGACTCTCGTCGAAGTCGACCTATCCATGATCTGCTGCTGTATGCCTGGCATCGCCGGACTGGTGCAACGATACTGGAAATACCTCCCATCTTCAGCCAAGTACAATTCTCAGTCCTGCCTAGGCCGTTCCGACTCGTTCTCGAGCGCTTCTGCTCTTGATATCACGGCTTCTGAAATGCTCGAAGAAGGGCGTGGTCCGCGAAAGTCAGTGATCGAGGTGCCAAATGCAGGCATCGATGATCTGCCTTGCAGTCCGGTGCTGCAGGTCGGGGTTGGAGAGACATTGGTCAACATCCAGCACTCGATACCAAACGACACCACACGCGACAAGTTCGTGTACAAGGATGCGCATGGAATCGTGCATGAGGTAGAAGTTGTGGATCGGCCAGTGGTGCCGGTGAGAAATCTGGATGGCATTGCTACAGGCAGTAGTGGCAGCGATACTGCCGTCAAGAGCGGGAAGAGTCTCGAAGGGAAAGCAAGCAGTGGTTCGGGGTGAGTGCAGATACGATTTGATCAATCTTGGAAAATCGCTGACATTTGAGCAGCGACAGTGATGATCTAACACCTACAGCTCGCCCCTCGAGTAGACTCTCAAACGCTTCGTGCGCTATGGACTGGGTAAGATATTCGAATCAGTACGACCGAGACGATGCTTGACAAAGCGCTTTTGTAAATGTATGACGATTGAGATTTATGAATGATAATACTACTCTCTGTACGAGTAATTTCGTGAAAATGGAAATTTAACACCGAACTGTCACGTCTGAAGGGTGACAGGACTTTCAAAGCGGCTGCCATGTTGCATGAAATGGCAGGTTTGACCCCGACATCCCAGACTGCCATGAGTAGAAGTGAGCTCTTGAGAGTTGTTCACCTCATGCCTCAAGCCATCTCCAACGCTGGTCAGCATAGCTTTCTCGCACTTTGAGAGACGCTTGGCTCATAGCCAGCCTGGGCCTCGAGCTTTTAGGTCATCAAGTGTGTGCTGCCATAGACTCACCTAGTGCTCCCAAAGCGTCTCCGCCATTGATGACGGCGTATCTTCGACGGCCTGGAGCACTAGTAGCGCCGGTGTAGCCTTATTGCCGAGCTTAGAGAGGAAATATGCGGCACACGCACTCCTCATATAGGTGAACCCAGCGAATACTTTCAATATCATGGTCGGGAGACGAAACCGCCAGTCGCCGAGAATTCAACGAGGTAAAATCAGGAGGAAAGGGAGATTCCACGATCTCACTTCACGGCGAATAATGGAGCATCCTGCAAAACTGTCATTGCATAACTAACTTCCATCGACAATGACAACAACGGCCTGAAGTTCATAATCCCTTCAAGCCAACACATCCCCCCAACCTCCTCATTTCAATAAATATCCCCCTCTTTCCCTCTCACAACTTCCCACCCCCTCCCTCACCCGGCACCTCCCACCCCGGCGTCCTCCGATAATTCTGCGTCAACCCCTCAATCTTCCACTCCTTCCCCCCAACTTTCACAACAGTATACGCCAAACTCCCATAATGATGTAAAACCCCATCAAAAGTAACCTTAAACGGCGACCAGACCTGTGCAAAAAATTTATCAATCCTCATATCCGTGCCGTCCAAATCCGGGGATTCGTGTAAGATTGGTTGGTGCGGTTGCCCTCTTCTTCGCTTTTCGCCGTCGCGGATTAAGGAGACTTGAACCCGTCAGTCAGCGCCGCGTTCAAAGTTTCCCAAGAACGTGTGCTTGGGATTGGTATTGTATTGTAATTACTCACTAAACTTCTCAATGCTCGTCCTAATCACGACTTCGATTTTCTCTTCGCCTTTTCCATCTTTTTCTTTGGTCGTCGGCACGGATCTGTATTGCGGGTAATTTGAAGCGGAGGGTTGGCGTGGAGGATCTTGTCGGAGGATTACGAGGTTCGCGTTTTCGTCTGTGAAGCAGTTCTCCAAAGCTTTGATGTCGACGTTGTTGATTGCGTCGAAGAAGGTGCTTATGAGAGATTTTATGGATTGGGCGTCTGAGGCTTCGTGGGTGAGTTGGGTCATGTTTGTTGGTGTATATGTGGAGTTGGCGCGGGGAGAATCGTGAAGGTCGGGTGTTCGGTGAGGATGGAGGAAGGAACTGCGCGGGAATTGTATGACTTATGATCTTCTGGTGGTCTTCATGTTGGAAGTCTGTCGGTTAGTATTCTTATGCGAGCTTGATGTTCCAAGGGGTGTGGTCGAGTTGGGGACGGCTGGTCGGCTGTGCTTGCCGCACGGGCCAAAATCAATCGTACTAGACACCTTTAGCAACCTCCAGTGCCAGAATTTAGTAGTGTTCACTAGGGTTAGTAACTAAGCCTATCTGAGACGGCTCTTCCGAGGCCTTTAGCAACCTCCTTTTGCTACCTCTTAGCTACTTAGTTATCGTATCTATAGTAATATAACCCTAGCTCTTTAATATAGACCTTAGTTAGTATATAGTAGTATTGTTATCGGCTCAAAATGGACGCTTAAGTAAGGCAATTGTTACTAGACTACTAGGTAGTTGTTAGACAAGCGGCTAGCGCCTATCTCGAGTCGGTAGTCGATATTATTATAAATAACGAGGCCGACGAGGTATACATAGGCGATTAAATAAGGAGCCTATATCTAGACGATTATAATCGGCTTAAAAGGATAAGGTTAGCGGACCTAACAAACGATTAGTATAAGCGTAGATTTCGCTTCTAGAAGTAGGACCTATATAGGTTAGTAAGGCTACTTAAGTTAGACTAGATTAAGTAGCTATACCGTATAGAACCTACTAAGGAAGAAGCCTTATTAGTGCTTCTATAGCGATTAGCAAGCAGTGCGAGTTAGCAGTTACTAGCGTACGACTTTAGTAGAGGGCCGACCTAGATTAGTATTATATTTAATACTATTCTTAAGCATTTAGACGACTTCTTTAGCGATAGATTGTTATTCGACACTCGTCGGTTAACCCCTTAGTATTTGCGGAGATGCGTAGAGGCATTAGAACCGGACGTTAGTCTTGCTAAAGTATATAGATTTATTAATAGTACCCTTCGTCCCTGCTATAGGCTAAAGTATAACTAGAAGTTGTACTATAGCGGATATAAGAGAGTATATAGCATTAAATTCTAGGCGGTTGTTACTCTAGACGGTCTGCTATCGTTATTATATAGTCCTAAACCTAGCTCTTTTAGGGATTCTCGGATAGTGTTTAAATCTAATATTTAGTAGATTTGGTACGCGTTATTCGATAGGTATAGATTAGACGATAAGGTATTTATTTATAGCGACTCGGCGTACGTAGTAGCGGATAGTATTATATCTGCTTTTAAAGGTTAGAATAGTTAACCTCGTACGCCGCTATAGAGGCAGATAGACTAGGAGATATCGGCTTTAAGGGTTGCTATAGAGTATATATTCGGATAGATATTAAATCTATAGCGGATTAACTTAGTTAAGCAGAGGGCGGACTTATAGGCTATTAGGTCTATCTATCGAGCGTACGTTCTTCTTACTAATTGCTATACCTACTATTATAGAAACTAGGTATCTATAGGTCGTATAGATCTACCGGTATTAGAAGAATATCTCTATTCGAGGGCGACTAATGCTTAAATTAGTAACGAGATTAGAGCCCTCGTTACGACGGTTCTTCCGCTAGGATAGCAACTGCCGCGACTAAAGCGAGGTAATAAGGGCGATAAAAGAGATAGGTATACGTCGCCGGCGATAGAAGACGAGGGTAGCGATAGTAATAGTAGTAGTAATAGTAATAGAAGAACGACGATAATATCGAGAAGTTAAAGTATAGCTTTACAATTCTAACGGTATTCTTAGTACTCGTACTATAGGAGCGAGTATATTTCGAGCTATTAGTATATATCTAGAAAGCAGCGAAAATAGGTAACTAGAGCGTTTATACGCGATTCTCGTAATGTCTCGGCAATGTTATTAACCTATTACTAAGTAATAGTTATATACTACTAACCCTACCTCTCCTCCTATTTCCTAAATTTCTAGCGATAATCTCGCGATTAAGAGAACAATAAGGCAACGGTAGGAGCAACTAGTTCGCTAAATCGATACTAAAGAGCAATATTGCTAACAAATAAGTAGGGATTTGCTTTAACTAATCCTATAAAACGAACTCTATACTATAATAACTACTACCTACTCCTCCGAGTCGAAAAAGTCCTCGGAGACCTTAATATCGTCTATATTCTAATCCTAATCGTAGCGATCTAACTACCCTATCTGCTATAAGAAGCCTAGTTTCGGTAAGCGCTCGAATGGCTCTAGTATTAGTATCTTACTCTTCCTACGGTAGATAACCTATAATAGTACTCGAGTACAATCCGGATATATACCTGTTACCGTCTAGCTAATATTAGTAAGTTGCTAGTTAAGAGAGAGATAATAGCACTTATAATAGTAGTATTAAGGTGCTGTAATTCGTTCTTCTAACTATTAGTTAGGCCTCGAATATAGTGCTAATTAAGGGCGGTTAGGCCTTCCTTAATCTTCTCGAAGTTAGCTTCTTAGCTATAATAATAACAATAATAACGCCTACCTTCTCGAAGTGCGGTTTTAGCAATTCGTTTAGTTTCGAGAACGCTCTATTAATCGAGGCGTTATTATTACGCTTACGGCGGCGTAGTCGTATACGCTAAGTCGTCGACGGTATAGAAGGCGTAGGAGATTCTTCCGGTTTAGTAGAGGTCGCCTAAGAAGAGCTATTATTTAATCGACGTCGCTTCGAGCCTAACCTATCTATTAGACTATCGCGGATAACGACCTCCTTACGCCGAGCCGCCTCCTTCTATTCCTTTATCGCTACCTTATCGAAGAGCTAAGGGTTTATACGTAGGGCGTGTTTAATAAAGAAGTCCTTCGCTTACGAGAGGTTATCGTTACTAGGTGCTATACTAGTAGAGCGCTCTTTAGCGGCCTATTGGCCCTATTCCTTTACCCTCTTAACTAACTTTACGTTATAGCTCTACCGGAAGCTAGAATTACTGCTAAACTCCTTCTTACTATTAGCACGAGCCTACGCATTTATACGACCTCTAACAAGCCGATAGAAGTTAGTAATATTGCCCTTCTTATAGGCATACTTTATATTATTTATTTGCTAGAAGACAACTAACTCTATTCGAGCCGATAGCTTACCTAGCTTTAATAGGTAAGCTATATTACTGCCCTTCTAAGATAGTGTTTCTACGGTCTTAATTAATAGCGAAGGTCTAGGTAATAGAGATAGCCGCAATTAACTTGCTAGAGTAGTTAGTAGCGGCATAGATAATAATAGAGAGGCGTATTTACTAGATCTAGTCGCTATATCGATAACTCTAGGTAGTAGGTAGGGGGAGGGGAGATAGCGACCTACGAAGGTATTACGGAAGGCTATAATAATCTCGATTCGCTAACAAATTAGTAGGATAGGAAGACGAGCGATCTACTACCTACCTTCGAGTCCTCTAGCCGCCTTATTACTATCCCTCCGAGTCCCTTACGAAGCCCGATTTCTACTCGAATTTTCTATCTAATAACGTTACCTTCTATACTATTATATACTATCTATATTATTCGTACGACCTTAACTATTATTAAGAGCTTGTAATATATTATAATAGACATACTGCTAGTAGTGTAGAGCCTCCGAAGGTATTATTTAGTATACTATAGAGCGATCGATAGAAGGTTTAATATTATAGGGGAAGGTAGTTACTATCGCTAAGGCTACTATACCGCTTCTATATCTACCTCCTTTAGCAATAGACTTATTGCATTACGACCTACGGCATTACAATCGATTAGCTATATATAATATAGTGGATACAGTGGATACAGGTAGTGAACCATTAGTTAGAAGTTGTTGTCGGAGGTAGACAGCGACACCTCCTGCTAAAGGTCTCTACTACCTACGAGCAACTTCCCACGATTTGTAGAATGCACTGCTTTGACGACTAGAAATGTGCTCGTTCGAAGAAGGAAAATGGAAATTATCAGAAGTATTGTCTTTGATCATGGTCAATTGGCCAAGAAAATTCGAGCCTCAGGTGCAATGCTTTTCTTGCATGAGTATCTCGCCTCGAGCATTCTCGATTCTATAAAACAGCTTAACGAACCTGTTGCAATGGATGAATTATCGACAAATTTGACTGCTGTTCCAAGATGCAGACTCAAGTGGCCCAGCCAATGTGGATATAAATGTCCTGCAATCGAACTTCTGGGACCTACCGCTCGAGACTCGCGACATGATCTATGTCATGGCGTATCCGATCCGCATTACAGACCTCCCGATGCCGCTTGGACGAGCCGCAGTGCGGTAAAACATCGCGGAGAACCAAGGTGGAGGAAGGGCCCAATGAGCTTACTATAATAAAGTGGTCTGCTCTCAATGGGTAAATATGCTCGCATCAAAGTTCTGGTACTTCGAAGGAACGTCATTTTTTTTCAGGGATGGCACTCTTCTTCTTGACACACGGCGTTTGTTGAGTCTCGAGCAGCGCTGTGGCTTCCCTTCTTTGCGTTGCGTCACATGCGAAATGTCCGCGTATCAATCGGGTTCCGGGTCGGAGAGGAAGATCTCAGAATTTTGAGAAAGTTTTGTCCGAAGATCGAGAGGCTCAAAGTCATCTGCCACCGCGCCGACATTGATGGTTGCCACTATAGCATCGAGACATGGCCAACAGGAGAGGCGGAGTCAGCATTGCGAACGAACTGTTGCAATTCGAGAGTGTGAGGAGCCTAGATGTGGATGTGTCCACTGTGAGACGCAAACATATATGCGCGCATTGCCAGAGTGCTGCTGCGGATTATCTGCTCCATCGGCTGCGAGCAACGATCAATGAGAGCAAGTGGGACCTGACGATGGTGTCAGTGGAATGGGGGAAACCAACTCATGAATGGAGCGTGTCTCTGTTGGAAATTTGTGCAGAGCAGGAAGTGCAATCAATACGTTCGGGTGCTATGCGGACGGAAATGGGTATCTTCGGTTGAAGTGTAATGCCCTCACGATGGTCGAACATGAAAACTTGACCTACGTCTCGCGCTTCATTCTAACGCCCATGCTTTGAGAATGCCATCCTCGCCGCAGCTAAAAGCACGTTTGCCCGTGAGAAGTAGATCCCGTACTACATCCTCGCCATGGGCACCGGGTAGATTGACCTTTTCGCCGAACGCCCAGGCACCTGGAGAACCCAGCGAAGATATAGATAGCGTCTGCTTCTTGTTGTGCCCGTACGCCATGACTGGGGGCCCGTCCGGCTGCACCAGAACATCAATTACGTACATGCAATGTAGCTTCTCTCGAACGTCGCCAAATGTGATGGGTGGTGGCACGTCTTCATCCTCAGCGGTTGTCTTTGCAAGCGTGTGTATGGAGTACTGTTCATCGGTTGAAACGACATAGACCTGGTCCTGCGCGAGAAACCCTGCGCAATGAACTGCCGACCGCGGATTTAGGACTTGTTGCAGAGAATCCTCCTCGTCGGCATGGTTGACATCGAAGATAGAAATCAGGCCATCTGTGCTGCCAGACAGGAGGATCTGTGGTTGAAGCGGGTGAAATTGCAGTTGTGTCAACGAATCCGTGTGCGATTCGTTGTATTGACGCAAAGGCACGCTCGAGTTCCGAGTGTCGAACAAAAGCACGCTAACATCGCCAAGGCCTTCTTTGGTGCTTTCTGTTCCGGCTGCAATGTAGCGATCGTGACATGCAAGGGATGAGATGCCTCTGGACTGAGGTTCGATGAGCTGTGCGACTTGCTTGGCCCTGGAATCCCAGCATCGAACCAAGCCATCACGACCTCCGGTGACCAAGCTGGAATGAAGACCGGACTTCAAGCAGGACACGCCGGTGTGACAGGTGTTGGTAGACTTTAGAGTCTTTAGCGAAGCTGCATCGATTACGTGGAGTTGGTCGTCGGAGGTGATGGTTGCCAGCGCAGCATCGGCGCGGGCCAGCGAAAAGAGGTACTCAGTGGCACTAACAGCAGTACTGCCGACAAGCTTCGCCATGTCTCGCGTTATCTAGCTCGTGGCCGCACCGCTACAGCATGGAGCATCGATGCAGTGGTCTCCTGTATCGTGTTGGTGATGACAGGCATGCAGTATTAAGGATCGAAGTTCAAGGCGTGCAGAGATTGTAGACAGGTCAGGTCAAGCCACACTTTGTGGCGAGTGCACGGCACAGCACAGCATGGGCAACGAAAGCGCAGAATATTGCGTGTCCGGGGTTCCGTCACACACTCCTCCCCGCTGTTCGCGGGGTTTCCGGCTATACGTAAAATCGCCTTTTCCTAGTAGGCTATACGTAAAACTCGATATAGTAGCAGGTTCCAGTCCTATACAGATATATAGGTACATATAGTATTAAACCGCGAGTCTAAATATTACATTAGCTAGTTTATCTAAGTATATAGTAGCTATAGAACCTTACTATCGCTATTTCTTATATAATCCTTAGTAGGCGCGTCTACCTTATTCTAAAGCGTATATTCCTCGTACTCCTCCTATTTCTTATATTCTACTATATAGATCGTATATAAAACTCGATATAGCGCGTAATAAAGGCAAAAACGTAAAGAGGGTACGAGCCGAGCGGTTAACCGAGGCGGAGAGGGTAGAGAGGGTAGTAGATCGCGTCGTTTCGAGGTACTACGAATTAGTAGCTAAATCGAAGAATAAGAAGGTTAGTATTCGAGCGCTCTATAAGAGTAAGAAGGCAACTCGCTTATATTCTCGTATCTACTAGCGGTTAAGAGGCCGTAGGTCGCTATTTAGTCGTCTATTAACTAATACTAAATTAGACGAGTCTTAAGAGATAGCGCTAGCGGATTATTATCGAGAAAGGGACGAATATTAGGACTAAAGAGGCTATACGTAATTGGTATGTAACTAGGCCGAGTGAAGCTAGGGTCTCGATGCCTTAGGCAGGGCTTGGCGCTTGGCGTTAGGCTAACTCTCCTACCTTCCTCCCTCTCCTTCTAGATCCTTATCGAATACTACACTGATTTACTACTACCCTATCTACCTGCTAATATAACCCTTCTTATATAGTATTCGATCTACCCTTTAAGGGTAGCAGCTAGATAGTCCTTATTCTAAGCTTTCAGCGGTATAGCTACGAACAAGACTAATCTAACTATATTGCGCCCTAAGAACGGGACCTATACGTACTATTCTATCGAAACAACCGTACTAATTATTAAGCAAGGCCTTCTATACGGCCTATTACACTAAGTTAATCGTACTAGACTAATACCTACTAATTCCGCTACATCCGCATCTTAGGGGCTAATAATACATTATTAGTGTTACCCCCTATTATAATAGCCGGCTTATTACGAAACAATAACCGTGCTACCGCTAGCAGCGCTAGCAACGACAATGCTAGTAGCATAGTGCCTACTAAAGTGCCTACTAGAGTACCTGCTAAAGTGCCTCCTACCGAAGAGCCTACTATAGGACCTGCTAAAGAAGAACCTGCAGTTCTAGGTAACGACCTAGAATTGCCTGTCGACGACATTCTTAATAATATTGTTAACCGTCGATATAGCTAGCTAGCCTTTGGTCCCTAACTAGTAGCGAGACTTTAGGAAGCTACCTAAAACAGGCTTACTGCCTTACGTTAAGAACAATAGCTAAAGGATAATCTCCTCGAGATTCGCCGTCTATAGGAAGCCCTAACAACTACTACTAAGCCGATAGCAGGGCCTTCCTTACTACCCGTCCCTGTCTAAAAGAAGGATGCTAAGCTTAAGGACTATACCGTATTTAACAGCTCTAGTCGCAAACAATACAATAATTACATACGCGATTGTAAGCTTAACTAACGAAATGCGCCGAGGGCTCTTCTAGATAACTATTTACTAGTTGTCTACGCGATGTAGTACATCAATAGCGACCTAAAGCGTACCTAGGATAACCATTTCGATTCCCTTACTAATCAGACCGCTGTTTAGTAGCAAGACTATAAGACTATTATACTAGACACCCTTAGAAACCCTATACTAAGGCAATAGCACGCTTAGGACTAGTACCTTCGGGCTAAGCAAAAGACTAATCAATTAGCCCGTTTATTTAAGGCCTATTTAAAGACCCTCGAGGACGATTTGCTAGCTAAGACCGACTCTATCTAGATTTCCGAAATACGCCCTAAATTGCGATAGGAATTGGTCCTTAAATTGGACCGCCGTCGTATGTTCGAATAGGCTAACCTAATACGCATTCAATTTATAGTCGAAGTAGAAACAGCCGAGCGGGCTATCTAGCTCTAATAACGACTAGAATCGAGGATCCGACTAGCTAGTACTAACTGTAGCAACCGCGGCCGCGGAGGAAACTAAGGTTCCTACTATAATAACAATGCTGACAATAGGAACAGTAACAATAACCGTAGAAGAGGCCGTAGCCGCCGGCTATATAGAGGAGGCCGCGACAGGGGCCGTAGAAGGGGCTCGTATCCCTACAATGCTAACCGCTCTACTAACAATAATAATAGCTACGGCAGTCTACTAACCGGATTGAAGTGCTTTAATTGTAACAGCACTAGCTATCTACTAGGCTAATGCGACAAACCTAAGGACTAGGCCCGAATTGACCGTACTTCCGCCGAGTATAGGAAACATCTTTCAGCCGCTAATGCTACCTTAGTCGGCTCTTTTAATCAGTCGAAAAAAGAGTAAGCGCCGCACTAACTGTTAGCCTTATGCGGCGTAAGACTATCGATATTGTGCTAGCCATTATACGTACCTGTCTTATATCTAGGCCCGATACTAACTATAAGGCAAAGGTTATGCTAGACCCCGGAAATTCAGTTAGCGCCCTTATTAGCTATTACCTAGCTAAGCAATTAGACCTCCGACAACTGCCGAAAACTAACCTGCTAACCCTTGCTTAGTTTAATAACGCTCGGCACTTGACCTATAGGGCCTACTATGTTCCTATAGTTCTAAAAGACGACCTCGGAAATGAACGCCTACTAAACTTTACTGCCTACGCGGTAGATATAGATAGCCTCCTATCCGACATTATTATTAGCAACCCTGTTCTTAAGTACTATACTATAGTTATAGACTTAGGCAGTCAATAATGGCGATTTAGAATCGCTAGGAAAGAGGACATTAAACACATCGACATTAGCGAGTATCCTAATAATATTAGGGTCCTGTTTATTAGCAACCTGATACTAGCCTCCGCCTTAGCTAATCCGACTGCCGACCTGCTCGGTAGTAATAACGATGAACCTATGCCCCCTAATAGTATAGACCCTGATTAGCTCGAACGTATACTAGTGCCTATTCGAGAGACCTATATTAATGTATTCAAATATCACCTAGCATCGACATTGCCTATATTTAAGGAGACAGATTATAAGATTAATATTATAGAGGGCAAGGAGGTTCCTTTTGGCCCCCTCTACAACCTTAGTAAACGAGAGCTTGCTATATTGCGTAAGTACCTAGAGGAAAACCTAGCTAATAGTCGCATTCGGTACAGTAACAGCCCTGCTAGTGCACTAATCCTGTTTGTTCTAAAGAAGGATAGTAGCCTGCGGTTATGCGTCGATTACCGTAGACTTAATGCTGTTACTATTAAAGATCGTTGTCTACTTCCTCTTATTAATAAGACCCTCGATCGCCTTTCTAGTGCCTACTACTATACTATATTAGACATTAAGGACGCCTATTACCGCATCCGTATTCGTAAGGGCGATGAATAGAAGACAGCCTTTCGCACTCGCTATAGCTATTTTGAGTACTTAGTTATGCCATTTAGGCTAGCTAATGCCCCTACTATATTCTAGTCCTACATTAATCGGGCCCTATTAGGCCTATTGGATTACCTCTATATAGTTTACCTAGATAACATCCTGGTTTATATACACTCTCCTAACATTGCGGAATACTAGGCTGTAGTCCGCAAGGTACTCGATCGCCTAAGGGCCTATAGCTTGTATTGCAAGCCTTCTAAATACACCTTTGCTGCTAAGGAGGTGTTATTCCTTGGCTTTCTTATTTCAACCGAGGGTGTTAAGGCTGATCCTAACCGGATTAAAACAATTACTAAATGGCCCGTTCCTGCGTCTATTAAAGAGCTTCAATTATTCCTAGGTTTTACTAACTTCTACCGTCGGTTTATTAAGAGCTATTTACGGTATGTAATGCCCCTGACTAAGCTTACCAAAACTAAGGCCAACCTAACTAGAGAGTTCAAATAGACTGACAGAGCATAAGCCGCTTTTAACGGCCTAAAGCAACGCTTTACTAATGTCCCCTTATTGCACTATTTCGTGCTAAGTAAGCAGATCCGAATTGAAACTAACGCTTTATAGTTCGCTGTATTAGCTATTATGTTATAGTAGGCTAATAATACCTATTGGTACCCGATTGCCTTCTTTTTACGGAAGATAATCGACGTAGAACGTCGGTACGAGACCTACGAGTAAGAGCTCCTAGCAATCGTAGAAGCCTTCAAGCACTAGCGCTATTATCTCGATAGTGCTTAGCACCCTGTTTAGGTCTATACGGACTATAACAACCTCCGTAGAATTACGAAGGTTACTAGGGTTATAGGTCGACAGGCTAGATAGGCCGTCTACCTCGCCGGGTTCGATTTTAATATATTATATCGGCTAGGCGTAAGTAACCCTGCTAATAGCCTATCGAGGCGACCTAATTACGACAGCGAAACCTAATATATTAATTCTCTGTTTCCAACCCTATAGCATAAGATTGCTATAGACCTTGCTATAAAGCAGGCGTAGGATAAGCGGACTTCCGGACCCCGCGGCGGCAATAAATACTATAGCGGAGTTGTCGTTCTTCTAGTGTACGTTAAAAAGGACGTAGATCGCTCGAGCTATAACGACTCGATTAAAGATATTGCTATCTATAGCGATAGCACTATAGAAGAGGTTATAGTTAATCCGGCTACTAGTACTATTAGATATATACAATACGTACCTCGTTCGATAGTACAGGTGCTATTAAATGACTTTGTAAACGGGGATAGTTAGTCGTTTATAGATAAGCTGTTGCGTACTTAGTAGAGGGACGCCTTTACTATCGAGCGTATTAATAAGCTTATAAGTAGGCGGGCGACTCGATCCGGCAAGAGTAACAACAATTAGTCGATCGACGATAAAGGTTACTTAAAGTTCAAGGGCAGATACTATATCCCCGCTAAACAATCGATTAGATAAGAGCTTTTAAAGAGGCACTATAATAGTGAGCTCGCTAGTTACTATAGTATAGAGAGGTCGCACGAGTTACTATCGCGTATATACTACTAGCTAAATAGTAAGCGGCATATAAAGGAGTATATACAGACCTGTATAGTATGCTAGCGAGTTAAAGCACTAAAGTACTTACCATTTGGCGAGTTGTCTTTACTCCCTGTTCTAAAGAAGCTATTTGCTAAGCTTATAATAGACTTTATTATAGGCCTTCCTCCTGCTAAGCGTAGGGGCAGTAAGGATATGTATAATACTATCCTTGTTATAGTAGATCGATTTACTAAAGGCGCTCGATACATCCTAGCGCGGAAGGATTAGACTGCTATTAATATAGCAGAGGCGCTATAGACTGACATCTTCTGCACCTATTAGGGAACCCCTAAGGGGATAGTCTCCGATAGGGGCACGACATTCACATCGCACTATTAGAGCGAAATATGCCTATAGCTAAGACTAAAGCATCGGCTATTAATAGCCTTCTATCTATAGACTAACGGTCAAACAGAGAGGCAGAATGCTACCCTGTAGTAGTACCTACGCAGTTATATTAACGAGAATCCTAGGGATTGGGTTAATCTCCTGCAGCCTGCAGAATTCGTGTACAATAATAGTGTACACTTATTAACTAAGGTTTTACTATATATAGCTATAATAGGTCAAAACGCCGCGTTGCTATAAGATCTATTTACCTCGCTCGAGGCCGAGCGCAAGGAAAGGGAAGCGCGTTAAGTACTAGAGACACTAGCGGCAATAGAACGTATCTAGAAGATGCGAGAAATCTATGCTAAGATAGCCGAGAAGTTGACAAAGGCTTAAGAGTACTAAAAGACCTACTACGACAAGCACTATACGCCGATAACCTTCAAACAAGGCGATATAGTTATACTAAGCACTAAGAACCTCCGTATCCGCAAGCACCTATCACCTAACGGCAAAACAAGGCCTAAGCTCGCACTAAGATACATTAGCCTATTCCGCATTCGGGAAGTTAAGGGCTCCTCCGTATAGGCCTATTAGTTATAGCTCCTACCTTATTACACTATCTATAATACCTTCTATGTATCCCTCCTTAAGCCGTACTACCTACGCGAAGGGGATGAAGCCCCTACAGAATACGAAGACATACTAGCGGATAGTAAGGAGCTGTAGTCTATAGAACGTATCCTATAGCATCGTACTAGGTAAGGCAAGAAGGAGTACCTGCTAAGATAGCAAGGCTATTTACCTAAATAGGACTCGTAGGAAGCTAAAAACTCTTTTAAAGACATAACTAAGTTATTGGATAAGTATTAGACCAGCGTAAAGAATAAGAAGAAGGCTAAGGGCCTATAATGTCGCCTAGGAACAATGCTACCCCCGGGGTGCTATTAGCTAACTAATTAGAGGCCGGCAAACTAGGACAATAAGACTATACTACTATAGTAAACGCGCACCGAGTGTTAATAAGCGCGCTATAACGCGTCAACTATCCGCTGCTCTTTTAGGAAACTACCTCTCTACTAACGCGCCCTATAGGTCCCCCTTTTGTTCTTTATTCTATCGAGGCCTCGAGACCTAAGTATTCGACAAGGGCGACGTACGCGCGCGTACGAATAACGGTAATAAAGGTGATAGTGTCGCGCTACGAGCTAGCAGTGCGCCGGCGGCTGGCGCGGCTATATTAGTAACAGTATTACGGAGTGTATTATTAGTCGAAGAAGGAAATCGAAAGCAAGGTAAAGTTAGCGCTAAGACGACTAGCGCTGCTATTGTTAACATTACTTACTATTGTCGCTGCGCCTATAGACACAACCTTACCTATACTACGAGCCTAAGGCACCCTTAATTAAAACTTTGATTAAAGCCTTAAGCCTATTAAAGGTTTAATTAAAACTTTGAGGCTAAGTCAAAACTTTAACTAAGTTAAAAGATTGAGCGACTAATAGACTAACTAAGGGCAAAACTATAGAGCTAAGCTAGCCGGGGTCGATCTTACGGACAATAGGTTACTCCTCGATCTTTCCGACCCTTTAAGCGAGGCGAACCTCTACTACTGTACTTACAATAGCCTTCACCTATAGAAACTAGAAGAACTGAGTTTTTTGAAAAGATATAATTAGTTAATACTTAAAGGCTGCCAAACCTAACTAATTTAGGCTAGTAAAACTACGATAGTAAATAATAGCCCTCGTAATAACAAGAACAACCCTCGGAAGCGGACAAACCCTCGGAGCGGACATTTCTAGGTCTATTAGAGTAGACGCAAAGAACTCGTACGACATCACTTAGAACGGAGGCAGTGCTGCAATACCTCGTACGTCTACCTATTACAGTAGGGAAGACGCGCTCGTATTGTAATTAGTCGAAGGCCCTTAATTCTTATAGATATATATCACTTTATAGTTTATTATATATAGAGATGGCGCAGTTAGAGTTGTATATTATATTGTTTAGAGGTAAGGTTTAATATAGTTACATAATCAGGTAGTTAAGTGTTCAATTTAGCGCGGGCTAAGCAGCTTATTAGACTTGCTAAGTTAGCGGCAATAGAGGTCGAGATTGGAACATAGGCAGGCTACGAGGGCGCGGCCTTTAGAAGGGAAGCGTATATTAGGACTAAAGAGGCTATACGTGATTGGCATATAACTAGGCCGAGTGAAGCTAGGGTCTCGATGCCTTAGGCAGGGCTTGGCGCTTGGCGTTAGGCTAACTCTCCTGCCTTCCTCCCTCTCCTTCTAGATCCTTATCGAATACTATACTAATTCACTACTACCCTATCTACCTGCTAACATAACCCTTCTCACAACGAAATAGATATATTCTTACTAGTGCCGCTAATTACTATTATAGCGATAGACATACTAGTAAGCCTACTACCGGAAGGTATATCGAAGGATATAATACCGCTATTTAGTATAGACTAGGCGGACCGCTTTCTAAAGCGCTATAGACTTAGCAAGGTTAAGTCTAAACCGATTAAAATATAGTAAAAGGAAGCTTACGACCCTTCTACGATAAGAAGCTAGTTTAACCGGTTTAAGGCGATAATAAAGCGGCTAGATATAAAGCCGCGGAATATATAGAATTTCGATAAAACTAGCTTCTAGATTAGAATTAGCGGTAACGAGTATATCGTTATAATAGATACGAAGCGGCGCGCCTAGACTAAGTATAATAGTAACTATACGTATATAACTGTCGTCGAGACTGTAAACGCGTTTAGTAAGGTAGTAGACTATTAGTTAATCGTTAAAGGTATAATAGTCTAAGAACGGTAGGTGCCGAAGAAAGGTAAGTCTATTACTACTACTACTACTATTGCTACTTCCGAGTCCGAGTCCGCTTCTAAGGCAAAGGCAACGACACCTACTAACTATACTCTCTCTTATTCTTAGGCAAGGACAACTTCTTAATTACTATTAACGAGTCTAGATATATAACCGACGATACTATAATATATTATATCCGCTAGTTTAAGCGAAAGACGAGGCCTAAAGATCTAAACGAGTAGAGGGTATTATTATGCGATAATTACGGCTCCTACTACTTTAAGGAATTTGCAGCCTTTATAAAGCGGCATAGGATTCAATTATAGGGCCTATAACTACATACTTTATACTTTATATAGCCTTTAGATATAGTCCTATTTTAGGTATATAAGCTAAGGTATAGGCAAGCGGTACTAGAGGCTACATACCGAGGTATTAGTAAATTCGGAATACCTAAGTTTGTTAAGGCACTCTTAGCTATTCGGGCTAAGATATTTACTTTATATAATATAAGGGCGGCATTCCGGAAGACTAGCATATTCCCGATTAATAGGGAGGTCCCTTATAAGTATATTCGAGATTAGTATATAGCTACTAACTATAATTAGAACTAGTAAGCAATTAAGAGCGAGGTAGTATAGGAAGAAGCCCGGTATAATAAATCGCTAGTAATAGTAGATATAGCTTAGTAGGAGTATATCGCATCGGTTAAGTAACGACGTTCCGCGGAGCCTACTATTATCGATCTAGAAGGCTAGTCGTACGCTAATAGTTGCTACTACCTCGGGGATCTCGAGAACTTAATCGCTTAGGGTATACTATCGTTACTACCTCTACTACCTTAGCGAACGCCGACCCCCGAATTGCCGCAATAGCTTCTATATACTTCTACTAGCCCTCGTACGATTAAGGCATCTCGTAGTGCTATATAAGCTCGTAAGGACTTCCGACGGTCTTATCTAAAACTAGCCTCGTAGGGTATCGATTCTATATTACTATCGTTTAACCTATTTTCTTTGTTACCTATAAAGCAAGTAGAAGAGGCCTATAATATATTAGTTAACGCGGCTATTTGTAAGGGTAAAGAATACAAGCGCAAATACTAATCTATAAGTATTGTTAAGCGAGCAAAGAAGCGGTAGAAGGAATAGCCTAATCGGCTTATTCGAGTAGGTACTATCGAGGTAAATAAATTACGCTTATAGGTTACGTAATAAGACAAAGACCTAGCTAATAGCGACCGCTAGAAGATACTATAAGAGGTATAGAATACTATCGACAAGGCGCGATTATATCGGCTTAAGTATAGCGAGGCCTTCTATATCGTATTTAATAATAATAGCAAGACTAAGTAGACAGACGTTAACCTTTAGTCTATCGATAAGCCGCTACGGCGTATCTTTAACCTAGCGCTTCTTACTACTAATAGCAATAATAGTAGTAATAATAACACTCTAAAAAAGACCGGCGATCTATATACGACTATTCTTAGCGACTATAGGCGCCGCACCGATATATCTAATAGTAGTATAGTTACCTATAGCTAGAGTCTACCGAGAATACTACTATTACCGAGTCGTACTTACGACTATAACGAAGGCGACGTTATAGTATAAACCGTTAAGCTAAGGCGATAGCTAAATAGCCTATTCGTATAAGAACCTAATACTCGACTAGACTAGCTATAATAAGATAAGGCGCTACTCGATAAAGATACTGTCTATACTATACTCTAGCCTTATCTAGTACCTCCTTGTCGCTGCTACGAGTCTGTCTAAAGCAAGCGCTATTTCTATAACGTTCCGAAGAAATCTAGCCGTTATAAAGGCGCGGTCGCTAGTAGTAAGAATAACCCTATTAAGCTAGAAAAGGTAGATAGTAGATATAATAGTCGGTTATTTACTTAATATAAAGAGGTAATAGCTATATAATAGACATATAGGCCGATATGTAAAGTAATCGATTATATAGTAGACTCGAGGTTTGCTAAGAGGCTAGATTAAGGTCCTACGGTCGTAATTTAGTTACTAATATACCGGAAATCTACTATTCCTACCTCTTATAGTGCTTATGTTCAGTTTCCTATTATATGTGCTCTATAACATTGCTGTCGTCGAGTTTTACGTATAGCCTACTAGGAAAGTGCGATTTTACGTATAGCTTAAATCCCCGAGCTAGGGCGAGGGGTGAAGTGGGCTGACGCAACCCCGGATAGGGTGTGGTACTCACACCAACGTGGACAGCAACACGTTGCTCTCACGAGACCGTGCCACCGTGGTACATGGGATGTACATGGCACTGGCAGTGTGGATGCGCGGCGTGTGGCATGCGAGACAGCAGCGCTTGCATGCAACGGCAATGGCAATGGCAATGGCAGCGCATGACACGGCGGTGTGCCTCATACGGCGGTGTGCCTCACTTCGGTTGTCTAGTAGGAAATGCAACCGCAGTCGTCTCTTCGTCGGACGGCGGTCGGTGCAGCCACGGATTTGCAGACATATTCTAAATGCGAGCTGGCCGTGATCCGTTGGTGGCCGCGGGCGTTGCGGGAGACAATTTGGGTTCAAGTTGCGATTCAGGTCAGTCGAGGTTTGTGGTCACCGTCGAGGTTTGTGGTCACCGTCGGCGGTTACTTGTTCCAACTTTGGTATCACCGGGCGTGGTGGAGGGTGTGGGTGTGGGCAGAAGTATGGGCTCCGTGTGAGCCGGTGAAGGCGTGCGTGCGCAGTAGAAGAAGGATATCCCTTTGTAGTTGGCAAATTTCGTCCCTAATTTAAAGGTTTCGAGTGGCTTAGGGGTGCGGCAAGCTAGTGCATAGACCTTCCGCTTCTTGGCTATTAGATAGACCCCTTTATATGCTATTCTAGTACGTAAATCTATGCTCTTTTATATAAATAATATCGTTATATACTACTTTCTATCGAGTATTAAATAAGTCGTTACCTAATAAAGGGCTCGAGTCGGAGGAAGAGGAAGGGGCCGAATTCGAGGTATATAACCCTCGGGTGCCGGCGGAGGAGACCGATTCGTACGAGAATAGAATTAGAAAGGAAAAGGTCGAGTTTACTATAGTAGAAGGGCTAGATCTACCTCGGTTATAGAACTTTAATCCCCTATAGGCACTACCGAGTATAGAACGTTAGTTTTATGTCCCCGACGTTAATAGGGACTGCTTATACGATATAGAACTGCCTTCTAATTGTAGCTACGCTTCTACTAATAAATCTATATACGAAGACTATACCGCTAGTCGAACCGAGTTTAGTAAGGCCTAGAACCTCCTATAGAGGGTCTAGGAGCTGTTTTAGACTGCGGAGGTAAAGGAAATAGTTACTAGCTTCACTAATTAGTATATCGACTAGTAAAGAGATAACGGCCTTACTAAGAAGGTAAAACAATAAGCGGCTAATTATAAGGCTATTAAGACAGCGGAAATCGATATCTAGCTTAGATTAGTATATTATATCGGCGTAGTTAGTTAGAATACGCCTAGTAACTGCTAGGCGGACGATATAATAATGCCGTACTACCGTACTATACGGTTTATAAAGAAGCGTCGCTTTTTATAGATAAAGAAGTTTATTAAGCTATTAAATATAGTAAAGGACTAGGTACTAGCGACGAAGCATTAGTATATAAAACTAGAGCCGATTAGCAGTCGTATTAAGGCCGCCTTTAAGAGATACTACTTACCTCGAAGCTAGGTATCGATTAACGAGATTATTGTCCGCTTTACTAGCCGTAGTAGACACGTTAAGGTTATTAGAAACAAGCCTTGTCTAGAGGGCTACGAGCTTCTCGCTCTTTACGATACTAGCTATATATACGATTATATATTTAATTCGCTTATTTCTAGCTTCGAGAATAACCGTCCGCTAAATAACGAGAAGATAGCGCGAGTGCTAGAAGGTTATTAGAATAAGGAAGAAGTTGCTATTACGAAGGGCTATATTAAACGGCTCTCGGTAACGGCACGTACTACACTCCGCCTAGCCCTTAGCTTGCTAGTAGGTAGGCAATACTATATCTATATAGACAATAGGTTTACTAACGTACTATTATTATCGTATATACGCTTTGCTAGGGTTGCTAGATATAGTACCTATAAGTCTAGTAGTATAGATTATCTATAGGTATTAAGGGCGGTAATAGTTAGTAGTAGGAAGAAGACTCGCCTCCTACTAGGCACTTTAGCGAGTATAGTAACGGCCTTAGGCAACGGTGCCGTTCTATCTCTTCTATAGCAAGACTCTAACCTAGTTTGCCTAGAAACGATAGTATATATAGGCTACGAGATAGACGAAATAAAGCGCCGAGCGCTAGTTATTAGGGGAAACACTAATAAATAGAAAAAGGACTTTATATTAGCTATCTACGATTCCGCACTATAGGTACCCGATAGGAAGAGGGTTATTAGCTAGCCTCGAGTTGCTATCGATTACAACCTCTATATAGGCGATATAGATATTTACGACTAATTACGCTCCTACTATCCGACTTAGCTTATTAGTTATCGCAACTAGATACCGCTATTCTTCTAGCTATTAGATACGATATATATTAACGCCTATCTCCTTACTAAGTATAAATACGGTAACCCTCGCTAGTACGACTAGATAACTAAGTTCTCGTACTATAATATATATAGACTCTTCCGCTATCGACTAGCTTAGAACCTTATCCTTTCTAGCGTACGAGAACTTTACAGACCGTACGAGACTAATATTAGGATAATAGAAGAGATAGCTGCAAAGATTAATATACTACGGTAGCGGCGGGTACGAGATAAGGATAGCAAGCGCGGCAAATATATTAAATAAGGCAAGACTAAGTTGCCTGTTTAGCTCTACTTCTTAGAAGAATATAAGCCTATTAAGGTAGAGCTAAAGTACTATTAATTCTATATATTTAAAGAGCGGTATTAGCAATAGCAAGTAGATAAGTATAAGACAAGGTAGCGCTATAACGACTATAGCTAGTACCTCTATATTAAGTGCTATAACGACTTCTATAACCTTATACCTAGCTACTACGACTAGACCTTACCTCGCTATAGTCGATCTGCCGTATTTTCGAAGGCCGCTTAACTATAGTAGCTAGTAGACGACGACGCGCCTACTAAGCCTAACGTTAACTAAACTCGTCGAGTCGCCGCTCTAATAAATATATCTTACTAATAAGCCGATAGATTAACTACTCGAGCCTTAGATAGCGGTCTTTAATAGAAGGAAGGTCGTCTATTTCTAGGTCTAGGTTTGCGGGTATAACCGGCTTACTAAGCCGCCTTAATATTGTTCTAGTATCCTCTTCTTTAGGCTCCTTTGCTAATAATTTTAGTATAGTTAGTAGCGTACTAGAGAGGGTCGAAATCTAACTTAGATACGGCGATAAGATAGGCTTATTATCCGAATATTAGCTCTATAGTAATAGTATTAGAATTGGCCTTCTATACGGCTTAAACTACTTACTTCCGCTACCTCTAACCGCTCTATTATAGCTTGTATTTACTACTAGGTCTATTATATACTAATAGTATAAGATTGCTAATGTTTAGAAGACCCTAGTATATACTAGGCTAGAAGGGGTTTAGTTATTTACTTAACGGAAGGTCCGGAAGACTAATATTAGCCTTCGGTAGCTAACCAGGGTTGAAAATACACTTTAGACAACAAAGGGATGACTGCTGACGGGAAGCAAGGCAAGGCAAGGCGTTTAGGCGTACGCGAATCAGATGGAAGGCGAAGGGTGAAAGTCGGGGAGAGGAGCGAGGCGGCGGCGGCGGCGGACTTTTGGTTCGGCTGGGTGCGCTGCTTGTGCGCGGCGTGCAGTGGCTCTTTTCCAACCCTGCATTTCACGTCTTCCGCTTCGTTTGGCTGTTGGTTGCATGAGCGTCACAGCACAGCACAGCACAGCACAGCACAGCACAGCACAACACAGCACAACACAGCGAGACAGCGCAGTGCACAGTGCTCATAAGAAGACGGAGCGTCTGTTGTCTCGGACCAGGCAGACAGGCAGACAGGCAGACAGGCGGAGACCTCAGGCTCTTCTGTTGGTGTGGCTTCAGCCCCGGTAAAGACTTTGCTGCTGATCTGAACCTTGACTCCCACACGCTTTTGCTTGCTCGCATCACGGAGCACCTCAGACCTTACCGCACCCAGAACTCCTCGCTGGCGCCCGCAGCTGGTCTGCCTGTGCGCTTGCATCTTTCCTCCCTCGCCGCTTCCTCTTCGCCTTTTCTCCCACTCCCACCCCATCCACTTCCTGCACTCGCACGTCACACGTGCACTACCCGCCTTGCCAGGGTAGTCCCTTGCCTCTGGCCACACTTGGTCCCGTACTCCTTCGCCCTCATCACCCTCCAGCGCCTTCCTAGCCATTCTGACGTCGCCCTCCCCGAACCATACACACAGACCCAACTCTCACTTGACACTGGACATTTCGAATCTCGCAACACCAAAGTCTACTGTGCCGTGTCAAATCACAACAGAATTTCCCGTTCATCTAAGTCTGACCAACACCCTTCCCAAGCCTCTGCTCGCTCTCCACCCGCTCCTCCCTTCTCTCCGACATCCGCTTCGACTTGCTGTGTCCCGCACCACGCCCAGCGCCCAGCATGAAGCGACAGACCTCAATCGCCCACCTACTCTACAACTACTTGTATCCGCATCCCAATCAAAACGACCCGCCATCCTTCAGCGCACATCTCGCCCGAAATCTGGTGCCGGAAGTCCGAATAGAAGTGGCTACCTTCTATGGTGATCTCAACTCGGCCGAAGCTCGCTACCCAGGCCTCAACTACTGCTATCCACCCCATCGCATGAGACTGGGTCGTTTCAAGCATCACAAGCGCCTCTTTGATGCCTTTGACAATCTTGGCCTTACGTACAACGAAATCCAGGACTTTTGCTGCTGGGAAGGTACCAAGTGGGCGAGGGAGCGCTATGAGAAAGATGAAGGCGTGAAGGTGATAGACACGACTGGAGATGAGATTGGTCCATTCGTGGACCGCAGAGAGCGCGTCGCAGAAGACCTGAGGAGGCATAGCATCACAAGAAAGACGGATATTTCGGTCATCGTCGAGGAGGCACACACCAGCCATTCTCGGCAACCTCCGATCGAGGAGGATGACGAGGAAATGGATGATGTAGAATCAGAGGGAGAGCCGGAGCCGGAGACGACAGACGCATCTACCGAAACTGATCGTGAACCACCTTCAGAAGTAATGGCACGTGAGCAGCATATCGCAGATTTGGAACACCGCCGCGAGCAATCAATTCATCAAAGAATCAACCAACACATCATCCGAGCTTGGGAGCAAGGCCAGACGCTGCCTGCGGAAATCGAGCAGTACCTGAAGGATCAGGCAGAGCGCGGCAACTCCGACCTGACACGTCTCTTGGCGAGTCGACGTGGATCACACGCATACAGTGCACCGGAGAACACCGCTGTCGTGGCAACCCAGGCATCTCGGGCTGCAGCATGATCCACATTTCACACTCACCAATTCATCATCATCATCATCATCATCATCATAATCACCCAAACGACAAGCGACTAACAACACCAAGAATTAAGCTGCGACGACATTCATCTAAGTCGTCCTTCACACACGGATAAGCCGGTCAAGACCTGCTCTCATCAATCATGAAGGCAGGCAAATTAATGCATTTTGAGAGGAGTTCAGCGGCGGCAAGCATGGATGAGCGAGAAAGGCATGGGAAACGGAGTTCTTGAGTACGGGGGAATCGTGGTTTGCGTGTTCGTTTTAGCGCAGGGAGTTCCAGTTGCGCGAGAAAGGGTCTGTTTCTGATGTTTCTCCGGGTTGAGTTTCGCCCGACATGGTGGTGGAGCAGCGGCGAGCGAGGCAGCATGCAAGCAGATTTTACTTTTTTGCCTTCTTCTAACCACGTCTGGTAAAAATCATCTTACTATCTCGATTAGCAAGATATGTTGTCTCGCAGCAGACAGACAGAGAGAGAGGGGGGGGGGGGGAAATCGTTGTTTGGCTGGCTCGGACCTTCTTCTTCCATTTCCGATTTCGTAAGCCTCGTCCAAGTATCCAAGTGCCGAAGCCACTGCTATTTCAGGTATGTGCTGGCATGGTTTTGCTGGACTGTGTAAACCGTGTTTCATCTCACGCATAGGCTTTGCTCGCTCATCACAGCACAACTTACAAGCAGGGTTCTTCAATGCGTGCTAATAATCGTAGGTAGCACGCAAAATGGTGCGTGCTACCTATTGCGGGTTATTAGTATGGTAAATCTCGTAGATAGCACCTAGTATAACTCGCAGAGGGCATATCTACTATTACTATTAGTTTTTAACCCCCTAAGTGTTATTTTAGTATAGTACGCGTCTTGCCTTCGCGCCTCTTATAGAACTAGCTTTATAAACCTTATCGTCGCTATTATTATCGCTATTGTATCGCATTCTAGCTCTTATTACGTGTATTTCTTACCTACTATACTAAGGAACGACGACTAGTTAGTATACCGCTATTTTACGTAGTATAAGGATAGAGATAGTAAAAGGCGCGTATCCTATAAATATAGCGGCTGCTAGTATAATAAGGTAAAGGATCGGAGGCGTAATAAGGACTACGCGGACGCGTACGAGTTTAGGAAGGCCGCTAAAGGTAGTAGTAGTAGAAGGTCGACGTCGGTAGAACTAGGACAAGAAATACTACTATTCTTCGAGCTAAGTGCGAGTTAGTACGCGTACGTCGAACAGCTATACGCGGCGGTTTGTTTCGAAGAGAACGAGCCCTTTACCTTCTAGTAGAAGCTAGCGATTAAGCGCCTATTTAGCGCTATCTGTTTAGGCTTCGAGTTACTAGACTAGAACCGTATTCGCCGTTACTTATTGCCGAAGTACTTCGCGAAGGTAGAAGAAGCGGTGCTCGAGAAGGTAGCGTATAACAACGAGCTATCGCTTTAGATTAACGGCTCGACTAATAAGAATAGAATAGGGGTAATAACGCTCTCTATTATCGACTCGACTAGTTGCTATACCCTCGAAACGCGTTAGATAGAAAGCACTAATAAGAGCGCGGAAGAAGGCGTACGTTAGACAAAGGCGAAGTATAAACAGCTTACTGCTAGTAACCTCTCTCGGATTAGTACTATTGCCTTCGACACCTGCGAGGTTAATATAAAGATAATAAGGTTGCTAGAAGCAGACCCTTTACTAAGCTACGTTATTATAGTGCCCTGCAACGCCTATAGCGAATGTCTTTATATAAAGGACATCTTCCGAGAGCCCTTAATCGCGGCATTCTATAGTGAAGTATTATACCTATATACTACCCTTACTCGGAAGAAGGCTATATACTAGTTACTTAAGCAGTACTAAAGAGCCTATTACGATAGCAAGATATATGCTATAACTATATAGGGCAGTACCCGATAGGCGACAATATTAGGTGTTTGTAAGTCTATTCGCCGTACTAAATACACCCTTTAAGACCTCGTACGCGACCCTCGCTATTTACTAGATTATAAGGCCGTTTCTTTAGTAAAGGACTAGAACTTCTAGACCTAACTTAATGCTATTATTTAGGTACTAGAGCCTCTAAATAACTAACTCGTTCTCGTATAGAGCAAGGCTTATACGCTCGAAAAAGTAATACCTAGCTAGCATCAAATAAAGGCGGATTTAGAGCGACTTGTAGACCTAAAGAACCCTCTACTAATCTAAGAGATAATCGACGGTATAGAACACGTCTGCCTTACTCGCAAGAACGCTCGTACTATAACTAGTTAGTAAGAGCGCTTTAATCGTCAGATTAATAAGCACTACTAGGCAGTATACTTCCTTAATCCGGCGACTTTAGCAAAGCTAGATAAGAGGCAACAAGAACAGGTTATTGCGGCCCTTCGGACGGTTATAATAGACGTTGCTAAACAGCTTTAGATTAAGAATGAGTACTACGACTTTATCTATAGAACAGGCTTCTTCTTACCGTTAAATAACTGCTAGACTCTGTCTATAAAGGGCTTCTAGTCTAACCGCTATATAGTCGCTCCTATATTAGCCGAGTACGCGTTGCGGCTTTGCTTAACGACCGCTAATATAGTAACTGCTAAGCGGACCTTCTTAGTCCTTCGGCTAGTTTAAACACGACTAAGATACCGCCTTATAATAGAGCGGTTAAACTAGTTAATATTCATCTACTTTAATAGCCGTGTTCTACGCGCTTCTAAGCAACCTGTAACTAAGAAGCGGAAGCGCACTGCTTAGAGCTAGAGCTAGTAAGAGAGCGACTTTACTAAAGAATAGATACACTAATTTAAAGCGGAAGAATAGGAGGCTATATTTAATACTATAGTAGAGCTCTAAGAAGCATTGTCTGCCGCAGTAAACACTACTTTAGACAATGTAATAGACAGCGAGAGCGAAGATCTAGAGAAGGTCTATAGGCGTATAGATATTAGCGACCTGCTAGCCTAAATTAGCTACTTTGTATACCTAGATTAACACCTTTCCTAAGTAATCTATGCCGGATTTCCTACCTCGGTTATACACCTGCGTACTAACAATATTGTTAGCACGCAAATGCGTGCTAATTATTTTAAATCGCATGAGCGCTACCTACGATTGAAGAACCCTGCTTACAAGTCCTCTAGTGTGTGCCACGTCAACGCTTATACCTTCACAAGGTTACCACTTCAGAGAGAGAGAGTTCAAGGGACCAGTTCATCATCACATTCAACAACAAAAAAAAGTCAATCTCGTCTCAAATTGGTTCTATATATATACCTTATCATTTCACCACACCATCATTGAAATTAATTCTCACGCTCCAGAAGCAATGTCAATGTCCGTTATTAATTCCCCGAAAAAAACATCAACATGAATCCCCGGCTTAAACCTCCCACCTTCAACTTGCTCATTCAAAAACTTCTCACAATCATACCCGAATTCTACGAGTTCGTCTTCGCTGCACCATTCTCCCATCCCCATCAAGCCAATCGGCACCTTACCTTTCTCTTTTCCCATCATCAGCGTATCCGATCGGGACCGAAATCGCGGGACATCCAAGAAAAATTCGCTAACCATACATACTCCATATTCCGAAGCTGTTTATTCGCATTCGTGAGTCCATGGCTCAAATCTGCCTTTTCGATTTTCCACCCCGCCTCCGCTGTTGTCGGGGACACGATGATGAGGCCTGGGTGTGTGGAGAAAAGGTGAGAGAGGTGTTGCATGATGAGGTTGCGGAGGCGTTGAGCTTGGAGGAAATCTATGGCTGTGGTTTTTCGGGCGACGGGGATTACGACTTTGTTGGCTGGGGTGAGGAGGTAGGTGGAGGTTTGGGGGATTCCTAGGCTTAGTTCTGAGAGGATGGTCATGGCGTGGGCGAGTTGTCCTTCGGGGAGGAGGGGGAGGGTGATGTCGATGAGTTGGTAGTTTTGGGTGGAGACGAGCCAGTCGATGGCTTTTTGGCAGGAGGATTTTACGAGGGTGTCTGCTCGGTCGAACCAGGGGCCGTAGATGCCTAGGACCTTGGTTTTTTGAGTCGTGGTGAGGCTGCTACTACTGCCTGGTGGTTTGAAGAGTGATGAGTCGGGATCGAGGGAATCAGGCTGTGCCATGATTCGGTAGCCGATCTCTAGGTCGATCATATTTGCTGCGATAGGTCCGGCCACTCCGGTGCTGCGCGCTAGATCGGTGGATGGACGCTTGGATACTCTTCCATGCGATGGCTTGAGCCCGTATACGCCGCAATACGTCGCTGGGATGCGGATGGATCCTCCGCCATCGTTGCCTTCGCATAGTGGTGTCAGACCTGCAGCCACGGCGTATGCGCTTCCGGTTGAAGATCCGCCGCAATAGTAGTCCTCGTGATTGGGGTTCAAAGGTGTTCCAAATGTCTACGTACACGTTAGAGTGGCTTTGCGGATCTTCTGTCTCCGTCTCCCCAGCCGAGGAATCTGAGGATCGCAGCGGCACAGCCCTGTACAGTTCCTGCGAGCAAGGAGATGGAACTGTCGAGTCGGACTTACAGGATTGTTACCAGTGATATCCGACCCGAGTTCCTGCATAGTCGTCTTGCCGATCACAACGGCTCCAGCATCTAGCCAACGCTGTACACAATACGTAGTCGCATCGTCTTTCCGAGTGAAGTCGATCTTGGAAGCGTAGCATTTTCGATAGCCAGCAAGATCAACCTCGTCTTTCACGGCGACTGGCACGCCGTCAAGCACACTTCTGAATTTGCCATCCTTGTACCGTTGCGTACTTTCTTCTGCAGCTTTCAAAGCAAGATCCTGCCTGACCTGCAAGAAAGCCTTCGAATATCTCTCATCTGCCCCCTTCGCGTCTCGATCAATCAGCGGCAATAACGCTTTGGCAACCGCAGTAGGTGTGATACGTCCAGACTTGTAAGCTTCATGATAATCCAGCACGCTCACATGCACTTTGGAAGCCGGTCTCCGGCCATCCCAAGCCTCGTCGAGCAAAGATTTGAGGTATTACCGTGCCGGAGTAACCGTGCCTACCCCACGTATGCCGCGCGATTCGCGTCTCCTAGTAATTTGTTAGTAAAGCCGAATTGAATGCTATTCCAGCTATACTTCTCGCACTTCTCGCTCTAGTAGTAACGCGTAGGGTTAAGAAGGAGGCATTTCTCGAGCCTGCCGTCGATTTAGTACTAATAACTAAACAATGCCTCCCCGCCGCAAACCTAACGCGTCTCGTAAGGCTAAAGAGGCCGCAGAGTCCGCCGCTATAATAGCAGAAGCGCAGTCTACTACCAACCCGAAGAAGCGTAAACGCGCCGCAGCGAGTGCCTTAAAGAAGCGGCAGAATAGTAAGGAGCCTGCTATCGATTAGCAGTCGCAAATAGACGACCAATTGCTAGAAGCTAGCGGTTATCCGGAGGGTTAAGAAGAAGCGCCTACAGAAGACGACGAAATAGAAGAAGTCGTACCTCCTAGAGCCGATAATAAAGAGAGGGTTAATAAAGATAATAAGGACGCTAAAGCGTAGTAAGAAGCCGAGATTGAGTATAACTTCCGCGCGCTAGTATATATATCCTACGGTAAAGAACGCCTACGTAGAGATTGTTAACTACGCGTACGGCGAGTGTCTAGCTTCGAGCCCTAGCGCAACTTCCTCGAAGTGTGCGATAAGTGGTATAGTAGCAAGGAAGATAAGTACGACTGTCGAGAGATTATCGTTAAGTGCTCGTATAATAGTCTTCGATAGCGAGATATCTTCTCGATAAGTGTCGGTAGCGATAAACGAGAACAAGACTCGGCCTAGCTCGCTATTCTAGATTAACTCGACGATTAGTATAGTGCTAATAAGCAAGGCCTCACTATGCTTCTAGATATAATAGTAATTGATCTAAAGCCGCTATAGACGCCTATATAGTAGCGAGCGAGACAGTAGCAATAGCGACCAACTCTAGGCGGCTCTTAGAGAGTGACTGCGACTTAGCGGCAGTTAGATAAAGTGCGTCGGCAGCGTCGTCTCGAGTTAGAAGAAGAAGCTAGCAATCTACGGCAAACGCTAACAATTAAGGAGCTTCGTAAGGAAGATAATAGCGACTATCGAGAGATAATAAAGCGCGTATAGGCGTACAAGAAGACAACCTGTGACTAGCACGGTTAGTATTGCTATTATAACGGCTCTAACCTAGATACTTCTTACTGCTTAATCTATAAAGAGATAGCTATAGCGTAGGCGGCTAGAATAGCGAGAGGCGACCTAACTATTATAGATCTAGGCTCTTCACTTGTTAATAAGATGTAGCGCTATAAGCAGCGCTATATAAGCAACTCGGCTCGCAATCCATTCGCTTAAAGTACGAAGAGCGCAAAGGCCAATAGTAGATTTAATAGCGGCGGCGTAACGGTAAATAACTATATGCCTAGCTCTACGATAGCAAAGGAACAGTTGCCTTCGAGTCTACTACGTAGCTTACAACCGGAAGCAGAATAGGTAGACCTAGTAGACTAAATCTACGAGTTCTTTGCCTAGCTACGTTAAAGGATATATTAGAGCTATCGATTAGAAGACCTAGAGCATATAGAGCGAGTGTTTAAGGACCGGGAGCTTAGGTTATTAAGATATATCGGTATAACAGAAGGAAAGTGGTGTGAACTAGGCTTTAAAGAAGGGCAATAGGAGTATTTCCGCTAAGCGGGGCGGAAGTATATAAAGGATAGACGGCTTTGAGATTTATAGAGTTTCTATACAATACTATACCGTAGAAAAATACTAAAAAAAAGAGATAGCCTTATTATATGCGTATACTATCGAGAAATAATTATTGTATAATGAATATTATATATTGTTATTGTATTCTAATAGTTGTATGTAAGCTAGAAATGCTGAAGGGGATACGGCTTTACTAACTCCGAGCGAAGCCGAGCGAAGCCGAGCGGAAGCCGATCGAGTTTAAGGCGACGAGATCTCCTTAATACTACGCCGGCGGTAGTCGAAATTAGTGTGCGATAACAGAGGGTTCGTCTTGGCACGACTTTGTCTAACAAATTAGTAAGCGTTTGCTTGTCTAGCGAACCGCCGAGCATATAAGGTAGACCTACGAATACCGGATGTATTTTAATCGGAGATTCGATTAATATCGGTACCTAGAGGCCTAAAACTACGCTTTCGTATGCGATACTGTATCAACCTGTTCTATAGTATATTGAAGGAATAGACCGAATGTCTCGTATGCCTTTGCGAGGTCTATATTACGCCTAATCTATGCCTTAAGCGAGTTAAAGGACATCTCGATAGGATTGAAGTCTAGTAAGTATAGCGGCAAGTAACGTAGGTGAATGCTAAAGCTATTACACAGGTCTTAAACGCGTAGAGTGTAGTGTATCGAGGTATTGTCTATTGCGAGAAACATGCCCCTTTCTAGTCGAGGCAGTATAAACAACTCTAGCTAGTCTTCGAAGTCTACGGCTTTAATAGAGCCTTAGTAGATAAGGTAATCGTCTAGATAACCCTCACTTGTTATAGTAGGCAGTATAGACTATCTCTTTAACCTCTTCGAGCCGCCGATATCTTTATAAGGAGTGTTGACTTCAGAATAGCTATATTTCCGCTATCTAGTGCGCTCGTTTAAACTAGACTCGTCGATATAGCAGACACGACCTATTAGTATCCCTTTCTGTAGCGTACGCTAGTTCTCGCGTAACTCGTAGCTCTGTTCGAGCGCCTTACGCTAAGCCTTCTTCTTCGAGAAGTTATAGCGTTTAAGGATGTCGCTTACGGTCGTCTCGGATACGATAATGTTAAACTCGTCGTAAATGAACTATACGGTCTCGGAATAGTACGAAGTCGGTCGATCGCGTAGGTATTCGAGAACACGCAGTTCTTGCGCCTTAGTTAGCTTCCGAGAAGGTCCTTTCTTCGCCTATTGCGGGTACGGCTCGCTAAACAATATAATGTTGATCCTTAAAGAGTTAATAGCGCGGCGACTAATATGCGTCTTCCTAGAGACACTGCGATTAGAGTGGCCTTCTACCTATAGATCCTATATGAAAGTAATCTAATTAGGAGGTATTTGCTAGCGGGTTGGCTGCGCGTGTTTCTAACCCGATAATAGTGCTATTAGAACGCTAAAACAACACCTAGGACCGTCTATACCGCTAGGAGTACGACGATATGGTTTGCGGTATTAGAAACGCGTTAGTTAGTTTGATATAGTTCGAATTGCTAACAATCTATAGTGGTTTCGCGAATTCTATAAAATTCGCGGGGTGGGCACGGTTACTCCGGCAGCATAGTACTAGTCGTTACTGACCGCGGCGGCACCACGATTCGCCTTAACGACTAGTGGTTTATATCTCGGCTCTACGCTATCGAGCTAGGGATGGTCGCGCAAACTGCTGAACCTAGCATTATTCCACAAAAGCTGCTACACGAAGTTTAGGTTCGAGATCCTACATCTCAAGCGTCAGTTATGTGCATAGACGCAGGGCAGGGCATAGGCGGAAGAGCGAACAAGATTCCGCTATAATAGAGGGATTTCGCCGCACTTTCTCAACCGCTACAAGAGCCGCTCCTTAACCTCTAACTAGTGGATAGAAGGGTGGTCACTGCGTACGCACGGTGCACTAATAGCGGCCGCTACAAGCTTATAGCGGCCGCTATATGCCCGTGTTTAGATACTAAGTGAATAAAAGCGGTTTAGGTTAATAGAAGAAGCCGCTAGACCTAACCTCGCTCTACGCGTCGCGTACTACTAGCATTTCCTATAGATTAATTAGTTAGCAATCTCTAGCAAATATGTCTTATAAGAATGGCTTTAGTAGAGCTTAATTAGTCGCCTTAACTACGACGACGACGACGTACTATCTATAGACGCCTACCCCTTCTTATCCGCCGTTTTTACGTATATAGACCCTATAGCTAGTATAGCTAAGAGTAGGTAAGTACGCCTTCTTCGACTATGTAACTAGAAGACCTCTATACGATAAGAACGGCCGTCCTATCGCTCTATCGACTAAGCGGACTCTAACGCCTATAAGGACTATAACCGAGACTCTAGGTCTAGTAAGATAGGCACTTACTTACTTCCGCGGCGATATAATAGCACCTCCGGCGACTCTACGGTCTAGCAAAGCGAGTAAGAGCTAGCGTAGAAGGGCTCGGTTAGAAGCTTAACTTAAGAAGGATAGAGCAGCTCTTAGTAACGACATTTAGGACAGTCTAATAACGCAATCTCGAGGCCTTACTTCCGCTTAGAAAGTAACGCTTTCTAAGATAGTTAAGAGGTATATAAATACGCTTAGATAGCCGAAGATATAAGACACTATAAGCCTCTAATTTGCGAGAGAGACTAGGTTTACCTACGGAAGCCTTAATCGAGCGCTTAATACTATAATTAAGATATACGATTAATAGCGAGACCCGTAGTAAGGAGGCACTTATATCGACTCTAGCACTAAGTTTAATAACGAATATACTAATCGGATTAGCGAGATAAAGGCGGCACTATAATAGAAGAAGGAGTTAGCTAAGAACAAAGCTAAGGCTAATAAGAAGAAGGAAGACGAGGCTCTAGACGCTTAGCGAGTACGTCTTAACCTTACTAAGAGCCGCAAGGGTAAGGGCAAGAAGAAGGCGCCCTTACCTAATCTAGAGCCTTCTTCGGAAGAGTCTAAAGCTAAAGATAATAAAGTAGAAGAAGATAAGACAGACGACGAGACTGCTAAGCGTAATAAGCATAATCTACCCGAGATAGTGCACCCTAATACAGACTTTAATAAAGAAGCGATCTACGACGCTTAATCTAGCCGTTAATCTATTAGTGCTACGCCGAAGCCTCCTACTAATAATAAGAAGCGGAAGATAAGAAGAGAGCTTATAGAAGAACCTCCGATAATAGAAGCTAGTATAGCGGCATTAGTTTAGTCGCTTAGTATAGGCGATAGCAATAAGAAGAATAAGCGAGAGTTAAAGAGATTAAAAGCTAATATAAGCGCGCTTAAGTCGTAGAACGATACTATTCTATCGCTCTTAAAGGGCATTGCTAGCAACTAAGAACAGCAATAGAAGCGGCCGAATTTAGTATAGGAAAGCACTCCGCTAGTTACCGAGGGTAGCGACGTCGATCTATTATATACGGAGTTAATTAGGAACACTTATAATAAAGCAGAGCTATATAAGTTTATAGTATAGAGTGTAGATCTATTCGATCTATAAGAAGGGTTATATTAGTAGGTAGATAGGGTAGTAGTGAATTAGTATAGTATTCGATAGAGATCTAGGAGGAGAGGGAGGAAGGTAGGAGAGTTAGCCTAACGCTAAGCGCCAAGCCCTGCCTAAGGCATTAAGACCCTAGCTTTACTCGGCCTAGTTACATACCAATTATATATAGCCTCCTTAGCCCTAATATACGCTTCCCTTCTAAAGGCCGCGCCCTCGTAGCCTATCTATATTCTAATCTCGACCTCTATTGCTACTAACTTAGCAAATCTAATAAGCTACTTAGCCCGCGCTAAATTAAACACTTAACTACCTAATTATATAACTATGTTAAACCTTACCTTCTAATACAATGTCTAACTCTAACTACGCTATTCCTATATATAACAACCTATAAAGTAATATATATCTATAAGAATTGAGGGCCTTCGACTAATTACAATACGAGCGCGTTTTCCCTACTATAATAGGTAGACGTACGAGGTATTGTAGCCCTACCTCCGTTCTAAGTAATATCGTACCGAGTTCTTTGCGTCTACTCTTAAAAGACCTAGCAATGTCCGCTTCCGAGGGTTGTCCGTTCCGAGGGATTGTTCTTATTATTACGAGGGCTATTATTTACTATTATAGTTTTACTAGCCCAAATTAGTTAGGTTTGGCAGCCTTTAAGTATCAATCTTATCTTATCTTTTCCGAAAAAAACACAGCTCGTCTAGTTTCTATAGGTAAAGGCTATTATAAGTATAGTAGTTAAGGTTCGCCTCGCTTAAAGGGTTAGAAAGATCGAGGAGTAACCTATTGTCCGTAAGATCGACCCCGGCTAGCTTAGCTCTATAGTTTTGCCCTTAATTAGTTAGTCTATTAAGCTACTTAATCCTTTTAAGCCTTAATATTTTAACTTAGCCTTAAAGTTTTAATTAAACCTTTAATAGGCTTAATCTTTTAACTTAGTTAGTATAGTGCCTTAGGCTCGTAGTATAGGTAAGGTTGTGCCTACGGCGTAGCGGCAATAGCAAGTAATGTTAACAATAGCGGCGCTAGCCGTCTTAGCGCTAACTTTATCTTGCTTCTAATTTCCTTCTTCGACCGGCGACGCTTTAACTAGCGACATACTCCGCAATACTGTTACTAATATAGCCGCGCCGGCCGTATCGCTATTTAGTACGAGCGTAACGCCGTCGGCATTATTATTATTACTAACACTATCCGTTTACGCGCGCGCCGCCTTCGCCGATCGCCTAGGCCTTAAGGCCTCGTTAGAAGAAAGGAACAAAAGAGGGACCTATAGGGTGCGCTAGTAAAGAGGTAGATTCTATAGTAGTATAGTCTTATTGTCCCTTATTGCTAACAATTGCTTGCCTCTAATTAGTTAGCTAATAGCACCCTGGGGGTAGCATTAATTCTAAGCCTTAGTAACATTACGAGCTTTTAGCCTTCTTCTTGTTCTTTACGCTAGTCTAATACTCGTCTAATAGCTTAGCTATATCCTTAAAGGAACCTTTAGCTTCCTACGAGTCCTATTTAGGTAAATAGCCTTGCTATCTTAATAGATACTCCTTCTTACCTTTCCTAGTCCGGTGCTATAGGATACGTTCTATAGACTATAGCTCTTCGCTATTAGCTAAGACTTCTTCTAACTTAGTAGGCGCTTTATCGCCTTCGCGCTAGTAGTATAGTTTAAGGAGGGATATATAGAAGGTATTATAGATAGTATAATAGGGTAGAAGCTATAACTAATAGGCCTAGCTATTGCCCTTCGGTTCTCGGATTCGGAATAGGCTAATAAACCGTAGTACTAGTTTAGGGCGTGTTTTACTATCGGGTAATAGGTGTTTGCGGATGCGGAGGTTCTTTATACTAAGTATAACTATATCGCCTTGCTTAAAGGTTATCGGTATATAACGCTTATCGTAGTAGGTCTTTTAGTACTCTTAAGCCTTTGTTAGCTTCTTAGCTATCTTAGTATAGATTTCTCGCATCTTTTAAACCCTCTTAATAGCCGCTAGTGTTTTAGGTTAACCCGCTTCCCTTTCCTTACGCTCGGCCTCGAGCGATAGGGGATCTTGTAGTATAGCAGCGTTCTAGCCTATTATAGCTATATATAGTAATACCTTAGTTAATAAGTAGATACTGTTATTATATACGAATTCAGCTAGTTATAGGAGGTTGACCTAGTCGTTAGGATTCTCGTTAATATAGCTGCGTAGGTATTGCTATAGCGTAGCATTCTGCCTCTTAGTCTAACTATCTGTTTGTAGATAGAATGCTATAGACAGGCGATGCTTGAGTCTTAGCTATAGGCAAATCTTACTCTAATAGTAAGATATAAATATCGAGCCTCGATCGGAGACTATCCCCTTAGGGGTCCCCTAATAGCTATAGAAGATGTTATTCTATAGCGACTTAGCTAGGTTAATAGCCGTCTAATCCTTTCGGGCAGGAATATAACGAGCGCCCTTAGTAAACCGGTCTACGACAACTAGGATAGCATTATACACATCCTTGCTTCCTCTACGCTTAGTAGGCGGAAGGCCTGTAATAAAATCTATTATAAGCTTAGCAAATGGCTTCTTTAGAACAGGGAGTAAAGACAACTCGCTAAATAGTAAGTGCTTCGGTGCTTTAACTCGTTAATATACGGCATACGTGTTTACGTAGTCCTTTATGTCCCGCTTACTATTTAGCTAGTAGTATATACGCGATAGTAGCTCGTACGACCTCTCTATGCTATAGTAACCGGCAAGCTTACTATTATAGTATCGCTTAAGAAGCTCTTGTCGTATCGAATACTCGGTAGGGACATACAATCTGCCCTTATAGCGCAAATAGCTATCGGCATCAATCGACCAATTCTTGCTAGATCTAGTCTTGCGGCTACTTCTAAGCTAATCTATACGAGTAGTAGCAAAAGCGTCCCTTTGCTAAGCGCGCAACAGTTCGTTTATAAAGGCTTAACTATCTCCTTATGCAAGTTCGCTTAATAGCACCCTCGCTATCGTACGTAGTACGCACTATATATATCTAGTAGCACTAGCAGCCGGATTAACTATAGCAGTGCTTTAATCGCTATTACTATATATAGCGATATCGACTAGGGAGTTATCGTAACCCTTCCTATTAGTATTATTAAGCTTAATACGCACTGTTAATATAGCAAGAGCATTAATATACTTTAAGCCGTCGCAGAGTCCGGTAAGCCGCTTATCCTACGCTTGCCTTACTACGAGGTCTATAGCAATCTTGTGCTATAGGATTAGAAACAATGAATTGATAGATTAGGTTTCGCTATCGTAATCAGGTCGCCTCGATAGGCTATTAGCAGGGTTACTTATACCTAGCCGATATAATACATTAAAATTAAACCTAGTAAGGTAGACGGCCTATCTAGCCTGTCGACCTATAACCCTAGTAACCTTAGTAATGCTACGAAGGTTGTTATAGTCCGTATAGACCTAAATAGGGTACTAAGCACCGTCGAGATAGTAGCGCTAGTATTTAAAGGCTTCTACGATTGCTAAGAGCTCTTGCTCGTAGGTCTCGTACCGACGTTCTATATCGATTATCTTCTATAAAAAGAAGGTAATTAGGTGCTAGTAGTAGTTACTGTCTGACTGCTAAGACATTATAGCTAATACAGCGAACTGTAAAGCGTTAGTCTTAATACGGATTAGTTTGCCTAGTACGAAGTAGTGTAATAAGGGGACTTTAGTAAAGCGCTGCTTTAAACTGTTAAAAGCGGCTTGTGCTCTATTAGTCTATCTAAACTCTCTAGTTAGGTTAGCCTTGGTTTTAGTAAGCTCAGTTAGGGGCATTATATGCCGTAAATAGCTCTTAATAAAGCGGCGGTAAAAGTTAGCGAAGCCGAGGAATAACTAAAGCTCCTTAATACTAGTAGGCGTTAGCTACTTAGTAATAGTCTTAATCCGGTTAGGATTAGCCTTAACACCCTCGGTTAATATGAGGAAGCTAAGGAAGGACACCTCTTTAGTAGCAAAGGTATATTTAGAAGGCTTGTAATACAGACTATAGGCCCGTAGGCGGTCGAGCACCTTACGGACTATAGCCTAGTGCTCCGCAATGTTAGGTAAGTGTATATAAACTAGGATGTTATCTAGGTAAACTATATAGAGGTAGTCTAATAGGCCTAAAAGGGCCCGATTAATATAGGACTAGAATGTTATAGGGGCATTAGCTAGGCTAAATAGCATAACTAAGTACTCGAAATAGCTATAGCGAGTATAGAAGGCTGTTTTCTATTCGTTACCCTTACGAATACGGATACGATAGTATGCATCCTTAATGTCTAATATAGTATAGTAGTAGGCACTAGAGAGGCGATCGAGGGTCTTATTAATAAGCGGAAGTAGATAACGGTCCTTAATAGTAACAGCATTAAGTCTACGGTAATTAACGTATAACCGTAGGCTACTATCCTTCTTTAGAACAAACAGGATTGGTGTACTAGTAGGGCTGTTACTATACCGTATCTAGCTATTAGCTAGGTTTTCTTCTAGGTACTTACGTAATATAGTAAGCTCGCGCTTACTAAGGTTGTAGAGTAGTCTAAAAGGAACCTCCTTACCCTCTATAATGTTAATCTTATAATCCGTCTCTTTAAATATAGGCAATGTCGATGCTAGGTAGTACTTAAATATATTAATATAGGTCTCCCGAATAGGCTCTAGTATACGAGCAAGCTAATTAGGGTCTATGCTATTAGGGGGTATAGGTTTATCGTTATTACTACCGAGCAGGTCGGCGGTCGGATTAGCTAGGGTTAGGTTACTAATAAATAGGACCCTAATATTATTAGGGCACTCGCTAATATTAATATATTTAATGTCCTCTTTCCTAGCGATTCTAAATCGCTACTTCTGAATGCCTAAGTCTATAGCTACAGCATAGTGCTTAAGAATAGGGTTGCTAATAACAATAGTAGCTCCCCTATATAGGTAGTCTATATCTACTACGTAGGCAGTAAAGTCTAGTAGGCGTTTATTTCCGAGGTCGTCCTTTAGAGCTATAGGAATATAGTAGGCCCTATAGGTTAAGTGCCGAGCGTTATTAAACTAAGCAAGAGTTAGTAGGTTAGTCCTCGGCAGTTGTCGAAGGTCTAATTGCTTAGCTAGGCGATAGCTAATAAGGGCACTAACTGAATTTCCTAGATCTAGTATAACCTTGGTTTAATAGCTAGTGCCCTTCGTGTTCTATATAAGGTAGGAGCGTATTATAGCTAGCACAATGTCGATAGTCTTACGCCGTACGAGGCTAACGGTTAGTGCGGCGCTTATTCTTTTTTCGAAGGACCGATAGGGGTAGTATTAGCGGCTAAAAGGTGCTTACGGTGCTCGGCGGTAGTACGGTCGATTCGGGCCTAATCCTTAGGTTTGTCGCATTAGCCTAGTAGGTAGCTAGTACTGTCGTAGTTAAAGCACTTCAATCCGATTAGGAGGTTGCTATATCTACTCGGATTAGCGCTAGAGCTAGAGGAACGATTAGGGGCATATAGAAATAAGCCCCTTCCTTGTCCTCTTCCTCGCTAGGGGTTTCTACCGCGGTATCGGCCCCTACCTCTCCTACGTTAGTCGTTACTGTTTCTATTGTTAGCAGTGTTAGTTTAGGGAGTACTTCCTTAGTTTCTACCGCGGCTACTACAGTTAGTAGATAGTCGTATCTTAGATTCTAACCGTTGCTATAGCTATACTATACGCTTTGCAGTTTCGACTTTAACTATAAATTAAATGCGTATAAGATTAGCCTATTTAAACACACGGCGGCGGTCCAATTTAAGGACTAATTCCTATCTCAATTTAGGGCGTATTTCGGAGATCTAGATAGAATCAGTTTTAGGTAGCAAATCGTCCTTAAGGGTCTTTAGATAGGCCTCGAAGGATCGAGAGGTTTAGTCGGCCTTTTGTTTAGTACGTAGGTATTAGTCTTAGGCGTGCTGCTAGCGTAATATAGGGTTGCTAAGGGTGTTTAGTATAATAGTCTTATAGTCCTGCTATTAAATAGCGGTCTAATCGTTAAGGGATTCAAAATAGTTATCCTAGGTGCGCTTTAGGTCGCTATTAATGTACTATATAGCGTAGACGACTAATAAGTAGTTATCTAGCAAGGCCCTTAGTGCATTCCGCTAGTTCAATTTATAATTACGTATGTGATTATTGTACTACTTGCGGCTAGAGCTATTAAATACGGTATAGTCCTTAAGTTTAGTATCCTTCTTCTAGACAGGTAGCGAGGAAGGTCCTACTATTAGTTTAGCATTAGTTGTTAGGGCCTCCTATAGGCGGCGAATCTCGAGGAGATTATTCCTTAGCTATTGTTCTTAATATAAGGTAGTAAGCCTGTTTTAGGTAGCTTCTTAAAGTCTCGCTACTAGCTAGGGCCTAAAGGCTAGTTAGCTATATCGACGGTTAACAATATTGCTAAGAATGTCGTTAATAGGCAACGATAGGTTATCCCCTTCGATTATAGGTTCTTTAGTAGGCCCTCTAGTAGGCTCTTTAGTAGGCACCTTAGTAGGAGGCACTTTAGTAGGCACTTTAGTAGGAGGCGCTTTAGTAGGCACTATGCCGCTAGCGTTGTCGTTGCTAGCGCTACTAGCGGCAGCACGGTTGTTATTTCGTAATAAACCGGCTATTGTAAGGGGCGTTACTAATAATATATTATTAGCCCCTAAGATGCGGATATAGCGGAATTAGTAGATATCGGCCTAGTATACTTAACTTAGTGTAATAGGCCGTATAGAAGGCCTTGCTTAATAATTAGTACGGTTGTTTTAATAGAATAGTACGTATAGGTCCCGTTCTTCGGGCGTAATATAGTTAAATCGATAGTTTTCGTAGCTATACCGCTAAAAGCTTGAAATAAGGACTATCTAGCTGCTACCCTTAAAGGGTAGATCGAATACTATATAAGAAGGGTTATATTAGTAGGTAGATAGGGTAGTAGTAAATTAGTATAGTATTCGATAGAGATCTAGGAGAAGAGGGAGGAAGGTAGGAGAGTTAGCCTAACGCTAAGCGCTAAGCCCTACCTAAGGCATTAAGACCCTAGCTTTACTCGGCCTAGTTACATACTAATTATATATAGCCTCCTTAGCCCTAACACGATCCGAGCGTAGATCTCTCGAAGTTTAAGCTATAATTAGCTCGAATAGCGCTATATATAAATTGCTTTCGCTCTATAGCCGTTAAATAGTCAATTTTAGTCGTATAAAGTCGTATAAAAAATATATTATAGCTCTTATATAGACGATGAAGCGTATATATAGTTTTATATAGGTGCGGGTGTTGCGTAGTAGTAAAATGTGTAAGTAAGGGTGTCGGCTTAGCTTATATATATATCTCCGCTAATGCTAAGCTAACCTCCGCGGAGGTCCGCGGAGGCGGCCGGACCTCCGAGATATACTATTCTTCCTCTTATCTCGAACGTTTAGGTCCTATTTAAAGTGCTAGTAATATGTCGGCGCCTCCGCTTTCTTACGTGTTTTCGCTTAGGATAGCGAGGTTCTTCTATCTCCGGTATATCGCCGTATAGATAGAGATATTCCGTAGCGAAGGGAGGTCGAGTTTAGAAGCGAGTAGTATACTAATTGCCGCTACGTAGGCACGTATAGAGGTTTGTAAGCATTGTCGCTATTAAATAATATAATAAGACCGGTTAATTGCTAATATATTACTACTTAGTAAGGCCTAGATATCCCTATAACTATAGAGTCTTTCTAAAGGCATATTCTATCTCTATTCTTACTCTCGATATTCGAGTGTTAAATACCTACTTTAAAGGAGGTAGAGGTTTGCTAGGCTATAGACAGATAACTCCGTAAGTGCAGTAATATACTAGATCGCTATAAAGATATAGCGTACGCCTGTTTGCTATTATTCTTCGTATCCGCTTAGGAATACGAGATTCGTACTAGATAGACTAGTCGTTAGATTTGCCTTCGAATAGGCCGATAAGAGATAATAATATACCGTTAGGCGTAATAATGCCTTAGAACTTGTAACTATGCTTCTTCTTATGCCCCGTATAGTAGATTCGTTAATTATATATCGATCGAAGAGGTCTCGTAGTGCCCCGAAACGTACTATCGATAAATCCCTAAAATCTACCTAGATATCCGGCTTGTTTAGTACTTCTTACAAATTGTCGTAGATTATAGTATAGCCTTAATTGTAGGTGCTAGCGTACGAGGTCTCTAAATTGTTCCTCTAAATAGAGGATTATATCCGAGAAGATCGTAGATAGGAAGCATTTAGGCCGCCTAAAATAGTTATATAAGTCTTTCTAGCGATACGAATACGATAGTCGACGACACGTTATATAGAATGCTAGTATTAGGTCGTAGGTATACCGATTAGACTATTTAATAGTATTAATTCGTAATATAGTCGATAGAAAGCGAATCTCTACCTTACTAAACCTATATCCGCGGTAATTAGCTAAGCAGCGATAGTAAGGTCTAGTTATACTTCTAGTAGCGACTTAATAACCGATAACAACCTCTAAATAGCGACATACTATTAAATCTATTAAGAAAGCGACGTACCTATACTTATCTTCTATCTTCTTATCGATATAGTCGTCTAGCGACTATACCTTAATAGTATATAGAATAGTCGGCCGCGAGCGGAAACTACGGTCTCTACGTTGCGTCTATACTATAGCGACGATTATAGCGACAATCGCTATTAACCGCGACCTTACGACCGCTATAGTGCTTACCTGCGCGCGGCACGCGATATAGAACGCGATATCTATACGAGAACACACGGCACGCGGAAGAGACGGAAATTACAACCTATACTTGGCACTGCTAGGCTCGATTAGGCTATATAGCGCTCCTTATAGCGCTCAGATAGCGGTTGAGAAAGTGCGGCGAAAATGCAGCAGCGTGCCGCGCACGACTGGGTTGGACGGGGCGGGTGGATCTTTCCACGGGATCGATGCCGCCTTGGCAGTTGGGCGATTGATGAAGAAGTCCGCTCCTCCTTGCGTGGATGCCATGTCTTGCAGTCCGACGCGAACATTCATCATTCATTTGATTGTTCACAGGAGGATTTCAGCCTCTTGGGCGCTGACGAGAGCTTGGAAGACCACCAAGCCATTCCCGATTCTTGCGGGGAGGCGGGCCCTCGAACCCACCCTGCGGTTCAATATGGTTCTCATCAGCAAGTCTTAGGCAGGCAGGAAATTGACGATTTGAGATGTGTTCGAAATGTGTGCTGGTATCATGCATATGTGAGAAGTCTCTCTATCGTGCTCACGCACCAAGTGGCGATGTCTACTTGTGGTCTATTCTTCGCTGTTCAAACGCCGCTCTCAACGCCATCCTCTCAACATTAATAAAACCATTCATGTTTTCTGTAAAAGCTTGCAATCCTTGCCGTCGCTGCTTGCATCGTGCATTCGTCAGGCGATTCATCGAGCAAAGCAGAAAATAGCTGGGACGCTGTGCCCAAGGGTAGCCCGAGGTCGTATCAAAAATAAAGGTCCAAGCGGTCTTTTGTGCCCAAGCCGTTGCCAATAAACAAAGATCGCGGCATTTCGATCTAGAGGGGTATCGTAGCAAGCATTGGCGATGCCAGGTCCTCCCTTCGGAGATCATTCCAAACTCCCAAACGCCTCGCTAAACGATATCGCTATAACAATGTGCGAAAAAAGGGTCGAGTGATTCGACCAGTCTCGAACGGTAGATGCTGCGCGATGCGGAAGAAAACAATGTGCAGCTGTAGGTGAAGTGTGTGCGTCCGATCGCTGCACAGACGCTGAGTGCCCGGGCGGTGAACGGGAATGTGACAGCGCTCGAGCAGGTAAGCAGGGCTGCACCCAAGCGAACCGCAAACCGCGGAAATTGAGCTGACTCAGTAGCCCATGCCCTCGCCGACAAGTCCAGCGCCGGCGACGTTGGCATTCAGGTTTTGCAGATTGGTCGGCAGACCGGGAACATTCGGGTTGTTGAGCTTGAGATCTGGATTGCAAGGTGGGCTGTGTTGTCGATGATACTTGAGACCGTTCAAGTTTTTATATCGCTTGCCGCATACCTCGCATCGATATGGCTTCTCTTTCTCCATGCCGACCGTGCCGGGGTATGGTATTGAGGTCGCAGGATCCACGATTGAGAACGTACCATCAGGGTTTTCTTTAAGCTGTTGATTTTGGTGACCGTGCTGTTTGTGGTATTTGAGACCGTTCTGGTTCTTGTATGCCTTCTCGCAGCCAATGACAGGGCACTTGAACGGCTTGATCTCCTCGCCCACAAATCCTCCAACACCAGCAAGGCCATTGAGAAGTTGACTTTCTCGAACGCGTTTGGCAAGTTCGCTTGATTGTGCGTTCGTGAAAGCCGGATTTGGCATTCCCTTGTTACCGAACCCTTGTTTGCTCAGTAACCGCTTCTCAGGATTGTCGATCGTCGCAGACCCACCGTTGTTCATGCTGCCCATGTAATTGAAGGCGCCAAAATCGAAATTGCCTTGAGCCAGTGCGTTGTAGTCCATATGACCAAGGTTACCCATGGAAGCAATGAAGTCAGGATCGAGCTCAGCTGGTGTGCTTGGTTGTGAAGTGTCGGGAGTCGCTGTCTGTTGTGAGAGAGTCTGAGTTGTGAGTGTGGGAGTATTTACCGATGAAACCGTTGGATTGTGCGGTAAGCCCATGCCTTGCAGATTTGCGTGTGGCGTCGTAGGCGTTGCAGCGTTCAGACCTTGCCCTTGAAATGCGTTTGCAAGATTCACGTTGACCGAAGGCCCTCGTGGCTGTTGTCGGCCAAACTGAGGTTGTGGTTGGTATTGTGGTTGCTGGACTTGCGGTCCACCGTCGCCCATGTCCATATCCATATCGTCGAGGTTGTCGAAGGTGCCGATGTGGTCCTGGCTCTGGCCACTAAACATTGGCGTCGAAGGGTTAGGAGGCATCGATTCGCTGTGTGGAGCGAGTGTCCGTTGAGGAATTTTCACCTGCTGCGATTGTGTCTGCTGTTGTACCGCTTGCGCAGTGCTTGTTGCGTTGGCCGCTCTACTGCTTGGGAGCTGGTCCTTGGGTGTTCGTCCCATCGTCTGAGTTGGCTGAGCTGCGTGTGCTTCCTCGTAATGCTGCAACAGTTCGTGCATCGAATCGAGGCGGATGTCGCAACATACGTAGTCTTTCATGTAGTTCGCCTCCATCTTGGGAAGGTACGACGAAGAGTGGAAGGAGGGCGAGTTGAACTGATACGGAGATGTGCCGGCCATGAGAATGCTGCAAGTGTCGTCAGTTGCACATTCACTTGAAGCTGAGACATATGTCTCAGAAATACGTACTCGTCTCTGATGAAACTACCCATGGAGATTCCACCCCAACTCTGTCCAGCGACCAGACTGCCTGACATGCCGTTGCCGTAAGTGCTCTCACGACGCTGCATGCCGGGTATCTGCCTTGCGCCGAATGGTGTGGTTCCCAGCATGCTGACTGACCCTTGGCGTGGCTTCATGACGGGAACGTGCTGTGGTGCGGGCATAGTATTTGATTCGCCCCGTTCTTGCGAATCTCGAAGTTGCGAGGTGAGGTTGGACTGTTGACTCCTGGGTGAAGAGGAGGTGGTTCGGCTGGTGGCGATATTTATCGGAGATGCCGCGGAAGGCATTTCGTTGATGTGCGGTAGTGGCGAAGCGGTGGGAAAGAGGGGTAGAGTCTCTGGCTCGTCGTCGTCGGGCGGAAAGAGCAGGTCGTCGCTGGTGAAGTCGTCGGCGATCGCGTTGTCGGATGCGGCTTTTTTGTGCCAGTTGAAGAATAAATCGTCGTCTCGCGACTGCTTGGGCGGAGGTGGTGTGCCGGCAGTTTCTGGAGTCGACACGGGTGTGCTCTCTGCACTGTAGGTGAGAGGCGGAGGGGAGTCGTTAGACTGTGAGAACGCCAGCTTGAAGGAGTTCTCGACGGCCAACCGGACCCGGAGGGCGGATGGCGACTAGTAGTAGTTGCTTAAGGCTTGGACGGTGGTTCTGCGCTAATATGGCAGTGCGTACGTCAAGGCGCTGGTGGACTCGGCCTACTCTTGCACATGCGACGGAGCGATTCGAGCGGGAACGTGAATTCGACGGAGTGAAGGCAATAATACTGGAGCCCGCGAGCCCCAGAGGCGGTCGAGGGCGACTGATATACAGTATGATGCTTTTCGACATGGCTAGTCATAGCTTGCCGGCACCTGCCTGGTAGCCATCCAGCCAATCATGGCAGGACAGGGCATAGGGTTTCACAACGACGGGCTTCTGCCGATGCGGGCTAAAGGGTGGGTTGTGATGAGCGGACCGATGTACGTACAAGCCAAGCCAGCCGCTGGCGGATCCGATCAGTCGAATCTGGCGCGCGACAGCTGTTGCTTGTGGCACTGCGGCGGCGGCGGCGGCGCGCTGCACGGTGGCGACGTCTAACTAACGCTCGCTGCCATGTGCTATGCAGGCGTGCGACAGCGAGGCGAGGCGAGGCGAGGCGACTGCTCCTCTGCATCATCTGCAGCTGCATCTACACCGGCGTCTGCATCTGCGTCTGCATCGTCGTTTGCATGCCGGCCATGGGTATGCGCCAGCTCAGGACTCAGGAGTCCGCGCGGGCCCCGCCCCTTGCTCGTTGGTCCGAGTTACTCCCTCACGTGTAGCCGGTCGTGCGAGGTCGGAAGCGAAGGCGAGGGCGAGGGCGAGGGCGAACCGCACCGATGACTAGTGATGGAGCCCACCATCCAGTATGTGGTATACACATTGTATATTATACCGTATATACAGCCTTTACGGCCGGAGACCTGGTATACACCCATAGAGGAGTTATATAATACGCTGATAACAGCCTAGATACAGGCTTAGCAGCCGGACTTCCTAGGTTATTAAGGTATTCGTACGGGCCCTTACCTGTATACACCGGGTATATACTGGTATATTATACGGTGTATACAGGGCCAATTCCTAGTATACCGTATATCCACATCCCTACCGATGACTCGCCGCAATCGTAGGCTCGTAGGCTCGTAGGCTCGTAGGCTCGTAGGCCTTGGCTCGTAGCGAAGGCTGGTGCCGGGAAAGCTTCGATGCGCGCGCTCTTCTGGAAGAAAGTTGAAACCCACCTACCACCCCGGCTCAGCTCATCAATTCACTGATGGAGCGCAGGCGTCGCAACATGGGCAACGCGGTGGATCCACCGTCAGTTGCAACTCATGACATGATGACCGCTCAGGACAATGGCAGCTACTCCTGAGTCCTGACGATGATCATGTCCACGTCTGCGCCGCGTCTGTCGCCAAACCGGCAACCCCCTTTGCAGCCTGATCTCGTCTTTAGCCACCGATGCCAACGTTCGCCCTTGGCCGCTAACGAACGTAACCGCAAGCGTTACCGTGAGGTCATGGCTCATCTCGTGCCAGCGCGGGCCTGCCTCATTGTTACGACTACGAGCCTTGGCATTTGCGAAGAAGAACATGTCCTCGACTGCCGTGCGCTGCGCTGCGCTGCGTTGATCCCACCCCACCATCGGACCAATCTACAACACCCGCGTCTTCAGACATCTTATCCCTTTGAAGGTCATACCGGTTGTGCTTGGCGAACATAAGTGGAGTAAAAAAGGTGGTTAATTGTGTGCACAGACGGAATTTGTATGAGCGCACAGGCAAAACTGGGGCGACTTGCATGAACGCTCTCAGCCGTCGAAATTTCAAAGGGATACGTACATGTCCTTGGCATGAATCAACGAGGCTCCGCTTGAGGACGTGCCGACCATCCTAGGGATGTGGATATACGGTATACTAGGAATTGGCCCTGTATACACCGTATAATATACCAGTATATACCCGGTGTATACAGGTAAGGGCCCGTGCGAATACCTTAATAACCTAGGAAGTCCGGCTGCTAAGCCTGTATCTAGGCTGTTATCAGCGTATTACATAACTCCTCTATAGGTGTATACCAGGTCTCCGGCCGTAAAGGCTGTATACACGGTATAATATACAATGTGTATACTATATACTGGATGGTGGGCTCTATCACTAGACCATCCCATCCTACATATTCAAAGTTTGCGCCGTCTCGACCTTAATACAATGTCGCTGCAGCCGACAAGGTTGAAATCTCCAAAAGCGACAAGTTCGGCTAAAACCTGTGCATGGCTCGGAGCCAACCACACGGTGCACCGGTGAAACAACGGCCTTGCTCGTCTTCATGATCCACGACGGCACTGGGCAGACGCGTGTGAATCTCGGCTGCTGCACCCCAGAGACTCTCGCGACAGCCACAACGCCCTTCCGCAATGCCTCCTCACCCGCAAGGCACCCGTTCTCATCGTGAGAAGACCATGCTGCCGCAAAGGTTCTGCTTTCGGCGGTGAGCGGCGGAACCCGATCAATTCGCTTCTTAGAGCCATCGCATGCATCTGACATTGGCTACAACTAAGCCCACAACTTCACCAATGGAAGAGACCGCCGATCCTGGACTCGCCTACCTACACAGGCTACAGCCGAACGACTAGCGGTCTCGAGCCGAAGAAACAACCAGGAAGTCCACGTGAGCACCTCATTACAGTACATTAGTACCGCGTTATGAGTAGGCACGAGACGCCGCCGAAAGAGATGCTATTGATTTGTAAAGGCACCTTCCTTCGAGCCTCACTTGCACTATTGGAGAGCGAAGTCCGTGCCCACCACTTATTCTAATAATATTGTAAAGACAGCCATGAAATTGTCACAGGCCTGCCGAACCAAAAATCAAGTCCTGGCACGCACCTGGCTCGGATCTATGTAGTACTCCGTAGGGCTTGCGGTACGATGCCGCTTTCTCCTGCACCCCCTCAGGTCCGACCCAAGTCGACTTCACCACCCCAGCTCCTTTAAAGCATGTACTCTGCTTTTCAGGCACAGCGCACCAGAATTCTTTGTGTTCTTCACCGTCAAACGTCGATATTGCGATGACGGAGCCTACTAATCATACGACCATCAACACCCCTCAACATCACTCTCTGGGCGCACACGCAGCACAATGAGCGCAGCAAGAGCCTGCATGACGCTGATCACTTCTCCTGGAAGCGCGCGATGCATCTGCAATCATTCATCAGCTGGATGTCACGCGCAAGGCTGGTGTAGCATTGTGTTGCATGCGTGACGTCGACAAACGGCAAACGATCGAACGAGCATGCAATGATGCAAGTAAGCCGGTATGGGCCGAAATGTCGCCAGAGCGATGTACCAGGATGCAAACTCGTGATCCTGGAAGGAGCTTCAGAGTAAAATCGCGGAGATTCATCAGGCGAGCGTTTGCAACAACGGGTACCAACTGGCAACTGCTACCAAGGTCCAAGTCGAACAACGTGATCATGAGTCATGACAGCGCCGCTTTGCATCTCTACCACGAGGTGCCCTAGTCTGCGAACGATGATTTGAAGCGACGCCAACGGGCATGTCAGAGTTCTGGTGATTTCAAGGAAGTATCCTGGCGTGCCTCATCTCATTGCTGTGAGACATGATCGAAGCGCCTTCGTAATACCCTTTTCAGCATACCGAAGACTCGACACGGTGTGAACTATTGATGCTAAGTAGGGACTAATGCCATGCGAACTGCATCCAACCACGCCCACGGCCCCTAACTTCCCCGGTCCCGAGACACCGCCATTAGGAAATACTCCTCGACGCCCTTCCTCCCAGGCGCGAGCGATCTTCAACTTGGTATACATCAGATTCCGACCAGGATGACATTTGCTACGGACACAAGCTCCAATCCTTGAGGAGACCATCTCCGTGTCGTCCAGGGATGGCTTGGGGGAATGGGTCATTACGTCCGCTCGCGCTTGGGTCAAACGTCACCTCTGAGCGCATAGCACAGCCTTGTGGTTGGTATAAAGTCAAAGTTGTGGCTGGTATTGCAGCTTCGATCCTGTGCGACGTCAACCACAAGGCTGAGTCTTGAACTTTGAGACTGCCGGACCGAGAGTATCTGATCGACATCGTTATCAGTCCAACACCGGATGCTCGGACTGACGACACCTGACTTTGCCCATACGTCAAGTCTACACGATATCTTCACGCTTTCGAATATGCGCATCCCGGCCAGGCACAGGACGTCAAGTCTCATCTCAACATAAATGGTTCCTGAACTAACAAGTCAAGTGAGACGACAGTGCTTGCAATCCACCTTCGGAAGGTTTTGCGGAGTAACCCATGGCGTGAATGATCTGGTCGCTTAAGCAGACGCCTGTATGCTACAGGTAGAGGCTTGCGCTTGAATAGCGGCCGCTGATAGTGAGCGTCCACAACCCGTGACATCGACACGAGCGCCTGCGATCGCAGTCCAAATGCAGTTGGGCAAAGATATAGCACAACTCTGTCCCCTGCATATACTGGAATGCAACACAGAAGCAGAGGCATTGACTGACATCATTGTGCTACTTCACCTCAACGTCACCCGCTGATGTCAGAATCTTCATCTCCTATCTCTACAATACGGACGACCGCCATTCAGCATCTGAAGTGAGCAGGTAATGTTGCAAGAGAACCACGGCATCCGAACATTCATGGACAAGACCTCCAGTACTATCTGTACCTAAGAAACCACGGGGAGCTACGACTTTTAGCTCCTCTCCAGCTTGCAATCATATTGATGGTTTAAGACTGCCTCATAGCCGAGCAATGCGATTGCAGAAAGCCGTTGGAAATGCTCGTCTCTCAATCTCACCAAGCATTGCCTGTCTGCAACTCGCGACTGCATTATCTGATGTCGGAAGCACTCGTCGGAAACAATTGCACCGAGCTACAGTTGATGTTCCCCTAGCCTCTCAAACCACGGACAAAATGAAGCTGACTAGCAAGACGCCGAAATTTCGGGCTTGTATTAATGTAAGTCTCCATGATCTCTGACGTGTTGATCAGTGGCTATCTGGTTCTCAAAGACACAGAGGGCTATTTGATCATGGCCTGATAGGTCGTCATTTGTTCTGCAAAAGAGCATGTCTCAATGATTCAATGTGAGTGGTAATATGTTTCTAAACTTCGACAGACATGCTTCCTGTACCTTGAGTCCAAGCTGTCACATCTTTTTCAACCGATTAACACCCAGACAGCAACGAAAGATGCGAGCAGAGCAGGGCAGTCCTTCTCAATACTGATAGCTACTACATGCATATATACATGTGTCCATGCTCCATCATCCACTGCCCTTACTGCTATAGGGTAGATACATATGCCCCACGCACTGCCGTCTCTCCACATCTTTTAGTTCT